AAAACCCATAGAGGAAGGGTTTTGGAAATTCCGCGTATGTTCAGCTACGCTCCGTCGCCACACGCCTGTCTTGAAGACGATGTTGTTTGGTCCCTGGAAGGAATCAAAGCCGGCAAGCGATAGCGAATGGGTGGTTGAGCTTCCCGATGATCCGCCCTACGAAATGCAGGTTGCCCTCCACATCACACACGGATTAGTCGACAAATTTCCGGAAACTCTCTGTCAGCACTCTTTTCAGGCTTCTCATCATACTTAACAAATACGATATGATCCGTATCGTGAAGCCTTGGTGTACAAAATGGGTGCAACCTGCCGCACAGAATCGTGTGTCGTCTGATATACCTAAATCCTTGTATATCGCATGGGAGCTAGGCGACGAAAGTCTGTTCACATCTAGACTCGCAGAGATTGCCGTGAAAGCACAGATGGAGGGAGATATTTTGGTGTTCAAGGATTCCAGTTCATCAAACCCTCATCCAAAAGGAATCAACCTAGAGGTTGAGGATCATCTTGATCCGCCGGATATTCTAGGTGCGTGACTATTTGTGGTACATATCTCACATCAAAGCCAATCACTGACATGCTCACAGATTTGATATACGAGATACGGAAAGCGGTTATCGAGAAGATGATGGCACCCCTTAATGCAGATCTGGAAGCTCGAGCAAAATATACGCCTTATTGTGCCAATAGTTGAGACACACAGGACCGAAGTCTGTGTGATGCCGCGGTCCTAAGCAGCATTTATCGCGGTATGATAATGATAAAAGGTAGCATAGTTCCGAAGGAAAGCTGCTATACAACCGAAAGCGTTGTGCAGCTGGCGTTGTGGTTGTTTCCCCTAATGGCCGTAGTTCAGACCCCTCACTACGATACACAGTGCTCCTTGAAGGACAAATACAGTCAACACAACACATCGCTGCATGACAGCATCCCCGAGGTTGTTCAGCAAGCCTTGAAGCCTAGCCATAGAGACTATATGGCTTCGCAGAGATCAAAAAACTGGGTTGGCAAGTCAGCCAGGAACACAACCCATGCAACGCTACTGGAAGTTGATTTGAAGTCACAATGGGAGGACGGAGAGATACCTTGTTGAGCTTCTTCTGAATGTGAAGGAACAAGCGATGGGAGGGAACAAACCCGAAATCAAGGGTGCATTTATCTGAGAATATAGAAGATATCAACAGGCGTCTACTGCATATTACGTATCTTCAGGTATCACTAAAGGTTTCATTATTTTCCCAGCAGTCCCTTGTTTTGTCTGGGCTCCATGTTGTCAGCATCCACCATCCGCTATCCCACCCGACTCTTGATCATTCTTCTCGACATGCCACTTCAACATCAGAAGCCCCCGACTTGGTTTCCGGTCTTTCCTCCATTTGGACTAAGGAGGTTTTCCAAGTAGAGGATCCTGGAAAGCATGTTTGATCACGTACATCTTGCTATGTAATCCTCACGTTTTCTCCTCCAGTTGCCTCCATCGTGAACATCGTGAACTTCAAACGGCTCGCCCAGGACAAAATCGATAACAACCGAGTCCACTACTCGAAACACCAAACCCGGCCAGAATACCACAAAAGCAGCGACTCTACCGAATCCGATACCCAATAAGGGGATATTGTCAAGCTATTTGGTCCTCATGTATTTTGTGCAATCAATTTTCTCAGTTCTTATTGCTCTCTGTGCTTAGAACTTAGGCTCGGGTGTCATCAATTCTGTCCCAGGCGAGCACGGGTATGTTTTTCACTTTCACGAGATCTCACCATGTAGGTTATACGCCGCCGTTGTAGAGTACATTGGCCAACTGATATTAGTCGGGAAAGTACCTACTGCCTACTATGATGGCTGTTCGCGTAAAGTTGGGCACCCACAGGGTCTTTTCCATGACATGTCCCTGATGTGTATAATTGGCGGCCCGCAAACGGCACCGGCAAACGCGCCCTAGTGCCCACTATTTGACAGGGGGACATTGGCGCGTCATCACCTCTGAGTTCCACGTCCAGAGGCACTCAAACACGCGCCAATACCCCTCATCGCCTCACGCGCGGTCTGGATGTTTGTTTTCTTTCAGACTCTCTTTCTCCTGACACTCGCAGGCTCACCGAAAGGCTCTCTGTCCAGCCTGTTTGAGGTGTAGAGCCAGGCATTGACGTTAATCACTCAGCGGGCGTCTGGCGCAAGACCTCCGCCACAGTGACACCTCAACCGGTTCCTCCCCCCTCCTTCCATTCTACGGCTGGGTCATCATCTGGTCGCAAAGTAGAGGCCTCGGCCATGCCTTCTGAATCAGAGGCAACATCAACGAGCCATTTGGTGGATGCGGGCGATGCGGGCGATGCGGGCGATGCGGGCGATGTGGTCAACGTGAGTGATGCCGCGAAGGCTGTCGATAAAGTCGAGTCACCACGCCGCGACCCCAAACCACTCGGAACTTCCATCCTTGACTCCGACGGGGATCTTTTCCTGAATGCAGCGCATGCTGAGGGGACTTGGCTCTTTTGCGTCTGTTCCGCCACGCTTCGTCGTCACTCCCGAGTATGAAAAACGATGCTGTTTGGATCATAGTCGGAATCAAAGCCGACCAATGGCGGGGACTGGGTCATTCAACTTCCAGAAGATCATGCCTCCACGATGTTTACCGTTCTGAACATAATTCATGGGAACTTTGAACGGGTTAAAGAAATATGACCCTATAAACTCTACGACATATTAATCCTCACCAAGAAATACGATATGACCAGTTGTGTCAGGCCTTGGTGCGCCGAGTGGAGAGAGATCGCCTGGGACTCGAAAAAATTGACCGACAAGTTTTCGACCAACCCCGCTGGTATGGTTCGGTTATTGTATATGGCATGGGAATTAGACGACGAAGAGCTTTTTGCTCTAAGCTTGGAGGACCTTGCCTTACGGACTAAAAAGGATACCGACGGCCTGCTATCTTATAAAAAGCGAGTCACTCTCAACGATATAGACCATCTAGGACCACAGGACGTACTAGGTGGGTTTGTCCTGAAAGTACTGTTCTTAAGACTGGCAGGAATTTCATGCTACATCACGTACCTAGACGCAATATGTGCAATCCGAGAGGCCCTACTCGGAAGGCTGATTACACCCGTGCATGAAGATCTGGATGCTCGGATGAAGGCAGAACCCTATTGCAAGGTTGGTAACTCGGGCTATCCGAAGATGCTCTGTGATGCCGCAACTATAGGCAGTCTCCACAGACACATGTTGCAGGCCAGGGGTAACATTCTCCCCAGGTCTGCCTCTGAGATTGAAGACAGTGTTGTAGAGCTAGGAGACTGGCTGTTTGCCATGATGGCCAAGGTTCCGAGTATGCATTGCTCAAACCCATCGGACTCATGCAACCTGGAAGCTTAGGGGTACAAATGCGTTCCTGCGCCCAAGTACACGAAGCTCAGGAGACAAATCCACGCGGATATCTCGGCAATCGTGTCAAGCTTCACCACGCCAGGTCACAAGGAATATATGGCCGCTCAACGGGCGAAGACCGGGTTGGTTCTGCAAGGGGGAACAGCTCCCTCTAACCGTGGATACCTTCGCCGGGTTTTGACATTTTGAGGGGCGGATCTTGAACACCACCGGGCAAGTTTGGAAATGTACACGAGATCGACACCTCATAAAAACTTGTCGAATTTGTGTATTGGTTCTGCAGGCGCTTCTAGGGGCATGATGTTCCTTGGAGTGCCTTAGGGTTTCGATTTTCCAAGAAAACAATGGAAGGCCAAGCAGTGTGCACAGCTTTCGCACATTAGCAAGGCAAGCCTGCCGTGAAGTTGACATGCATCTGTCGAAAGGGATGCCTACATGAACAGGTTTTACGAGCCTAGGTACGGTATCCAGCCCATTTGTCTGCGTTGCAGTCCATTACCCCAATTTTACGCGTAAAGGGTACATGGTTTCTGTCAAATTCTGATAACTTGTCTTTTACAGTGCAGATTACCGTAAATACATTACACGACGTAACTGTTTAAGCGCCGCGGCCATGTAATTATCTGTGGTTTCTGGTATCTACGGTCCATGCATTTGGTACTGTATTGTAACATGGAAAATATGCAGCGCATATGGGTTCTCTCACCCAAAGTCTTATAAGAAAGTGTTTTTCTTTCTTTTTCTTCCTTTCTTCCCTCTTTTTCCCCTACCAAATCAATTCCAAATTGTGCGCAGGTCTCTCACCACATTCTCAACTGAACATAAATTTCACGGCGCCACCCACACCACGACAGCCTCGACCCGACGGTAACCTCCTATAAGGTACGCCTTCACGGACACGACCCAAAAAACGAGCCCGGGCAGCATCGACAGCCACAGAGGCTGATGAGCAGTCCATACGCCCAACCAAGATTCTCAAACCCGATCCCGATGGCGATCTCACGTTGAAAGTAGCTCCCCGCGATAATGAGCCATGCAGCTTCCGCGTCTGCTCCGGCACGCTTCGTCGGCATTCACACGTGTGGAAGGCGATGTTGTTCAATCCCACTTGGATGGAATCAAAGCCGGCCGACGGAGAGAATTGGGTTGTTGAACTTCCCGAAGATCCCGCCTACCCTATGGAAATCATCCTCGACATCATTCATGGAAGGTTCGAGCGGATCCCGCAGACCCTGGGCCTCAAAGATCTCCGTGATCTCCTGGTCCTCACCAAGAAGTATGACATGACTGGTATCGTAAGGCCCTGGTGTTCGCAGTGGATACAGGCCGCTAGAAACCCCTACCTTGGTACCGACGATATTCTCCGGTCATTGTTAATCGCTTATGAGTTAGGTGACGAGCACCTTTTCTCCTTGCGGCTTGAAGACATAGCCTTGCGTGCCAAAGTCGACGAGCAGGGCCGCTTCAATTACCCCGCATCAGTGCCAACCGAAACGATCCGTTCCTTCTCTGGTTATGATGGTTCAGTCGACGATTCTTCAGACAGTGATGACTCGGACAGTGATAATTCAGACAGTGATGATGAATCAAGCCACGATAAATCAGGAGATTACCACACCACATTTGAATCAAGCGAGAAGAACTCGAATGCCATCCTCGAAGATGAGGATCATGTGGGCCCGCAAGATGTACTACGTAGGTTTGGTCGGAGATTCCAATCCAGGACGCACAAGCGGACAATCCAACGCTGACATTTGACAGATATCATATCTTCGATTCGGGAGACCTTACTGGCCAACCTCGTTAACCTCATCCACGAGGAGCTGGATTCCCGGCTAAGATCAAATCCTCATTACTGTGGCTCGACAAGATAGCCCGGGAGATCTGTGTGTGACGCCGCAGTCATCGACCAAATACATCGGAGTATGCTGCAAGTCAGGGGTGGCACACTTCCCAGGTCTGTCTTCGATATCAATGACAGTGTTGTAGAGTTGGCCTCTTGGCTGTTCTTATTGATGTCAACTATGCCCACACTACACACTACAGCATACTCTCGACGTGCCTTGGAATGCCATCCGCGATCGAAGTTTTCCAAGCTCAACGAAGAAATTCATAAGAGTATCCCAGCACTGGTGGCTAGCTCCATAAAGCCATCCCACAAGGAATACATGGCTAGGCAAAGGGTGAAGACAGGGCTGGTGATGGCCAAAGATCAGGACAGAAGAAAATTGCACCGTTACTGGAGGCTTTGGTGAGGGTTTTGGAATATGCGACGCCAGGTGCACGTGTTTAAAAAAAAAAAAAGCGTGTGGGAATATTTCAGGATAGACAACAATGCTACCTATCACAGCATGTCATCATATCACAAGAGTTCATACGCCGCCTTGCTCCATCAGCTCAACGTCCCATTTGGTACCTCCGAGGTCCCTGGTGGCCCCGTTCAACAAATATCGGTGCAAAAGCTGTGAAGCAAAGCACACTGTGAGTCTTTCAGTCGAACGGTCTTGTAATTATTCAGTTGCTTGGCAAACTTGGATGAACAAAACCCCCAGAAGGCTATAGGGGTACATCGAATCGTATTAAAAGAAACAACAAGATGACGGACCCAGATAGTCTCGTCACGAGGTCTTCTTACAGATATTGTGTGTTCGCCGTCACCTACAACAAATATGGGCGATGATGTATCGAGAAATATTGGAAAAGGCTGCTAGTTTTCTCTTTACATCGCCGGGCTTAGTCTCATTAGTGCACCTACGCATATCTTGTCATAGTAATGACGAACAACATCAAATGTTCTAGCCGTATCGTACTTTCACTTTGTCTCTTACTGTTTCCTTGAAGAACAGCCTAGAATATGGGCCAAAGGTACTAATGCACTGACCGTGACGTTTTCAATGTATTCATTCGACGATGTCGGACGGGTAGAACCTTCCAGTTGAGACCAGCAAGTACGGCTACTGTGCCTGCCGCCTTCCAGTCCCGGTATGCGGGAGTGAATGGTCAACTCCCGGACTCGGGCAGGCACCCCACCAGACGTCAAGTGAAGTGTGCCTTCCGTTGTGTTTTGTCCTGCACACAATTTTCCCATTACGTGCCAGATTTCTTGCAGAACTTTCCTCTCCTGTTTGTGCCAACCCGGCCTCAAGCAACTCTTTTTTTTCTGGAGGCGCGCACAACCACGACGCATACCACCAGTTGCTGCTTCCGGCACAGTAGCCACCGACTCGCTGTTCGGAAGCGACCCAATAACGACCAGCGCCTCAAAAAAAAGGAGTGAGTTTGGCAAGGACCCAGCCGGCGCCACCTTCAGCTTCAGCAAAAGACGCCGCCGTGCCGTTGACACTCAAACCATGGCCGAAGAACCAACGGTGGATATTGATCCAAAGGGTGATCTCTTCTTGGAGACATCAACGGAGAATTTCAAAAGCAAGAGGTTCCGCGTCTGCTCTCGTGCCCTTCGTCGCCAGTCGCCAGTCTGGGAGCAAATGTTGTTCGGTCCTTGGAAGGAGTCCAAGCCAGCCGATGGGAAGGAATGGGTTGTTCACTTGGTTGGCGACCCTGCCGGCCCGCTAGAGATTGTGCTCTCCATTATCCACGGCAAGTTTGATACCGTTCCGGACCGTCTACCAATCGAAACTCTCCATCAACTCTTGATCATCACCAACAAATATGATATTACCAGCATTGTAAGGCCCTGGCGTGGTCAGTGGCTGAAAGAAGCCAGCACGGCCCACAGGTGCCTTGTGGCTCAAAGCGTGGTTAAATCGTTGTATATCGCTTGGGAGTTGGGCGATGAACATCTTTTTGCCTTGAGGCTGGAGAATATCTCCTTTAACACCGAGGTTGATGATGATGGTCGTTTGTGTTATCAAGGACTTATCGATCTTGATGAGGAAGAGTATTTGGGGCCACAGAGTGTACTAGGTAAGTTCAGCCGTAGGGCTTACGGTCTCGTGACGATAGGAGTTTTTCTAATCTCATCTGACAGAAACAATCTCCAAAATTCGGCTTGGCTTACTTGAGAAGCTCATATCACCTGTTCATCGGGTAATCGATGCTCGAATGGCGCTAACGCCTTTTTGCACTCACGACAGCGACACGACCGCAGCACGAACTTGTGACGCTGCAGTTATAGGCAGTATTTATCGTGGGATGATACAAGAGAAAGGTGCGATACTTTCCAAATCTGCCTCCGATATCACGGAGAGCGTCGTTGACCTGGCATCCTGGATATTCTCCTTCATGGCGAAGATTGAGGGTACCCATAGGCGCCCCAAACCAATCAGACCCAAATGCTCTCCTCACAGAGAGCTTAGAGACGCCAACTTTAGCATTCAAGATGGTATCCAGGCCTTTGTAGCGAGCTGCATGGAGCCATGTTACAAGGAATACATGGCCAGGCAGAGAACGAAGACAGGACTGGTGCTGGGAGAGCAACAGACCAGGGGGCTTCGGGAATGGAATCTTTACTAGTATGTTAGAAGGCTTAAGTCATCTGCATCCTGTCATAGCTGTCATTCCATGAGGGACAATGGGACGCGTGTATCAAAACCCAGAGGGTCAATCAGATCCAGAAAGGCAAACAACACAAGTTTAAGAACATCGTTTATTCGTTCTTTTGACATTTTCAAGTCCGACGAAGTGGCTCATTTTCGTGATAGGGAGCAGTCCAGCGTTCCTCAAAGCAGTTGGTACCACTTGACTTGGCTCCCCACCTCTACATTCCTCCTGTTTCCTAGTGGAAATATCTTATACCTTTGCTTTGGACAATTCGAATCATGAGCCAATGTTAAGTACCGGTGAGAAACGGAAACCCATGTAACTGAAAAGCAGGTATTCGTATTAACCATTCACAGTGCTATTTTCCTCTCGCAGTTGGCGTTACTGACATCAACATAGATGACACTCATAGACTGGAAAAAACCGTCCTCCACCACGGCAGCGGCCTCCCATCCGCTCTTGTCTCCACCTTCTTCGCCTCATCAAGATCCCTCCGTCTTCCCGCCTGAAGATCAACCTCATGCGGCCTCCACAGTCTCGTCTTGAACGTGAACTTGTACACAAAGTAAATGACAGGAAACAACGGCAACAGGATGTACGCGTCCACAAAGTTGCCCGCATCAAACGGCGCCAGCGTCGACCAGCCCTGCACAAAGGCCAAGAACACATTGGCAACCAGGCCGAACCACGCATTCCACGGGTACCACAACGATTTGAACGGCAGCTCCTCCGGGCTATGCCCTTGTGCCTTCCAAGCTGCCCGGAAGCGGATGTGAATTAGACTGATCGAGCCCCACACCAGGAAGGTCGAGACACCACTCAGGTTGACAATGTACCCGTACGCCTTGCTTGCGCCGGTGCTGACGTTCATCATTGACAGGGCTCCACACGCATTGGTGAAGATGATGGCGTACACTGGAACGCCACGGCGATCCGTCCACCCGAGGAACTTGGGCGCCTTCCCGTCCTGCGCCATGTACAAGATGGTGCGGCTGCCGATGTAAATCGAGCTGTTGACGGCGCTCAGGCAGGTGACGAAAATGAAGGCGTTGATCAGGTGGACACCGTTCGCCCAGCCGGCGTTCTGCAGAGCGACGGTCATGGGCGACTTGAGGGCGCGGCTGGCGCCACCGACGAGTTCGGGAGCGTTCGAGGGGCAGGTCAAGCCGAAGAAGAAGGCGCTTCCCATGTAAATGAAGACGATGCGGACAAAGACTTGGCGGATGGAACGGGGGACGGCAACACCCGGGTTCTTGGTCTCGGTGGCGGCAACGGCGACGGATTCGACGCCGGCGTAGAAGGTGGAGCAGAAGACGAAGACGGAGGCAACGCCGCGGAAACCGTCAGCGAACGCACCGGGGTTGTGCCAGTATTTGAAACCAATTGCGTCCGCGCCTTTAACGCCTCCAGATACGTAACTGTTTTGGAGTCAGTGAGAAATCCAAGGAACATGTGAGAAAGATGTTGAAACTAACACGATGCTGAAGATGAAGTAAGCTACCAAGCCAATGAGCTTGAGAAGCGCCAGCCAGAACTCGGCTTCACCAAAGGTCTCAACACCAAGAAGTTGAAAGCCCAAGAATGCGAACTGTCCACGGTGTTAGCAATCCCCATGTCCTTGATTCGGCTGTACGCCTGTTTCACGGAGAACGAAACTCACCCAAAACATCAAAAAGTATCCCCAAAGCGGAACTTTATCGCTCCAATACACCATGACACTCGAAATAACGTTATACTCGTTCGCCAGGACACACACCCAAACTAGGTGAACCACCAGGGTCAGCCATCGTAACAAACACCCACAACCAGACGACAATAACGAAAAACTCACTAATAAGATAATTCCACCCCACCGCCACCCCAAAGGCCTTATCAATAAACCGATCCCCAAGATCCGTAAAAGCACCACCGCTCGGATAAAGCGTCGTCAGCTCGCCCAGACTCTGCATGATGCTGAAAGCAATGAGGCCAATAACTCCAAAGCCGATCAACAGCGATGCAGGGCCACCGGAGTGCAGAGCACCTCCGGAGCCCACGAGTAAGCCGGGGCCGATGATGCCGGCTAGGGCCATCATGGATAGGTGTCGGGTTTTCAGGCCGCGCTTGACGCCCGACTGAGGGTCGATGGCGCGGAAGTCGCCGCTGCCGTCGTCGGAGGGGGAGTGGATGGCGGTTTCATGGTCATTGTGGATTGTGGCGCTCCCTTTTTTGGGAGAGCGACATTTTGGGTAGGTTGGGAGGGGGGTAATCCCCGTCTGATGTTCTTTATTGGTGTGCACGGGTCCGGGTCCGGGTCCGGGTCCGGGGTCGTCGTGGTGTAGTGGTAGGTTGTTCCTTAATCGTTATAAGGCGAAGAGAGGTGTTGTGAAACAGAAGACTGTTCTCACGCCCGGTGAAGAAGACAGTTGGAATAGGAAAGATACGATGATGTGATGGATGAAAGATGAGGTCAGTCGACAGGGGTTCTTGTTGTTGAACTCTCAGTCCCAAAGTTAAAGTCGCATTCCTGAGAGGGCAAAAGCACGGCACTTTGGAAAAGAGGTTGAAGAGTGGAACAGTCCCCCCTAAAACAAGGTTTCAAACGACACACAACAACATGTGTCCGAGAACGGCCCGGGGAGAGGGGATGTCGTACTGTTTAACTGTTTTTTTCTTTTTAAAAAGGAAACGTTGATCCGGTTCGTCGGAAGATACCGTACGACACGACCATGGAAACTCTGGTCCGCCCTTATCACGGACGATCTGCACTTTGCAGTCGCGGCACTTACACAGTATTTTCGGTCCATCCATCCAACCACCCAGTTGGGACACTCAACCGAGGACGGACAGACGAACGAACGGTTCTAAACAAATCCCACGACACTAGTGTAGGAACGGATGCCTGATCTCGCGTGTTCTAACGCAAAGAAGGCTACCGGCTTCTTGTGCTCTCGCCATCTTGAATGTTCTTGGCTTGGTTGTTGTGACCATGACAGGGTGTTGCCGTTTGCGTTTCTATAAGGGGTCCAGAATGGGAGGTTGGCGACAACGGCAACAAAGGGGGGTCACCAATGGCACCAAGAGCCGGATTGCGATAGCCCTAACAGTCTGTCACCTATGTTTTGTGACAAAGTGTTAGTGCACTACAACTTACACCACCCAAGCCATGGATCGCGCCATCCATTGGCGTGAGCCTCACTGAACCCACTGAATCCGCAAGCGAGCTTTTGCCAAGAGTCAGCAACCAAAATGCGGCGCGGTACGTACCCCCCCCCCCCGTAAAAACGTGAACGTGAACGACGCCACATCCCGCGCAATTCTTTTCAGCTTCCACTCCGTTGGACAGTGGGAGGTGTTGAGAATGCATCATGCACTCCAACTTCACGCGGGATGGTTGTGACGTGACTGTTTACTGAGAGTTTGCCAAGTACTATGTATCGTAGCCACCTCGGTGGTCGATGTCCAGACCTCAGAAGTCATAACATCAGTATGGCAAAAGTGAAGCGAGTTTTGACCACGATTCTGTGTTTCACATCTGCTTTGTGATTTCGACTTTCAAGGTTGCTGCATAGGGATCAGCGGTCTCCGTAAAGGGCAACTCCACAACTCCGCATACTGTGGCCTGAACGGGATCGGGGCCGACCGCGGGCGTTCGCCAACCCCGCATGCGGGGGAACGGAGATGGAGCGGAGACCTCTTGTCGGCTCTTGAGCTTCGGGTGTTCCATTTTCTTGGAAGTTGTTTCGAGATAAAACCTCCGAGTTGGATTTTTACAAAACGGTTGTTCATATCTTTGGAGATGACTTGGCCATGGCACATAGCCTGATGATATGGTCGACCAGTTTACGCTAACTGCGCGCTTGGTTTCAAGAGGATGACAATATGGTTGCCTAAACGGCCTTTGGGTCGAAATCAACCTGAAGGTAAACGGCTTTCTTGATGTTTACCACCAACAAGAAAACGTTACAAGACTTCCTTTCTTTCATTTTCGTGTCGTTGCATCTTGTTTGGATGAACATCAACAGGTTCTCTCACCACAATTCCAAACAGTAACCCACCCAGCAAGACCACCTACATACCTCTAGTCCACAATGACGGCCAAAAACGAAGTGAACGAGACCACTATCACCATGCTCCCTCAATCCGCGAGTCTCTTCTTTACCATGCTGCCCCCAGAGATCCGCGACGCCATCTACCGCCTCGCTCTAGTCATCTGGTCGCACGAAGACACTATCGGCTACTACCGATACGCCCGCGTGCCGTGCATGGCTCTCTTCAAGGACGGCGTGAAGGGGCCACTCCTCGGCATGCTTCTTGCTCGCAAGCGCGCGTACCACGAGCTTCCGCGTGACCTCTTGGCCGGGTTTTCCATTTGCATTACGAAAAGACCGGCTGGCGATCCTATGCTCTTTGCTCCTTGGACACTGTCGTCGGGCAAGCCCCAGTTGGAGAAAAGAAAGCTAGGTCAAAAGGTCGCTGGGATTGGGGCCTATGGGAACATGCCGCTTGACAAAAGGCGGATGCTGACTATTTTCATTGACGAGGCTCTGGAAAAGGGGCTCAATTTTGGGGGGGGGTAATAGGCATTTTTAGTTGCGTGATGTTTGCCGCGCATGCGAAGAAAGCGACCTGGCGTTTGAGGTTCCCAGAAACCGAAGGTGCCTATTTGGAGAAGCATTGGGACAGGCTTTCTGGGTATCTCAAAACGGAATCAGTAGGAAGGTTCACCGAAGTAGCGACAGGAGTGAAGACGTTGGTTTTGACATGGCCGCCTGCTGGATCTGACAAGAGGGAAAAGGAGCTAACACAGTCCTAAGGGAGTACGACTTCTGTTGAGTACATGCGGTACTTCAGGTTTCTGAAGAGGCTACAGAAGGAAAGATTGGATGTCGAGTCGTCGCTGGAGAGGGTTATACTCAGAGGGGGCTATCAAAGGCTCTGGGCAGAAGAGGCAAAGAAAATCTTGGAGGTCGAAATCGTGTGTGAGTAATAGCCGAAATCCACGGACGACCAACTGATGTGATGAATGCTCTTAGGAAAACACCTTGGTGCGAGTTGAGGAGTCCGAGGAAGCAGTCGGAGATTCCATGCCAACTCTATCAACTAGACCTCTAGCTTGCCTGGTACTAATCACGCACAGGAAGCCATCAGAAGTGGCGATGTGCTACCGCATCTTTCCGCAACGTGCGTTGCCGTTTCCAAATGACACTTGATGTCGTGTCTTGCACCATCATCCTCTGAGGATCGCGAACCCAACTGTCTGGGCTGTTCAGTTTGTACGGCGAGCACGGCTCGAGCATTGGCAAGCTACCAGGTGGTAGTAAAACTTGGGTGTGCAAGCCCAAGTACTAACACCACCAATTGGTGCACATCCCATTTTCACTACCACCTGGCTGCCTCATCTTCACACCCGTGCAGAGACACCCCCACAACCTCCCCTGTCCCAAGGGCATAATTGTGTGGTAATGAGATTCAGGGTCTCGCCCGAAACAGTTGGAGTAAATCAGTGCTGATTCGAAGTGATCTTCCTCATAGCTCCATGCATGATATGCGCGGTACCACAAGATCAACTTGCCGGCGCAGTAGTGTCGAACAACTAAATGACCCTATGTTGGGGTCTGCGTGTAGCTGAGGCCGGGGAGGATAGCCATTGGCAGTCCAGACCGCGCTGGGCCTGGTAAGCAGGATGGGCATTGTACCTACTTCGTTGTCCGTAAAATGGGAATCTCCGAGGACCTTGACGATGATGGACGTCGACTTCGTCTTCTCGTCTAACCACCAAAGACATGCAGTCAAGCCACTGACTATCATGATGTCGTTCGGGATAAGGCGTGATCTCGTCCAGTCCGGTTCTCTGACCACCCAATGATTCTTTTCCAGAATTCGCTCCCTCGCATTCAAGAGACATTGCTGTGTTCGCCACAGTTGCTCGGTATTGCCCCGGGAGTGAGATACCGGTACACATGGCACTTAACACAACTTCCTGACGACAATAGGCTTCTCCATTCGTTTATCACTCGTGTGAGTGACTGAACATATCGAGGTTCGCAGCCGAGAACGAATAGCGATGTAAGGTGCGAGCAACAGTGCACTTCTCGCCCTCGCCAAGCGCGCCCGGCCCCTTGCACTCTTTGTTCAACACCATCAGGCTAGATGTGCCGCTGCCTACCCTTCATGCCTTCCTTGGTGCATATCTTGACGTCAGCCCACTAGTAGGCTTTTTGTTCCGCTTCCATCAACGAGCCCATCGACGGATCAACCGTCTCGTCTCGATATCGGTAGATGTTTTCTGGGTTTGGGGATCCCGTTGATCATGCCGCCATATGATTGCACGTAGGTAGCTTGCGCTCACCATGTGCAAGATGTCCACCTTTTACACGTGGTCTGCGTGGGCCTTTGGTCTTCCTTGCTCCATACTGCGGTCTGGGCCTGTTTGCTCGTGAAGCTGAGAGAAGCTGAGAAGGCTCCATCCGTGTCTTGCAGCGGTCTCTTTGCTCGGACGAGAAAGCTCGAATGTGGGAAGCTAGAGAAGCGTGCTTGTAATGGTAATCCGCCGGGGTGTGGGGTATGGCTCGTTTCTGTGTCCGGTTGTCTGGCAATTTGGAATTGACAACGGAGAGCTTCGAGGGCATGCGGTTGTGATTTGGTGGAAGAAAAGTGGTGAGCATTGCGCCATGAAACCCCTGGGATGTCGTCATGCTAAAGGTGGGCGGGCTGGACCCTCTTATAGGCCGAGGCCAAGCCCGCTAGCCTCCTTCTGACGCTGAGGCTTCTAGGCCCTATCAGCAGCCTTCCACTCACAGTGCAGCTACGGGCTAGGTCTAGCTTTTGTTGATGAGGGGAAACTCTGGGACGGCACGCGCGACACTTTCCCAACGACAACCAAGTCCCAAAGACAAAGACCAGGAACAACCACAAGCGAGACACCCTGCAATGCAACAACGAAGAGAGAAGATGCATGCAAAAGCGACATGATGGATGGACAAGGCAAAAAGCACAGCGCACGGCGGCGGCACCGACATGCGTCCTCGCTTGGGAATGACGTTTCAGTCCAAAAGCCATGCACCCAAGACACTCTTTGCCAGTGATATCAAAATGGAGGAGGATGAGCTTTTGCGGCTGGACGGTCAACACGGTTTTGGCCACGGTGGCTAGGGGGGTCCCCGTTGAGCACGTTGAGCACATTGGTTACTCGAACTATCATGTCCCAGCCTTCACACTAGCGGAGTGAGGCCGTGGCTTGATGATGCGAGATCTCGTCAACTCTGGCGTACGAATTGGCGTCGATTCGTAGTCTCTTGGCTCTTGTTGCCCAGGGCTGGGCTCAGGAGAGGTCCCCGAACCCGGAGCGGGATTCCCACATCCATCAACATATCCACTTGTATAACAGACCTCCAACGGGACGAACCCCCGATTCAGGTCTCTGTGCCGCATGTGAGTACGCGGCGTGAAGGGCTCCTCCGGGTACGGGCTCTGCAACTGCATACCACTCCCGGCCAAAGATCAGCAGTGATACCACGGAGTGAAGGCAATGGGATGAGATGGGACGCATGGAGCCATGGACTTGCAGTCCCGGACGGCCACCAATGGTCGGTGGCCCCAGAAAGCCATGTGTAGGAACTGGACAACTGGTACCACATGGCAGGGATGCCTCTGTGCTGTAACATCCAAGTCTCACTGCGTATGTGCTACCCTCTACCGAACTGTAGGGTCTGGGATCCAGCTCAACCAGGCAGAGTGCCAATGACTGGAAGAGAAATGGGAAAGAAAAAAACAGAAAAAGAAACAACGTGCTCGAGTCTCCCCACGGCCATGCAGGTGTGCTCAGAAACGAAAAACGACCCCCATGTTCGGTAATGCCGTTCATTGTCACCTCCATTTCGGGAAGGCAACGGAAGCTACCGCATCTTTGTTCATATATAACCCGTCTTCTTGTCTGCAGGGTCACAGCTTTGGTTGCTCTTACAGTCCCGGCTCAGCTACATTCCACATCGATTGTCATACCCGAACGGTTGGAGAGTCCGTGACCCTCCATTGACACTCAGATGGCTTCAACAACAACAACACCAACAACGGGAGACCGCATCAAAAAGTTCCTCGGTATTCCTGTCGACGAAAAGCTCGACGACACAGAATACTACAACGATGGCTCATTTGTCGAGTCGGAACCAACCACCCAGGACTTCCTCAACGAAATCCGTCCCACCGTTCGAGGCACACTCAACTACCTCAGAGAATTATTTCCCTTTATCAACTGGATCTTCCATTATAACCTGACATGGCTGTTGGGTGATTTCATTGCGGGAGTCACGGTTGGCTTTGTCGTGGTGCCGGTTAGTACAATAATCTGATGGTGTCCGAAGACACTCGCCTTCTGAAGAGACACTGACGAGATATGGGAGTAACAGCAAGGCATGGCATACGCAAAACTCGCCAATCTTGACCCAGAGTTTGGTCTTTACACCTCTTTCGTCGGTTTCCTGCTATAGTGAGTTTTCCTGAACTTTCGCATCGGGATCTTGCATATGGAAGCTAACCATGATTTACGCAGCTGGGCTTTTGCTACGTCAAAAGACATCACAATTGGTGCAGTCGCTGTGATGTATGGCTCCTGCAGTACGTCTGATACCAAAGCCTTGCTAACATGATACTACGACAGGTCCACCATCGTCGGAAACATCATCACAGAAGTCCAGAAGGAACACCCAGACTTTGTCGCTGGCGATATTGCACGAACACTAGCCTTCATCTGTGGAGCAGTGCTACTCTTCCTTGGCCTCATCAGATTTGGATTCATCGTCGAGTTCATCCCCATTGTGGCTATCTCGGCGTTCATGACTGGCTCAGCGATTTCCATTGCCTCGGGACAGGTATCGACACTCATGGGCATTCCCAATATCAACTCCCGCGAGGAAACCTATAAGGTCATCATCAACACCCTAAAGGGGCTTCCTAACACAAAATTAGATGCCGCCATGGGCTTGAGCGCACTCTTTGGGCTTTACTTCATCCGTTGGTTCTGCACCCAATTGGGCAAGAGATACCCCCGTCAGCAGAGGACTTGGTTCTTCGTCTCCACCCTTCGCATGGTCTTTATCATCATTCTCTACATTCTCGTCAGTTTTCTCGTCAACCGCCACGTCAAGGATCCGAAGAAGGCCCATTTCAAGATTCTTGGGCATGTCCCAAGTGGTAAGTTTGCGCCCCTTTTTTTATTTTCCAAATATACACACCCCCTTGTGAAGAATAACCGTAACTTACCGATTGGATTATTACAATAGGCTTTCAACACAAGGGAGCTCCCCGTCTCGATAACGAAATACTCTCTGCCATCAGTGGCCACATTCCGACCACGATCCTCGTTCTGCTCATCGAACACATCGCCATATCCAAATCGTTCGGTCGCGTCAACAACTACATCATCAACCCATCCCAGGAACTCGTCGCCATCGGCTTCACTAACCTCCTCGGCCCTTTCCTCGGCGGCTACCCGGCTACCGGATCTTTCTCCAGAACCGCCATCAAGGCCAAAGCCGGTGTCCGCACGCCTCTTGCCGGTATCTTCACCGCCGTCCTCGTCCTGCTCGCCCTCTATGCTCTCACCTCCGTCTTCTTCTACATCCCCAACAGTGCCCTGGCCGCCATGATCATCCACGCCGTCGGCGACCTGATCACCCCTCCGAGGGAAGTGTACAAGTTCTGGCTGACCTCGCCGCTCGAGGTGATCATTTTTTTGCCGGCGTCTTCGTCTCCATCTTTACTTCAATCGAAAACGGTATCTACGTGACCGTCGCCGCCTCCGGTGCCATTCTGCTCTGGCGCATCGCCAAGAGCCCCGGCAAGTTCCTCGGCCAGACCGAGATCTACACGGCACATCGCGAGCTGGTGCGCGGCGGCGGCAAGGACGCGGGACTCACGCAGAGCCTGCTGCAAAAGTCGGAGCACCACACCGCCTTCTTGTCGCTCGACAGAGACGACCTCTCCAACCCCGAACTCCAGATCTCGACTCCCTGGCCTGGTGTCTTCGTGTATCGCTTCGGTGAAGGCCTGAACTATGTCAACTCGGCGAAACACCTCGACAACCTGACCATCCACGTCTTCAGGCACACGCGCCGGACGGAGCTGAACAAGTTCGAGAAGCTTGGTGACCGACCGTGGAACGACCCCGGCCCCCGCCGCGGCCAAGCCTTCCTCACCGACGAGCTCGTCGCCCGCCCGACCCTGCGCGCCATCATCCTCGACTTCTCCGCCGTCAATTGCATCGACGTGACCGCCGCCCAAGCGCTCGCAGACCTGCGCAACCAGTTCGACCGCTACGCCCACCCGGACAAGGTCGAGTGGCACTTTGCTGGGGTATCCAACCGGTGGACCAAGCGCGCCCTGGTAGCTTCTGGATTCGGTGTCGACTCGTCGAGGACGCCGAGGGTGCAAAGCGAAAACTACAAGGGCGATGTTGAGGAGGTGGAACAGGGCCCGTTGATTGCTATTGGCCCTGCTGGCGGTTCGGCAACTGATATTGAGGCGGTAGTGGTTGGAACAAGTGGTGCGAGTAGTACGGATGAAAAGAGGCCTGAGGGTTCTTCGGGTGGTGATGCGGAGAAGGGTAACGCTAATGGGGAGGATATTGCAGCGGTGCCGACTGCGAGCAGTGCGGGCGCTGGTGCGTTGGCGAGGACCACCGCAGGGAAGAAGCTGGTGCCGGTGTTTGGGATTAACAGGCCGTTCTTCCACATTGATGTGGCGACTGCTTTGAAGAGCGCGGTAAGGAATACTGGCGTGGTAGTTGCCGATGAGTAACTGGCCGAAGCGGGTGTGATGGGATAAAGTTCGCTTTGGATAGCCGGAGTTTTTTTCTTTTCTTCTTTTTCTAAAACGAGATACCTACTACAGTACGTAATGATGAATGACATGATAGTTCAAGGCACTGGCAGTTCCTCAATCATTCAGACAAAACCGCTACTGACAACTGATAGCCTATATAATCATACCCCTACGCACTGATATATGCCTCGAAACCTTTGTTTGGGTTACACCACCTAGTTGAAGCTCACATGGACATGATCCCTAAAAAGTACTTGTCAGCACAAACATCACAACCCAAAATCAAGCTGAGGCATTACTTACCAGTGGTTCTGGGTAAAATCGCCGCGATCCTCCATAGTCCTCCAAGAAGTCCAGCTCTTGACCGAGTCGACCGACGGGTTCCAGATCTTCTGGCCCCAAATAACATACTTGAGGTTGAGGGTGCTCCGGTTGTTCATGACCCACTCGGCAATCTCGCGGCCGGACATGGTAGGAACACCGCCAGCATCCGAGCACATGAAATCAATAGCCTTGCCCACACAATGATCAGACGTGGCGCCCGCCGCGCAGTCACGGATGCAGTAGATCTGCCTGACCCTCCCTGGGAACGCCGCCACGACCTTTTGCGCACCCGTCACCGACACCTGCTTGCACGACCCGACAGCTGGGTAGGTCGGGGTAGAGTAGCCGCCGAATCCCGTGGCGGTGGACGAGCAGCACTTCATTTGCGAAGGGCCCGGGCAGAAGCCTGACGAGGAAGAGCCGGCGCAGTCAGATTGCCAGCGGCAGTTGCCGCCGCTCCCGCAGGAGGACTTGGTGCAGCACTTGATGTCGCCGGCGTCGGCGGGACAGGCGCCCGAGATGGAGGTGCCGCCGTTGGAGGAGCAGGTGGCGGAGCTGACGCAGACACCTACGAAGAAGAAGAAGAAGAAAAGGGTTAGAGAAGAAGACTTGAGGGGCGTGAATAGAGCAAAGTAAAGGGTGCTTACCTGCTGCGCCTCCGGAGCCGGTGCAGGGCTCGTTGACGGCGGCCATGGCCACCGAGGCGGCGAGAAGGGAGAGGAGGGATTGGGTGCGCATGGTGAATAAGGGTTCTGTTCTGAAGGTTTACGAGTGGTAGGAAGACGGTGGTTTGGGTGGATAGATGGCACTCTGAGGAGTCGATCTCTTCAGCCTTTTATACCTCTCCATCTCCTCCTCCAGGAGAACTTGGGTCTAGATCCATTTCGTCGATGCTCGTCTCCTCCCTCAAATTCCATCCTTGGCTTGCAGTAGCCGTGTGGGTGATCGACGTGGATTATTGGTTTCGCCGCCTTGATCAGGAGGCCATGAACATGTTATCCTTGTTGATGGCCGGCGCCACGACGTAATGTCGCGAGTGTTTAGTATCAATGGGGTCGATCTGTGGCTGAATGGCTTCGACCTGCCTATTGAGGATGGATTCTCCGTCTCCCAAGTCTGCCAAGGGAAGCGGATGTCCATACTTTTGGAAAGGCTCAAAAGTCGCTATCCGATAACTTCAGCTGGTAGCCTTTAGATTTTCCAGCACGTGGTGGGATGAGGTCAGTGGCTGCCTGTGGAGGTCGAGTGTTACACGTATTAATCTTGCGCCAAGGTACTCGGCGTGGCATATCTCGTCGACATATCAAGATCGACTTCCTCAAAACGCGGGGGTGCTGGGCTGGCAAAAGTTGGGGACATTGATATTGCAGGAGTGGTGCATGAGATCTCACAGACTGTTCCTGAAGCTAGCTTGTTTTAGGTAAGAGAAAGCCAGGTTCTCCGCTGCTATCAAGCCACTAAAGGGAAGGCACAACCGAGGATCAAAGACCCTTGTCACCGGCAGTCGTGAAACCTCATTCCAAACTTTCAATGTTGACATCATCGACTTGTTCCTTCAGGCAAATGGAGAATGATATTAACACAACCGGCAACCCGCTTGTATTGCTCCTTGATAATCGTCGTTTGTCTTTGAAGCGCTTGATGATGCTCAAACTTCAGGGTCCAAACTGGACAATCCAACAAATAAAAGGATTGTTAATCATCATAACAGAAGGACAACCCCAATCGTGGACACTTATTCAATGACATGGTCAACGGCGTAGAAAACCAGAATGCTTTTTACTCCAGTGTTCCGAGCCAGGGATTTTCAAAGGATGGATTATTCGACAGAAAGTGTTCCAGTACCTGGACCAGAAATCGAACAAAAGCTGCACAATGCTTGATGCCCAGGAACAATCCACCGTTGATTACAGTTATGAGATCTGGGGGGCTTCTGCCTGGGGTTTTTCTTGTCTCGTCTGTCAACTTTCCCGTCATTCTCCTTTTCTTTTTGCTGTTTGTATCTTTTGATCTTCATCCTCTTGTTCATTGGATTGGTGGATGTGGTCCAGATCAATGTGAAAACCCAAGCAGCAACTGAGTGTCTACCTACTTGTAGCGATTCGGTGAATGAGTTGAAAACAAGGAGGCGATGTTCTGAGAAGGACAAGCGGCAAACAACTGCAACAACAACAACAAACCTTCCAATCGTCGACGCTTGACTTCCTCATGATCAAGGTAAAACAGTCACGAAAGAGGTTGGAGATATGTATGTCGCTCGTCCCGGTGCGGGGGACGATGTGTTGCGGCATCGCACATCACCTACTTCTGGGCTGCTGCCACCGACAGCGCGTATATGCCATTACTGTTATCTTGAAAATCATCTTTCTCCGCCAATTCCAACTCAGTGTTCGGACTGTATGATTCTAAGCAGTCTTTCCTTCCGGTCTTCGTGCTGCTTCTCTATGAACCGCATTGTTGGATTGAGGGCCACAATGTGGATACATCAACCATTCGATCAGGACAATGTTCACAGCCTCCCATGCATTGCTGCATGCACATATTTCTCAGCAGGACCGCTCAAATGCGCATCACGGTTCGTTGTTCAAAATGCAAACAGGGCTATATATTCAGTTGGTCGTTCTCCTGCCCATCGCTTCACCTATTCACCCTCTCCACCCCCTTCTCTTGGGCCTCCTCATCCATCACCACCCTTCTAATCACTCTTCGGCAACAAAACTTCCATTCTTTCTCTTCTTCAACCACACCTGCGACCTCGCCACGATGCCGGGCGTCATCGGAATCATTATCTGCAACGGCACCAATCCTCCTAGGAGGAGGAAGGGTGACCCGCTTCCCAAGAACGGTGATTCAATTCCCAAGGAGAAGACGTTGAACCCCCTGGCCCTGGCATTCATCCCCAAGGGCCTGGAGCCCACACCTCCGAGTTCTGCGAATTCTTCTCCAAGTTCGACAAAAGCCGACGTCAGCGTGCTGCCTGGCTACAAGTCCCTGAAAGGGAACAGGTATCATCTCCCTCATATGGGCCCTTGCTCTTACAACATTGACGCAGTTTGGCGCCCTGTGTCTTCTATGCACCATCCATCTTCTCAAGGGGTCTACAACCAAGGCCATCATCGTCAGGCCTCCTATGGCTCTGCCTCCAGTGGCATGCACGGCTTCTATCAAGGAGCCTATACGGCCTATCAGCCAACTCCGGCTGCTGCCGCCGCCACCAACGAATCACACATGAGCTTTTCTCGCAATATTTACCGAGAGGTGATGGCGGAGTTGAACAACCCGTCTCCGCCGAGGCACTTCGTGTATCAACAAGCACCCTTTTACTACCCTCCCACCAGTGGGCAAACATGTTGAATTGAATCCTTCCATCGAGCCAGTATTTCAGCCTACTAACCAATGTTCCGCAAATCCAGTTGGTTGGGGCCCGCGCTTTTGAGAAGTGAATCCTGTCCAACCCTAGATCACCCACGACCAGAGGATGTGAGTCCATCTTTTCCACGCCCGACAAGATATAGTTCTAACATGACAACGCAGCTCGTTCGCAGTAGGACGGGTTGGACCGACGGCCGAGGGAACACATACTGGGAGGAGGAGCATAAGGGGGTGGCTCCGAAGGAAACAACGGGGCCATGATTCATCACCCTGTCCATTCTTTATTAATTTTCCTTTGTCTACCTTTACGTTTTTCTCGTTGATCAATCACCATCAAGCGACAATCAGCAAGCGGCATGGAAGCGCTTTGCAACCTTGCATGGATATTAAGAAGCCAGCGATGATAAGGTAAGGTATGGAACGTTTTTTCGTGACAACGAAGAAATTTTAATGTTGCAATTGAAACTCCCTTTCTTTTTTTTTTTTTTTTTTTTTTTTTTTTTTCCGAGTATCGCAGTCTCCCCGAGGATGTGATCATATGTTGCATAAACTGATAAACTGGGCTCTGGGCAGAGGTAGGTAGCTAGGTACATACGGTCGTCTGTGACACTGCCCTCGCTCTTTCCACTCGGAATTCCGAATGCGAATCAGGTAAAATCAATTTGATGCATCGCTTCGCATGTGTAAGTTCCCTTGATGCCTAGGTTTTCAGTGCATCTATCCGAAGTGCGTAAAAGCGCACATGAGTAAGGGCCTGGGTACCTATCGTGCACTGCAACTCCAACCAAAGCGAGGATAGGTAGGGATGTGCATGCGTCTGCTTCTACCTTACTTATGCACTACGACGGCGTCAAACTAACATCGAAAGCGGGTTTAGCTCAGTTGGGAGAGCGTCAGACTGAAGTCCACTTCACTCCTAAATCTGAAGGTCGTGTGTTCGATCCACACAAACCGCATTTCTTTTTGCATTTTTTGTAGGTGGGCCTGGCTAGCGGCGGCGGAGATTCAGGGGAAGTAAACAATGAATTGGTTGGAGTTGCTGGCTGTATGTACCGTGTGCATGGCATGGTCGACAAAAATACCTAAGCACAGGTGGCCGGCCGGGTGCGCCAGCCGCTGGAAATGCAAGTGCCTTTTTTGTTGCATGCACTGAGTGCATTTCTTTGTTCCGAAGAGATCAATCAGTGATGCTGTGAAGGCGTTTTAAAACGGTCTGGAAACACCAGAAGTTAATGAATAGTTTATTTACATGAATGGTGAATGAATGAATGAATGAATGAATGATATGTCCAAAAATTGACTGAAGACTTCCAAGAAAATGTAAGAAGACGATTGTTCTTGAAAGAATGTGAAGTGACAAATCCAAAGGAGCGAATGGGTCAGTCAGTCAGTCCCTGAGGAGTGCACGAAGCGAGCTCAGTCAAAAGAAATGTGCACATGAAAGGACCAAAGAAGGTAACCAAAACCGCCCGGTAACAGGCAAAAGGAGAGAATAATCCTCCTCCTCTCTTCTCCTTCCTCGTCTGAGCCAGAACTGCTTCGCGCCCTGACGGACGGGGCGAGTCCCGGTAAGGAAAATGCAGCTCAGTTAGAGACGTAATGAGCGACGTACCCAACCTCCATCATCGACCCATACCCATCCTTGGTGTTACTGTTCGGATTACCGGGCTGTATGTAGTTATGTTTTGTCGTCAGCATTCACTTATCCTTGATCAAAGTTGGGTAAAATTCAGAGGCAGGATAGAAACACTTACCCAGTCCCCGCCAACAGCCACATTCAAAATAAAGAACAACGGCTTATTGCTAATCTTGTCAAACGCCGTCCACTCATTGAGCGACTGTCCCGAAACCTCATGGAACTTGACCCCGTCCATGTACCACGAAATCTTGGAAGTCCACCAGTCGCCCGACGTGCGATCCCATTCGATCTTCCACGTATGCCAGTCCTGGTTCGGGATCACGGTACTGCCTCCTTTGCCCGTCGGCTCGTTGCAAGGCCCGCCAGGGAACGTTCCGCAATGGAGGGTCCCGTAGCCCCTCAGATCGCCGTTGACAGTCTCGAGGATATCGAGCTCGCCGCAGGCGGGCCAGCTGCCGCCTGTTCGAAGCTCGTTGCCTAGTAGCCAGAAAGCCGGCCAGATCCCGGCCTTGGTGTTGGTCGGGTTGCTGCCGAAGCGTATGTCAGCCTGGGCGACGGTCTTCTTGCCCGGAGCGGGGGTGAAGGTGTAGGTGGACTCGAGGCGGCCGGAAATCCAGTCACCGTTGCCATTTTGCTGGCGCCAAGGGACGATCTGGAGGGTGTAGCCGCCGCTGACCTGGACGGTCTTGGTGGAGGACGAGTAGGTCTCGAGCTCGTGGTTGACGTTGAGCTTGCCGTTGATGATGTTCCAGCGGCCAGTGTTGGGCGAGGTCGCCGAGTTGCCTTCGAACTGGTCGTACCAGACTAGGTTGTAGCCCTGGAGAGTGGGAGGGTACCATGCTGAGACTAAGGAGGGGAGAAAGGGAAGGAGGATGGATGGAGAAAAACGCATTGTAACTGTGTTTAACTGTGTTTGTGGTAGAAAGGATTGTGTGAAGTGAAACAGGAAGCAATATACACAAGTAGGACAAGAAGCCTGGTAAATATGTACAGACAAGGTTGAAGGAGTGTCGGGAAGCTTCTGCTCTGATGAAGGTAGGGATAATGTCTTGAGAACGGGGAGTTATGTTGCAGTTAAATATCCACCTCGAACACCCTCTTACCGTCTTGACTTGGAGAAAGCAGCCGTACTGCGGCGGAATGGGGATCGGGGTAGGATCAGCCGATCATACCGAGTACTGCTAAGTATGAGAAGTGTGCCATCAAGGACATATCACTTGAACGGTTTTCAAGCCTTTCTTGGTTCTTGGTCCGAAAGACCGGATGAGTGTTGCTAGCATCGAGAAGAGACTTATTCAGCGACGTCCGGTGTTGGCGGAAAGCTGGATGTTACTGTATCAGCATATCGGATATATCCCGGAGCTGGTGCCTGAAGGAGCAAAGGATCCTTCGATGAAGTATCGGGTCTAGATGTCAGTTGCCGTTCGAGAACTGTGTGATTATGTCTGGATCACCAGCATCCCAAATCTTCGTCACCATGTGGCCACCCTGATTATTGAGGGCCGACCTCCAATGACAGTGAGTTATCGGGTAGAAACCCTATGATGTTGAGATTTAGTAGTCTGCCGAATGTGTTTTAGAGTAGTAGGTAGTTTAAGGTCCAAGCCAAAGTTGATAGCGAGCAAACATGTTTCTGTTGTCTCCATTGGGCCACAATAGACGACGTCGTTAGATGAAGGGTCCAAGGGCCGATACTGTCACCGTTACAGTACCGTAGGATTAAACCCCAGAGTGGCGTCTGCCGTGCTTTGTCCAGGCGTTGTTCCTGCGCAAGTCTGCCTCTAGCGGCCTGTGGCATTGCGTAGACAGGGGAGATGTTGACTTCAGGGGTGTTACCCTGGTCTCGCGGTTTTTGGCACCCTCTTCACGCGGAGTTGTCCTTTTTGGACAACTACAATAACTTTGGTGGCATCGGTTCGGTGTCAGAGGGATTGCATGCTGCCAGGCAAGTAACCCGTGATGAGGAGTAATACCGCCGAGTATGCTACCCACGGTTCTCGGTTGCGGCGATTTAGTCGAGCAGAAAAGGTAAGTGCTTAGGCACAACGGGCTTTTTGTGTAACGCTGTGTACTCGGGGCTGTCTTCCACTTTGACATCCGTCTATCAGGTTTTTCCATCTCACCCATTGCCTCTGGGGTTTCAGAGCCGTGAGTGACGAGATCGTGGGGCCGCCATGTCTGAGATTTCTCCTCCAGTGATTGCGTCAGCCAGCCGCATGGCATTGATTGTTAACCTGGAGCATTAACAGGGGATCTTAAGCGTCTGCCGAGTTTGCAAATCAATGCCGAGCGGTGTTGACCAAGGCCTTGGGTCTCGAGTGCAGTTGAGAATCGTGGAAGTTCTGGGGTAGCGTTCTCATTGGCTGGATCATTTCCAAGTCGAGATTGTCAGGGGCACATGCACCGTTTACCGTGCAAAGGAAAAGGAGGAGGGATACGACCCTGTTCTCCAATCTTAGCCACGCGTTCTCATCTTGTGGTTGTTTCCTGACTGCAAGCACTTGCATTCGATGAAGTCGAAACAATCCGTTGAGTTTTGGCAACCGTTATCCGATTCCAAGCGCTTCGACTGTAGGCTAGATCCAGACTCATTGGCAAGGCGTCAGTCAGGTCGTGATTGTTTCACATTTTGCCCGCAGTATCGCCAGTATCCGGCTCAGTCAAACCCACTGTCAGACCGAATAGGAAGCTGTGCAGATGACTGGGTATAGGAGGAAAATATGGGATCCATATGACATTGGCAGCTGGGAGAAGAAGGCGCTCATGGAGAGAGTGTGGATCATGAAGGAGGCAAGGCGAGCCGAACGTCCATGTTCAAGATCGGGCGAGTGTCCCGGATCATTGGCGCCCACCCTCCTCCGCCTGACTGATGTAGTAGGCATCGAGCAAAACTTGGATTTGCGTCTATCGAATAGAATTGGACTAGATGACTTTAGCATATCACTATTCAGATCACTAGAACTGAAGTGACTGCCACGCCCTGGATGGAATCGTTCATATAGACTCTGAGTCTGATGTTGTTGTTGGCGAGTTGCTATCGAAAGGCCAGTAACCGAAATGGACGATGGGACGATCGATAGTAAGGCAAAAAGACACCAGCACAGCACGGGCAAGTGTGTAAAAAGAATTGAAAACCTCTGAGCAGGAGGTCATCGCATGAACTTGACAAGAGTGGGATTCGAACCCACGCCCTTTCGGACCACGGAACTGAGTAATAACTCGGATTAAGGGTTAACCTTAACGTGGCGCCTTAGACCGCTCGGCCATCTTGCCTTTGATTTAGTTGTTTTTTCGTTGGAGATTTTCAATTCATGAACTTTGTGGGTTTCCGCCGTCTTGAAGAGAAAAATCTCATGTCGAAAAGGGCGGCAGCTTATCGGATAAGCGGTGCGACCCACTAAGGTATTAGGGGCTTGAAGTTTGTCGGGTGGGTACAGGTACATACGGGTGCGGCACAGAGGCAGCTCCACACTACCGGCACCGACTTTAGCGGCCTGCACCTTGCCAATGCCGGACGGCAGATGGGGGATGCGCTGTTGTGCTGCGCCAATGTGAACTTTAAAACAAACAACAACCTTCGACAACCTTCCCATTTCATGGCGCACCACAATCTCGACAACATGCCCCTGTCTGTCTTTTGATATGTTCTTGTCATTTCACTACATTAAGGTATATACATAGGGGTATCGTATATCATTATACATTCCACGACATGCAACCATCGTCATCATCATCAACCCCGCACCGAGACCTCTCGATGAAGCCATTTAGATCTCCTCACCACCGCCGCAAGGGCCGGAGTGGGAGTGGGTGTGAGCCTCGTTGGCGCGCTTCTTATTGCGCTTGAGGGTCTGAGCAACATCACCATCCCAGCGGCGCTGCATGAGGTTGATGGCGGGAAGCGACTTGAAGGAGCGGGCGTACTTGGCCACGCTGTTGGCGATGGCCTTGGTGTTAAGGAGGAAGGCGTCCCAGGCGATGTTGTCAATGTTGTCACCGGCCTTGTGGTAGTTGACATCGTACGAGATGCCGGCGGTGCCACCGATGGCGGCAGCCTCCTCCTCAGTCTTGATGCCCTCGGCACCGGTAAAGATGCCGCCCGAGGGAATGCCGTTCTCGATGAAGGCAGCATAGTCGGAGCGACCGCTGAACTCGGAGGGAATGGAGGCGACCTTGTTCTTGACGAAGAACTGCTCAAAGTCCTTCTCGATGACGTCAGAGCCCTGGGGACCGGTCAGGTTGAAGGCGCTGCCGTCACCGTCGTAGATGCCGTAAACATAGTTGGGGGAGGCGATCTGTTTTTTTTTGACCCGTTAGCATCACTGTCATTATATGGCTGACATTTCACAAAGGAAAACATACCATATCGAAGTTGAGGTAAGCACGGATCTTGGCGAGCTCAGTCTCGGAACCGTTGAGGGACTTGACATAGTACTCGGAGCCAAGCAGGCCAAACTCCTCAGCGGACCAGAAGCCGAAGCGGACGGCATTCTTGACCTGGAATTTGGTGAGGGCCTTGGCGACGGTCAGGATACCAATGATACCGGAGCCATCATCGTTGATGCCGGGGCCGGCGGCAACGGAGTCGGAGTGGCCACCAACGACGAGGACGTTGTTATGGTCACCGCCCTTGGTCTCGGCAATGACGTTGAAGCTGACACGCGGCTCGGTGATGGCGTCGACCTCGAACTCGGCGTTGACCTCCTCACCAGCCTTGATGGAGGCGACGAGAGCCTCGCCGTCCTCCTTGCTGACACCGAGAACGGGCGCATAATCCTTGAAGGCCTCGCCGAGGGTGCCGGAGAGAGAGCCGGCAACGTTGTTGTAGATGAGCAAGCCGACGGCGCCAGCCTCCTTGGCGCTCAGGGCCTTCTGACCGAAGCTGCAGGTACCACGGGAGACGAGAACGATGTTGCCGGAAGCCTCAGCAGGGTACTCGGCAGCGGAGCAGCCAAGGCCCTCGGCATAGACGATAGGACCAGTGGCAGTGCCAGCGGGGGTGTAGGTCATGATCTGGACATCGAGGTCCTTGCCGTTGACGCTCAGGGAGCCGGTACCGGCCGAGTAGGTCTCGGTGAAGGGCTGCTTGTAGACGTCATAGTAGCCGGTGTCCTTGAGGGTGTTGTAGAGGAAGTCGACGGTGGCGTTGTGACCGGTGCTACCAAAGACACGGGTGCCGCTGTTGGCGTCGGCAATGTCCTGGAGCGTCTGAGCACCGGCGCGAATGTCCTTCTCGGTGATGAGGTGCTGCAGGGCGTCGGAGCAGACATAGGGCTTCCTGGTAGGACCGCCTTGGCTGGTGGAGGCCAGGGCGGGAACCGCCAGGGCGAGGGTTGCGAGGGAGGCAGCGACAGTTCTCATTTTGGCGGATTCAACACCTATGTTTTCCGAGAAAGGATTGGAAAAGACTGAGAGGAGGCAGTGGTAGAGATGTAAGACAGGAACGTGGGAATCACCAGCAAGATATAGAAAACCGAAACCATGAGCTATCGAGCTCCCCCTCCCATCATGTCGAACCCCCTGCCTGTTGTTGCTCTGCAGCAGCGCGACTCAGTTCACTACACTACACGACAGCACATTCCAATCTCATGTCAACCTCACAATCACCACCATCTTCTCCATCACGTCAACGAGGCCTTGATAATCGACAACACGGCGGTCCGAAGGGACAAGGCTCCCAAAGTGGCAGTTGATGCAACGCTCCCACTAGTCTTCCCCAGTTTCCTGGCCTTGGCGGGCTTTAGGCTGGGTTCCTCCGGGCTAGCCAAGGAAAGCCAAGCGTGATATCGCGGGAGCTGCCTCTTTTAGCATGGCGCCCATCGAGGCTTATTGTTGGCAGCCCCACGGTTCACCACGGTCCATTGCCGAATGTCGTGCTCTGCTAAATCCAGAATGGCAGGTCCTGGGACGGCCTGGACTTGGCTACGAGGATTCGGCATTCTTGGGAATCTTGGGATCTCGGTATTGTCTTTCTCTCTCTCTCTTGCGGGGTGGACCTGGGTTCATTTTTGGTTACTTTCGATCTGGACTGGCCTGTTGCATTCCTGTCTACCGTACTGTACCTATCTGTACGCCTTACACTATTATGTATCGACCTCTTGGAGACAACTTGGGTTGCCTATCTAGTTTCGAAGTATAGGAAACCGGTTCTGCAGACTTTTATGAGGCTACAATACGACGGACGACATCATCGTTCGGATCAGAATCTGAATAACCGAACCAAAAAAAAAAAGCCGGCCTGCATCGAGGTTGGATTCGGAGAGATATCGAGCATCAAGCACGCACGAACAACGTGGGGGATGTCATACCCAATTCTTGACAAGGTGCGTGCCTCGAGAAGTGTGTGCCTGCGTGCCTTACATACCCGACCCTCCAAGAAATGCCACGCATTTCCATTCTCTCCGAGGTTGGAAGTTGGCAAGATAACACCTTGAAAAGGTAGGTAGGTAGGTAGGTAGGTGATGCCACAAGGCGCCCAGCGGTGAGTAGGTACAGTACAAGAACGTCTTCCGTCATCTCATCTCGGGCATGGCAACCCGAAGTAGGAACTCACCGAGTCGTGGTGGTTGGTGACTTGGTGGTAATTTCGATAGCAGGTTTGGACTGTCTGTGAAGGGGTTAGTCCAGTGAGCTCACTGCAGGAGACCTTTTTTTTGCGTTGCGCCTATCTTTGAGGTTAGGAGCTTGGCTGAGCGTGGGTGGTTTTTCGGGTTGTCTTGGGTGTGGTAATCAGGACACTATAACTAGGTGAGCTACGAACACGAACTGAACCAACGTGATACTAGGCGGTGCATATAGGTAGGCTATGGCCAAGGCCAGCATCGCAATATTGGTTTGGGGTGTCACTCATATGACCGTATCTTTGGGTCATCACCTTCCATATCTTTTCGGCTTTTCGGGGTTGCATACGACTTCACTGTACACCGCATGCCGTGGAGATAGACTTTCATCGCAGACGAAGGATGTCGGAAAATTGGACAGGAACCAACGACGAACGTCCTCAAAAGGATCTAAGACACAAAATTCTTACGTTCTAGGGTTTTATGGAAATCCGATGGGTTCGTTATCAATCTGAAGCTTCATCGTCCAAATCCACGATCCCAGTGTCATTGGCCGCCAAGCCAGGCGTTCAGGGGCAGGTACCCCGCAGAAACATTGCAGCTGCGTCCAATTGAAGCTCGGACTTGGTAGCGTCCAGATGCCCAGAGCACAGGAACAGGGGGTAACGGGCAACCAAGAACAGAACCTCCACGGTCAACAAGTTCGGTGCCGTCTCTACCGTCAATGTTGTCGAACCGAGGTGCATCGCATACTTCATATCTATATGTGAGTTCAGTTAGCCTTCATCATCTTTACGCTTGTAGAGATGCAATCTGGATTTGAAGTATCCTCCACAAGGGCAACCAACATCTTTACACTCGTAAAGATAGTTATTTGTATTTGCCGTATTCAACCAACCACCATCTCTACACTTATAGAGAGAGTAAAAGCTATCCAATCCTTGTCTATTTAGCGAGCCTAGCCAAAGTCGTTTGGAAGCGCGAGTCCCGGCTTCCTATGCTGGTGAGAATCTAAATAACTACTCAACTCTATCCGAAAGACATATACATGCTGATGATGCAGTGGGCATGAATCTATCCAGCCCATCAATCCCACATGAACCAACCCACGGGATGTTTATTTCGCTGTATCAGTCTCTTCGAAGACAAGCCAAAACCACATGAACGCCTAGCCTGCTTGATCACCTTGCCTCCCCTTTCTCGCTCCCTTGCTGGAATTTTGGATGATACCGCCATGCCGTGATAATGCAAAGAAATGGAACGCGCTGTTCCCAGTTTCCCCAACCCCCGAATCGTCGCAACTTAGTAACCTGGCCACAACAGAAAACCCAACCCACTCTGCCCCGGAACGTACAATTTTGATACAACCAATGAAGTCAGATACGTGGCCAAGACCACAGATACGTCAACCACGTTGGTGAAGAAGCTCATCTACTTCTTCTCCGCCTTGCTGTCGACCTCCGACTTTTCGGAGGGCTTCTCCTCGGCAGTAGCAGCAGCGGTCTTGGCCTTCTCAGCGTCCTTTCCCTGACGGTACTTATCCATCTTTTCAGAGAGGTAACGTATCGTGCGCTTGAAGCCGCTGGTGAGAGGGCCCTTCAGAGACTGTGTGGTGGCTGGCCAGTTGATAGTCTGCTTGATGACGCTCCGGACTTGCTTGCGAAGCTCCGCGGGGTCGTCGCTGGCAATACGCTGCTCGAAGCCTCCACCCTGGCGACGCTTGAACGACACGGCGTCCTCATTTCGACTTTCCTCCATCATCTTGTTGAACTCGAGCTGGGGGATCGCAAACTTCTTCTGGTACTCGAAGTAGAGCTTCGAGCGGAAAGCCTTGGGCAAGCGGCGAACCATGTTTCCGCGCTTGACAGGGTCCATATCCTGCAAAAGGTTGAGGCTCTTGTCGTTCCAGATCCAATCACGCTCGGTGGCGCTGGCATCGTTGTACTCCACGTTCGGCAGTGTCTCGATCAGGGGAAGATAAAGGCGGCGGAAGTTGGTCATGTTGTTGCCGACAATGTTCTTCACCTTGCTCGGGTTCTCAGTGGGAAGAGACATGCGCGGGTCGCCGAGATAACTAATGCCGGCAATAGTAGCAAAGAGCTCGTCTTCGGTGAACTTCGGTGGCAGCAACAGCAGGGCTGTCCGAAGAGCAGACAAGAGGTTGATCTGGTTCGCCAAGCGAATCTTGGGATCATCACGGAGAATCTTGACAGGCTTGTGCAGTCGTCCAGCAAGATACAATGTATCCCACTGGGTGAGATCGCGCTCAAGCGTATCCAGCTGCACAACGCCGTACTTGATCAAGATCCCATTGACAATGACGTAGGGTTGAAGTACACTCCAGCGCCCATCTTGTCCTGAACGTACGAAACTGCACCTGAGCCCAGGCTGGCCAATGCCGAGTAATGGTGACGGTGCTGCTTCATGTTGAGCGAGTGCCAATGCTGGGTATGGGTGACGCCAAAGATGAAGTCGATCATTTTGGGAGTTCCATCCTGGGCTCTTTTGACGGCTTCGGGCGCCTTGGGATGAATTTTGCGGAGCTCTTCGTCCGAAATAACTTTGCCGCTAGACTTGGACTGCGGGAAAACACCAGAACCGTAGGCAAAGGCGTATCGAATTGGGGCTCGGAACTCCCAAGGTATCTGCTTAAGAACCTCCCTGAACTCGGGATCGAAGGGAATGAACTGGTTGACGCCGAAGTTCGCATGGGGCAGTTGTTTGAAAGAGTCAATGTTCATGTTTACGTTCGTCTCCCAGTCGCTGGTGTCATTGAGAGTTGTGGTGCTGGAAGAGGCAGAAGAGCCAGAAGCCTCGTCTAGGACGGCCTGCTTGGACTGCGTGTCCTTGGAAGCCGTATCCGCGGCGACGTTTGCGGCGCCTTCATGTTCGGCACCCTCTTTGGCATCCTTGGCCTGATCGGCCGCATCGTTGTTGTCGCGTGCTGTGGCATATCTGCGCCGTAATATGGGAGCTTGTCTCTGGGAGTATAGCGAGCTGGTGGACAAGACAGCTTGGGAGCGGAAAGGACTGGCGCGCGCGAGCAAGGATGGGACGCGCGGGTTGAGCCGACCCTGGAGAAGCTTTGGTTAGCATGGTTGTCTTTAGACGGTCCGTGGGTATGACAGGCAAATACATGGGAAGAACCTGAGGACAGCCTGGGGACAGAGCTGGAGACGTACCGCGAGGACTTGGGGGAGAACCCCTCTACTAGCCATCACGACAAGGTGGAAGCTTTAGCTATACTCTAGACGGGAAAACTGGCGATGGAGCGCGAATGGTACTGGTTCTTGGTCGTAACGGTATTTGCTGGAGCTGCGGAGGCTGCGGATGGTTACCTCTGGGTATAATTCATAAGCTGGGGGGAATGGAAGGTTCGGGTCAGGCTGGAGTAGTGCGACGCGGAGGTGGTGGGATAAAGGGTGAGGTTGTGGTGATTGGGATTGGATGAAGGTCGGAAATGGCCGCTGGATCAAAGGAAAGAAGCTCGTCGCAGCTCCAGCTTCCAGGTCTTCTACCGGCATTCCACTCTTCCACAGGGACGGCACAGCTAAATTCCAGGGTTGCTTTTCCACTCCATCGGTGGGCTCTTTGCTGTCATCTGGTGGGGCATCGCGGTGTGATAGCCGTGGGCTAACTGCAAAAGGTTTAGGCAAACACACAGACCATTCTGGGGTGACTTGCATTTCTGACGTTTTCTCCCGTCCCTTGTCTTGAATTTGAGCCCCACTCACCGGGTCGTTGAACTCGGGCTCCTCTCGTCCATTTCATGTTACCATTTTACACTCCAAGGCTTCGGTCCGAAGTCCTCATTTATTTCAATGTCGGCTTCATGGACATGTGATTGAATGACGAAGGGGCTGTGAGAGTGTGGCTTCTTACCATAAAGCACAGCACAGTGGCCCAGTTTGGGAGATGACATAAGGACTGCTTGTACATTACGCTAAGGTAGGTACCTCTTTACTTAACGGAAGGTATGGAGATGTCAGCTCTTTGAGCCTCATCATCCCAAGAGGACTTGTAAAACAACAATTGCTCCTAGCAATAAAAAAAGTTACGGCCTGGTTAAGACTCCTGAGGAACAAGCCATCAAAGCTGGGCATAGTTTTTGCCACTATGCCTTTGGAACAGGATAATAAATATACCATGGCACGACATGGCATCATACCACATAGTAACTGGCCAGGAAGCTATACACAGTACGTCAAGCTCCATCTTTGAGAGAATCTGAACCAAGGGCTGATCGATCTCGGACATCTGAAGATCTGCTTCGCAAACTGGCTACAACCGCTGGACCACAAGAGGCCATTATCCAAGCCAAGCTTTTCTGAGTGACACTGGTCCATGCCCTCTTAGACATCTTCCCCCTTGTACCTGCCAGGTTCTCCAGACTGACGTCGCGAACCGTTTCCCATTTCCCCTGGTCCTAGCTGCCCTTGTCAGTGTGTTCTTTGAAGCCTCCAATCTTGGCAGACCGGTTTCCATGCTGGGTCCACTAAAACAATTGTTAAGCCCACCAACAGAGCCACTGCACCACTGGTCTCCAAGCAATTGGGGAAGCGCTAGTAATCTTGACGCCGCGACCGCGATCTCAAAGTAAACACAACATCAAACACCGACCTGCAGTCACTTTGTCGCATGTCGCCAGTCCACACGCCGACTGCGCTTTTCACGCCATGCCGCCGCCGTCGTCAATCCCTCAGCCCGGTCAGGGCAAGCCGCCCTCACGACGCGGCTCTGTAAGCGGCCCCTCAGGTCCGCAGGGGCAGTTTCGTGCCAGCATTGGAGCCAGCGCCATCCCACGCCCGCAGACAACGCTCAGAGGACCCAGGGTACGTTTCTGCCTGTCGCAAATTGAACATGATCCATCCCAGACGAAATGATGCTAATGAATTCCCCTATGTAGCCGGGAGGTTTTCGTGCTTCGATTAGTGCTCAGCCGTCTTTCACCTCCAACGTCATCAGCGATTCTCACATTCCGCTCTCGATTACCAACTTGAGCCGTTCGAGTTCGCGGCAAGGTCGTACACCGACCGGGCCATCACCGCCGCCTGCCAACGATGAAACTGCGGCCAGCTCTACGAACCAGACGCGCGATAGCAGCAAGGAAAATATCGCGCCTCCAGATGCTGCAGAGTACGAAGCCCAGAGGCGGCGCATCGAAGAGCTGAAGGCCGAGGTCGGCACTCTCAGCTACCAGATCAACAACTATGAGCAGGAAAAGGAGTTGGCGCGACTGCAGATGGACAACGAGATGCGCGATATCCGACGACGCGCTGAGGAGGATTTCAAAGCAAAACAGGCCGCCGATGCCGAAAAGTCCAAGGCGCTGCGACATGCCGAATCGCTCCAAGCTGAGTTGGACGCCCTACGAGCCAAGAAGGAGACCCAAAAACGAGAACTCGATGCGCAGACAAGGGAAGCACAGGAAGAGGCCAGATTACTTCAAGAACAAGTTGAGGAGTTGAAGGCTAGCAAGGAGGATGCGGCAAGACTAGCGGAGCGAGAAACTGCCGAATTGAAGGCCAAGGTTGCTCTGCTACAGAGGACTGCTCAAGAAGCAGAGGAGGAGAACAGAACACGAAATGATACCCTCGAAAAATTCAATGCCCAACTGGCAGAGCGAGACGACACGATAGGCAAACTCGAAGCCGAGGTGCTTCGACTTAAAGCTCACACAGGCGATGCCGAGACAGTATCCGTGATCCGCAGGGAGCTCTCGGACCAAGTCAGTCACATTCGGATGCTCGAGTCCAAAAACCGCGAGCAGATAACAGAGCTCAAGCACCTGCGACAGATTCACAAGGCCGTGGAGGTGGTAGAGGAAGAGAAGCGGACACTGCAGAGGAAGTTGGAAGCGGCGCAAACTCTGGAGACGGAGCTGGCCGAGGAACGAAGGCAACGTCTAAGACTGGAGAATGAAAGAAGGTCATGGACCGCGTACCTCGAATCGAACTCAGAGGGTCCGGTCGAGTTCCACTCACCTGAAGCCGTGGCAAGGTCGTTGGTAGAGGAGCGCTTCCGCTCTGCCTCGCTCACCGAGCGGCTGGGTGCTCTCCAGCCAGAGATTGCCGACCGTGATAACATCATCAAGTCGTTAGAGGATGAGAAGGCCAGACTCCTCGAACAAATCGAGAAACTCCGGGCGACCAGCGGTCCCACTGCTAACGACAAGGCCCGCGCCCGTCTCGACAGGCAACGCGCCCTGGCCGTCAAGGAAGTCGAATACCTGCGCGCCCAGCTCAAGACCTTCGACATGGAAGACGTCACCATGCAACCTGAGCAGCTTGACGAGCAAAAGGCCAAGCGGATCCAAGAGCTCGAAGATCTCGTCGACAAGTACAAAGAGGAGGTTAACACCCTCCATGCCGACCTGACCTCCCTCGAGTCTGCCACCACCAGCCCCGTCCAGCCCGTCGGCCACCACCTTCTCGGCACCAAACGGTCCCGCGACGAGACCGACGACGTCGAGTCCGAACAACTCGGCCAGCTGGCCCGCAAGAACCGCAAGCTCCAATCCGAGTTCTCCGACCTGCAAACCGCCCACCGCATCCTCCAAAAGGAGCACGAAGTGCTCTCCTCCCAGCTCTCGGCCGCCAAAGACCAGCTCAAAACCCGCATCCTCTCCCTGCGCGACAACCCGACCTCGGAATACGAAAAGATCAAGACCGACACCCTCAAAGCCCTCAAGCTCGAAAACGCCGAACTGCTGTCCCACCTCGAGCGCCAACCGACGCTCTTCGCCACCGTCCCCGCCACGCAAATCGCGGCCCTCAAGCGCGACATCCAGGCGGCGCAAGCCGAGACGGCCTCGGCTCAGAAACGCGCCGACCGGCTTAAGCAGGTATGGACCGCCAAGTCTGCCGAGTTCAAAGAAGCCGTGTTCAGCACGCTCGGGTGGACCGTCACGTTCATCCCCGGCGGCAAGATGCGGGTGGAAAGTGTTTACTACCCTTCCAAGACGGAGGAGCATGAGAACTCGATCGTTTTTGACGGGGAGAAGGGCACGATGAAGGTGGGCGGAGGACCGAGGAGTGAGTTTGCGAATAAGATTGCGGATAATATCCGGTTTTGGGTCAGGGAAAGGGGGGAGGTGCCGTGCTTTTTGGCGGCCTTGACGTTGGAATTTTATGAGGAGATGAATGGTAGTAAGCAGTTGACTACTGCTGGGGCCAGTGGTAGTGATGGCTCTGGGACGCCTATGGAGGGGGTAGTAGTGGCTGGAACTGGAACTGGAACTGCTTAGTAGGTCAGGGACTTCAAGTTCTGTGGTCTGATACCCACCGGACGTGGTCGGCGAGGCCGGGGGGTAGATGTTGGTTTCGAAAGCATCAGAATGGCGTTGGCACGTATGTCTTATTTTGCCTTGTTTTGTAAGTTGCTCCGTGTCCTTCTCAGAAAGACCTAAAAGGGAGGACTTGAACGAAGTGGCGAATGCGTAGTTTTTTTCTTTCTCGTCTCTTAAAAGGGTAGCTAACATGGAAAAAGCGAATGAAATCAGAAGAGCAATGGTACTATAGATGTAATAATTTGACCACACTCATATTGCATGGAGATGGAACAGCGGGGGGTGGGCAGTTATTTACTTTTAGAAATGATGCAATGACGACCCCTTTGATAATAAGACCATCCAACAACCTCAACCCATTATTTCGTTTAGAAACTATAAGTGATCCGGACGCAGATTCCAAAACCCTTTAATCATTTTTAATTCTCCGTCAACATCATGCCTAACTGCGCCAAATGCCATCCATACAAATACAGATAGATACAAAGGTGACTGATTAACATTTGATATCACCAAAATAACAAAAGAAATGTATAAAAATACTCATAAACTCCATTGTACCGCACCGCGGAACTGCTGTGCTGCCCGCTCGCTGGTAGCATATTCCTCACGGGAAGAAAAGACAACATCAAAAGAACCCATCCAACCATCCATCCGGTCTGTGACGAAAAAAAATCCTTATCTTAAACACGACTCCCGAAAACGCATCGGATAGCCCACCATCACACCATCACATCATCTTATAAAACCTCACCCAGTAACCCTCCGAACCCACAACGTAGTCGGCTCAAAGCTCGCCTCCTTCTCCTGCCTCTTATACGCCCGATGCAGCTTCAATCCCAACTCGTACATCTCCCTCTGCACCTCCGCTAGCTCCGTCTTGAGCGCCTCAACCTTTTGCTTCTCCACCTCGCGCTTACGGCGGACCGCCTCGCTGTTCAAAATATTGTCTGTCGGCATCAGCTCCGTCATCTGCTTGATAGAGCGGGTGATGTTGATGCGGCGGTTGCCGAGGGCCTGGATCTGCGCGTCGTAGAGCGCTACGCGCTCGGAGGCGCTAAGGTCTTTGGGTGATTTTGGTGACGACTTGCCATCGGCGCCGTTGTAAAGACTGAGTGCTTCGAGCTCGGGAGGAGCGGGGGGGCAGGGATTTGTTCGTCGGAGGGGGTGGCGGAGACGCGTCTTGGGGCGGGCTTGGATCCGTTTGCGACGCCGATGGCAGCAGCTCGGTGGTCACGGGCAGCGGGGGATTCACGCTCGACGACTGTTTCGTAGGGCGAGATGATCTGGTCTTTGAGGGAGACAACGATGGGGGCTTGGTCTTTCTTGTTGTAATTGAACCCTTCCAGTTTGGGCCTGCTTCTGTTCATGATGGATTGCGCCGGCTCTTCCTCCTTGGGGCTCTGTGGACGATGTTGCTGCGGAATTCTGGGGACCGGCGGCTGGCTGTCCCTATTGTGATGGAAATCGTCCAGGGACTCGCGTGGGGTAGCGGTGGTAGAGATGCTAGTTGCATAGGTAGTCACGCTGAAACGCGAAGGGGGTTGCATCCAGGGTTCGTCAGCTGGAGGCGGGTTGGCAGCCGCAGGCTGGGGGGCATGAGGCTGCTGCTTTGGCATCAGCACCTCAGGTTGCTGCTGGGAATAAACTGAGGAGACAGAGTCCTGAGGTTGATGGTTGGCGTAGGTCGGGGTGGGCTTCCTCCGGACCGAATTCGGCTGTGGACTGTAGTTCACAGGGGAAGTGTTTGTAGGTGAAACAGGGGAGAATGCCCTCGGAGGGGGGGGAGGACCCGTACTGTCCCGTTGGAGTTGCTGGGCTGCCACGAACGGCGCATCTCCTCGCGGGGTGATGGCAGAATGTGGTGGGTTCGGATAAACTGGACTTCTCACAGGACGCGGCGTTGTTGCGGACTGCGGGTGTATCTGAGACGAGGACATGACTCTCCTGGCCGGGGTCCCGTGGCGCATACCCCATCTGTGCACCAGCACGAGGTGGAGGGGGAATCTCATCCCGTCTAGGAATTCCCAGAGACAACTCAGGTCTTTGACCGGGTCCAGGGGCTTGCTGCGAAACAACCCGTCTGCCATTGCGATCGGGTATCCTTAACGGAGGAACCGCAGGATTATCACGAACAGGGTCAACGATAGCTGTTCGCCCACTTGGTCCACGCCAACCTGGACGATTGGCAGTGAAAGCTCCTGCTGCCGGGTCTGGGCGGCTGTTTCGAGGTTCGGGGCTCGCCATCCTCATCATCCTATCCCCAACAGAAGCCATCCTCGGCTGTGGTCCTGCGAGCGGCGGCGGCGACTGCTGGCGAGCGAATCCCTGACCCGGCCCATAGGGCGCACCCGGCAGAGGCCTGTTCAGCGGACGCCCATGTGCACTGTCCAGACGTTCACCAGTCACGGGATCAAACATGGGAAAACCCGGTCCCGGATTCCGGGCTTGCTGGGACGGGAGTGCACGATTCGCATGAGTATCGCGTAGGGCCGCGTCAGACAGTTTGCGCTGACCGCGGCGCATCATGTTGATACTTGGCGCGGCATCATGGTTCGGTGGAGCTGGGCGGGGCCCGGACCCGGGTAGTATAGGTGCTGTTGAGCGTGTTGGTTCCTCCCATAGGGCTGAGGTTCGAAAGCTCCTTGGGCCGTTTCCTCATATTCCTCCTCGATCGGGGAAACATCACCTGGTGGCAAAACGGGAGGTCGACGGGGTTGGCTATAGCTTGGCTCTGGCGAGCTGGGGGGCGAGATCTCCTCACCCCCTCCATAGCGTTGAAAGTGATGGGACGCCAGCGTGCTAGGTTGTTCAGGGTCGTGGGGCGCAAGAGGAGGAGAGTTCTCCGAATAGACTGACGAGGTGGGTCGGAAGGTCTGCTTGTGTTGCACTGTGAGACGTCGCGGGTTTCTGGGCGGGGGTTGCACCGGGACGGTCTCGCTATAAGTCACCGGAGAGTGGTTAGTTTTTACCGCGATTGTAACAGTCAAAGCGCCCAACTGGGTGAGCGCTTGTTGGTTTATCGATAGCTTTGTTTGAAGGGAGAAGAGGAGGATTGCGCGAGCTAAGTTGAAAGAAATCAGGGAGAGCAGTCGTTCTTCTCCAAGGATTTTTGACTACGCCTCGCTTGGTTTATGATGCTGACAGAAAATGTTGAAGCAGGTAAGGTGGGACAAGATTGTAGATGAATGGTGCATGGTGATGGAAGGGGGGTAGTAGTGGCATGTGAGCTACAGGCGCGCAGCATCCTGTCAACCGGGCATATCGTGGCACAGCGAACACGAACAACCAACGGCTGATGGAAGCTGTCCAACTCAGGCGTGTAAATCCACTACTAAAGGCAACTAGCGCATAGTGAAGGAATCCGCCCTGCAGCTTGTGTCAAGGGCATCGATTCAGCTTTTCCAGCTGAGCCACGACAACCAGACAGCAAAATACCGGAAGAATTCCTGACCCATGAAACAGGAAGGGACAAGGGAATGAATGTGCCATTGAGATGTTGGAATGGGATAATGGAGAAGAAGAAGAAAAAAAAATACATACTATCCAGACGCTCCAGTGTCTGGGGGCGGCGTAGGACCTTTCAAGCTTATGCCTAAGCCTGTAACCGGGTGATGCCCAGATGCAGATGGAGGTTGGTCAAAGTCGTCGCTGTCGCTGTCGCTGTCGTCGTCGCGGAATTCGAATCTGGTGGAGGGGGCGCGCCTGAGAGGATTGAGCTTGGGTTGAGCGGGCATCTTCGGGTTTTAAACAGTTGATATCCTGTTTGGGAAGCTCCTTTGTCCGTGTTGTTGCCGAGGCTTCAAGTTTCGTCTTCCTGACCTCGATCTTCTGCGCTTATGCCGGGCAGGTTGCAAGATCGTCAAGCGCCGGTGCGGGTTGGAGCATAAACAAGCTGGAGGCGGAGACGAGCGGCTCCGAGCTCGATGCTTCAGATACTGTATTAGATATTAAATATTGAAGTGTCCAAGGTCGAGACCAAGAATGGGCAACTGTATATAAAATGAATGAATGAATGTTGAACGAGTGTCTGCAAACCGACCAGCAGGGATGCGTTTCAGTGTGAAGAGGCCCGGAATGAAAGGCTTGGGTTTGGAGGTTCTCCAGCTTTTTTTTTTTTTGGCTGTGGACGGATTGCCAGGGTGTCGAGAGGTGGCCGGCGATATTTAAGCCTGGCCGTTTCCCGCGACCCGGAGAATAAGATGACCGTGTCTGGTGTTTGTGAAGCCGGGGAAAATAAACTTTATTGTTTGAATGTCGTACCTGTCCGTATGTATGGCCAGTGGTTCGCTCTCCGACGACCCCCAGACTTGACGCTGTGTCCAATCCAAAAGTGAGGACTGGTGTAACGCGTTGCGAGATTTTGTTTGAATTGGTGAACCGTTGGCTGTCGTTGATGGGTGAAGGTGAAACAGCCTGTGTCGGTTGTGATTGGCTGAGAGGAAGCGGTACCTGAAGATTGGAATGGACGATCCTGCACCAAGAATATTGTGCGAGGAAAAGGGAGAAGGCGCCATCTAAAAGAGAAAAGATACGGTAGTTTCCATCCAATGCTCCTCTGATGCCTCTCGTCTCCATGGCCCATCCCGTCTGATGCAAAATTATCCAGGACCGTTCAAACTCCAGAGCTCTTCTCCAGACGTGACCAGAGGGCGGTTTGACGGGATCGACGCCCACCACCGAACCCAGCTGCCCAGCAACCATCCAGGACTAGCAGCCCTGTTTACCCCATACTGTCCTGTCCTGTCCTGTAAGTGTGGTGTAAACAAACTTGGCATTGCCCCTGTTCGTTCTGCTGAAATGCCCCTACAGCGGGCTAGTTTATTGATTTCTGGCCCATCGCAAGACGTCACTTCACCATATCTGCGGTTTTTCTCTCTGTTCGTCTTCATTTCCGAAGCTGTAATCAGCGGACAATATTCTCCTGCCTAGGTACTTCCAGTCTTTTCTTGGCTGGCACGGGGGAAGGGGGCCGTTGATCGAAACATGACGGGAGGACCGACCGGGAGGGTGTTCGTTGATGGAGATGGTAAACAAAAAAGGGGTGTTTCACAACCTTTGAATGGTCAACCACAACCCCCATCGATAAAACATCGAACGAATATCCCCGCTTCACCCGCAATTTGTTTGGATGAACCTCACTTTCCACCGGTTCTGTACCTGCGTCGAAATGTGGACGCCCACTTGCAGGGGTAAGCCGTAACCCGCAGCGGCAGGGCACCCCATTAAACGCACGGACGCCCTATGGTTTTAGCGGCCTGGGTAACCAGGGGCGGGTCATCAGAAACGAGTCAAACGACCGCACTCACTCCACTTTTGGGAACCAGAAGTACCGGCAGTACCCTCAGTGTATTTACGGTATTTTACCTACATATGGACGATGTCAGTGTCACACCGGATTCGACCCGCAGGTTCCAAGCCACGCGCCACATGCTCTACTGTGGCGGCAGAAAAGCAAGCGGGGCAGATCTGAAGGGGAAAAGGCTAATATTCACCAGAGAACTTTGCAACCCGCTGGAAGAGAGCTTGACAACTTGGTGAAAATGGTCCAGCGGGGATTTTGGTCCAGCCAGTCAGCCAGTGAGGGCCGACGGTGCCTCTGTCTCAACAAATGCCGGGCATCCCTGACTGATTCAAGATAGCAAGCCAAGTCCCCAAGCAAATGGAATGCTTTTGGGTGAGACTGCTTGTCAACGGACGGTGCTTTGGTAAGAAGAGCCCGAGAGCACGACCCGAGTGAGCCGAGTCAGCAACAAGTCGGGGCAATTCATCCCATCTTTTTCTTCCACTCACCATCTTCTTACGTTTCACTTTTCCACAACATCTTCAGTGTTATGTTCTGGAGGTTTTGGAATTTGGTGTTTTCCGTCTTCTTTGTGGCCCATCATTATCATATCAGCTCCGCAGTTGCCGGTATCCGCGCGTTGCCGTTAAGCCTAAAAAAGGCACCCGCAGCCATCCACATTGGATTCCACTTGTACACTCGTCCGCGCATAGCTCGGCACGGGATCCATTGAGGTTCTTGCCTTGACCGACACCGTCTCACAAACGGAACCATATACACCAAAGAAAGTCGAAAGAGGATCGCGACACATAGAGAGGAGAATATGGGGGACGTCCGACAATTACAGGAGGAACACGCGGCGGCCATGGCAAAGACGAGCGCACAAGAGCCGTCTATCCAGGCCGTGACATCGCAAGCCACTGCAACTTCTTCTGCTTCCGGAAAGAATGTCGATATTCTCGAACTGCCCGCCGTCACACTCACCTGCGAGAAAGGTGAATTGGTAATTCAAGGTATGTGTCAAACCTCCATATACTTTACATCACTCACCTTATCACTCCTTCATCATACCCACACATCCTCTTTCTTTGGACTGGACATCTCTTCTTCCTCATAAGACCTACGTTCGTCCTTAGACTAACCGCAACCGCATGTACAACAACAGAGCATGCCGCTGCCACCAAAAAGTCACGTTCATGTTGTTCAGGTATATATTTGAAAAGCATCAAGTCCCTCTTACACAAGAAATCCTCCTTATAGTCACACAAATGCCCGATAAGGAAGAAGAGGCCCAGACCTCAACCGGATTCCTAAACTACATCCCTCTCGACGGTCTCGACGGCATACTAACCCCGTTCTTCCCCTCCTCCACAGTCACCCCTCCGCGTCGTCTTCCTCCGGGGTCCGTCCCGTTCTACAACATCCTCTGGGCCTACATCACCCCAGACCGCAACTACCTCCGCATCGACTTCGCCGAAGAGACATCACCCAAGAAGCATCAACTTATCGTCCGCCAACTCGAGTTCCCTCTCCCCTCAGCTCCCTCCCAAGCTCCCGAGCGCGAATCACTTTTGTCCCCCACCATTCTATCGCCCTCGGCCGCCACGCTGGACGCCTTCGTCTCCCGCCTTCTCGACCTCGCCTACCCCGCGCCCATCCAACGCCGAAAGCGCGCCTGGGTTCTCGTCAACCCCCAGGCTGGCCCAGGCGGCGCTGACAAGATTTTCGAAAAGGAAGTCCGTCCCATCTTCGAAGCGGCCCGCATGCCGCTCACCATCATCCGCACCACTTACTCGGGTGAAGCCGTCACCCTGTCCCAAGACCTCGACATATCCCAGTACGACATCGCAGTCCCTTGCTCCGGCGACGGCCTACCACACGAAGTTTTCAATGGTCTTTCCAAGAGATCCGACGCCCGCCGTGCTTTGGCGAGGGTAGCAGTGTGCCACATCCCCTGCGGCTCCGGAAACGCCATGTCCTGCAACTTGTACGGCACGCACCGCCCTTCGCTGGCGGCGCTGGCGATTGTGAAGGGCGTGCCGACGAAGCTGGACCTGTGCAGCGTCACGTTGCAGGATGGAGAGCGCCTGACGAGCTTCTTGAGTCAGGCGTACGGCATGATTGCTGATCTGGATATCACGACGGAACATCTGAGGTGGATGGGGGCGGCGAGGTTCACGTACGGGTTCTTGACGCTGGCCATCAGGAAGAAGACGTATCCATGTGATGTGGCGATGAAGGTGGAGGTGGATGGGAAGGGGGAGATTAAGGGGCATTATGCTAGGGGGGTGAGGAGCACGGAAGGGGAAGTTGAGAACGGGGAAGCTAGCGGGGATGGGCTTGGGGAAGAGGATGGTGCAGGAGAGGAGGGAGAAGAGGGGGGTGCCGGGCTTAAGGTTCGGCACGGTGAATGATAAATTGCCAGAGGATTGGGAGGTGGTTCCTCACGAGAAGTTGGGCAGTTTTTATGCCGGTAACGTACGTTTTACCCACTTTTCCTTTTGCTCCTACAGACATGCCATGCTAACAAAACCCCAACAGATGGCCTACATGGCCCCAGACGCCAACTTCTTCTCCGCCGCCCTCGCCAACGACGGCTTGCTAGATCTGATCACCACCGACGGCGACATTTCTCTCTGGAAGAACATCAACATGCAACTTTCTGTCGAATCTGGTCACTTCTTCGATAACCCCCTGGTTTCTTACCGCAAAGTGTCCGCTTTCCGGTTGACGCCCCGGTACCAGGACCCGAACGGCGTGATTAGCATCGATGGCGAGGCGAGACCGTTTGCGCCGTTCCAGGTGGAGGTGCATAAGGGTCTTGGACTGACTCTCAGCAAGAGGGGCGTGTTTGAGGCGCCGGGGCCGCATGGGTGGGATAAAGTTTCGACGACGGAGAGGTTGATGGCCTAAAAAGCTTTGACTTATGAAGAGTTGAGAGGCTTTGGCAAGGGGTTGGAGCAGCGTGAGGCGAAGACTTGGGGAGCATGACACCAGGGAGGGGTCATACCGAGCACTGCGGAGGAAGGTAATGGGGATGAGGGAAATATGATGCTAATGGAGGAGGTTATGATGGGTTTTATTCATGAGCGGGATGGGATGGCAAGGGATGGTTTTGAGAAAAGGTGGTTGGTATAAACGAAGAGGGCTGCGGGTTTGGGTTGGTGGCCTCGGCCGAAAGAGTGGACGAAATATGGGCGAGATACTGGTTCAAGTACATAATATTGATGATACCCTTTGTTGATAAGCGAAGATGGTAGATAGAGCGGAAGACTTTGCGTTTCGGATGGGTTCAAATTGAGAAGGCAATGCATTTGTGGCTTCACTAATTGTTGGTTTCGGTAGTGAATATGATGAATAGCTGAATGTCGACTGGCGATATGATGAATAGTTGAATGCTGACTGACGATCAGAATATCATGATCTCTAGCTTCCAGTATCCGACTGCTATCAACTATTGCAGATATCCGGGCACAGAGCAACAGCCATATCAGACACGGACGGAGCCAACAACACCTTCGGATGAAAACAAAACCTCCAAACCTAACCAGCTAGCATCACCGCCGCCGCCCGGCAGTCGGAGACCGGCACTTCCCCTTCACATTCACCATTCACCACCTCAGGCACAGGCAAACACGGCAGGCCCCTACCCGTCCGTCACTTACACCTGGGTTTATAACCAGCAAGACCAAGCCCCTACCTTTAACAACAGCAATACACAACTAAAAAGAAAAAAAAAAAAGTTAGAGTGGAGTAGTAGTTTAACTCGTCGCCCTCCCAAACTGATCCCGAAAAGGACCAGGTAAGGAGATTCAGGCGGAGACCCGGGTGCGAATCCCGGCTCTAGCATAATTCTTTTTCTTTTTGCACCTCCCGTCTTGGGTCTGAAGGGTGTGCAAGATACCCAGATTGTTGCTCTTATTTTTATCCTTTGATTGCGGTTGTTTTTGGGGGCTTGAGGCGATAGTTGTAGGTCGCGAGAGACTTGGAGGGTTAGGACGTATGTTGCGCTGAGGTTGACTTTTAGATATGAAGGAACGGATGTAGATGGGTAAGTAACTCGTCGGTATTATGAGATTATGACCAGCTGTGATGACAATACTATGACTTTTTTTTAGTAACGATTATTAGGACCGTCGATCTATATGTGTATGTCCATGTCTCATCGCTCTATTGGTTCCTCCCTATCCTTCATTCAAACAGTAATCATCGTCAATGCGTAGCCCCTTTCTATCCATCAAAACCATCGGTGTTCTGTGCTTTGTGGTATCACCATCATAAACAGCAAGCCAAAAAGAAAACCCCAAACGCTCAACATGAATAATGCAAGGTATCACAACACCGAAAACACCACAAAGGAATCTAGCTCCCTGAGCCCTCCCCCTTCTTCCCCTCAGTCACAGGTATCCCATCCTCCACCCTCTTCTCCCTTTCACCCTCCTCCGTCTTCTCAACTCTCGCTGAAGAACCATCGCAGATATTTAAACTCCCCTCATTAGCCGACCTCTCCTTCCCCTCCTTCCTCTCCCTCTCCCTCTGAAACCTCGCCTTCCTCCGCGCCCTCCACCCGGGCCCCCTCGTCATCAACACCCAAATAACCGGACTAAACACCACCATCACCAGCGGCCAAAACGTAAACGTCCAACCCACCCCCATCTTCTGCAACATGGCATCGATAAACGCCGTCGCGCCCGCGCCGCACAGACACCGCACCAAATTCGTCGCCGCCACCGCCGTCGCTGGCGCTTCCAGGTACAAGTCCACGACGAGGGTATTCACCAGACTAAAACTGCCTGTCACGCATAAGCCGACGACAAACAACAGTACCAAAGGGCCAGCTACATGCGTGGTGGTCTCCAACGCCCAGGCATACCCGATGGTCGCTAGCACACCGACACCCAGTATGGGAATAACAGGCTGCAGCCTGGCCTTTTCGATGGGAAACTTGGACAAGTCGTCGCCGCGCTTATAATCGATCGTCATGCCCATCTTTTTCGCCAAGCGGCGGTAATTCCAGTCCAAAATCCTGCCTTGCACGACAGCCGCGACTGTGCAGCCTATTCCATACGGTAAATAGCATAGACCTGTCTGCAGCTGGTTATACCCGTACCTGTCGGCGAACTGCGTGCCCAGCGTGGCGCAGATGAGGATGAATACCAGGTAGATAATCGTTCCGTAGAAGATCAGCAGGCCTAGGTCGGGGTTGAAGACTACGCGCAGGGTGTTGAAGGGGTTGGGGAAGCGCAGTTTCGGCCTTTTTCCTTTTTCTGCCTTCCGTGATTTCGCTTCCTCCTCCTCCTTTTCTTCAGACCCCGACTCAGACCCCGTAGCCTGCTGCTGTCTTCTTCTTGCCCGAGCCCTCAAAAACTCCAAAAGTGTCATATTCCACCAAACCGTCGGTTTCACGCTCCCATTCCCAACCACATTCCTGCACGTCTCCGGCACGAACAACACATACGGGACCAGCCACACCGCCGTATATATTAGACAAAACCAAAAGATGGCGTGCCAACCCAAGTACTGCCCAATCAGCCCTCCCACAACGGGACTCAAACTGGGCCCAATATTAATCCCCGCACTGACAAAACCCATGTACTTCCCCCGTTCAGCAGAAACCGCAACGTCAGCAACCACAGCGTAACAAAGCGCCAGTGACCCGGAGCTTCCAAAACTCTGCAACATCCTCAACACAAGTAGCGCAGCGTAATTCTTTTGCAGCGCTAAGCCCAGATTCGCGCAGATGTACACCAAAAAGGAAATAATGAAAGCAGGTCGACGACCGGCTGCGTCGCCGAAATCACCGTAAAGCGTCGGCGAAAAGGCTTGCATTATCATGTAGGTCGTTAGCGTCAGGTTGGCTTTGGAGAGGGATATGGATAAGTCGCGAGAGACGGCGTCGAGCACGGGGAAGTAGATGTTTGCTGTCATGGGCGAGATGAAGCCGGCGAAGGTTATCATTGTTACTATCCATTTGCGGGTGGACGGGGGGAAGGTGGTGTAGGCGGGGCCGGAGGGGAGGCGGGTGAGGGCTGCTTCTGGGTCGCGGTCCGGGTTGTTGTCGGAGTTGGGGTTGGAGGTCATGGTGGCTCATGATTCTGGGTCCGGGTTCGGGCCGGGGTCTTGGCCATCCGGTGGTCGGGACGTGGGATCATTTCTCGGTGATATTGTTGGGATGCCGTCTTTCTCTTCGGTGGTTGCTATTGTTGAGTTCGAGGAATCGATACCTCGATCCACTGAGGTCTTGGAGGAGACGGATAAAAGACGGGAACCACTCATGTTGGATGGTTCCGGTTTTGGTCCACGAGTGGTTTAATTTTTTTAGGTTTAGGTTGGAAAAGAAGCAGACGACCTCTATGAGATGTAGGGAGCGAGGATCCAAGATACTTATGCTGGATTGCAAAACTCACCGCCACTGTTCACATTGGCGGCGAGTCCTAATCGGTATCTTGAAGAGGACAAAAAAGAGGAAGGGGGGAGGTGAGGGGCGGATATGTAGATGGGGCGGATATGTAGATGGGTATACAAGAAAACCCCACGGCCGTTGAACGGCGATGTGTGAAAGAGAAAGACTTTGGACGGGCGGTGGAGTCTTATTCCCGGAGCAACCCCCATTGCATGATTTTGGATCGGCCTCCATTCGCTCGCAAGGGGGTTGCCATTCAGTCTTTTTGAAGATTGTTAAGCGTGACAGAGGAGGAAGGTGGTTGGGCTTATCACTAACAACTCGGTCAGCAATCCGTCCAATCCTGTCAATCCGTACTGTACGGATGTCCGACTGTCTGGAGGTCATGACGATTGTTGGAGGTCACTTGAGGAACGTATAGAGCGGATGGATCACTTTGTGTCTTTTCCTTTGAGTGGTTGAAGAGATGAATCTGGGCAAAGGTAAGTTTGACATGAGGGCACCGTGCCCACGGCCAACAACGTCCGTTCATTATCAACATCCGAATTCGTCGATACGAGCAACTTTCGTGATCTAAGGCAGCTTTTTATCACTGCTCTCTGGGGATCGATATGGTCCCATCTATTCCAAAATCGAGAGCTGGAGTTGGTGTCTCTGGGAATGACAAGAAACGGCGGGAATAACACCGAGCTTGACGACTTCGGTGCCGTTTTTACCGCTTTCCCGCTCTGGTCGGGCCCCCCCAACGATGCCCCACAACGGCAAGACGCGCAGCTTGGCAGGCACGGAATATGCCAAAGCCACATCTCGTCCAAAGCACCAGCCACTGACTGCTCATCCATGTTGATGCACTCCGTCATCGCTTGGCATCATTCCAGCCACGTTGAGCTACAGCATGCGGCAGCGCAGCATGGATCGTCCCGTCTCCAAGTTCAACTTCCCTCTGACATCGCGACACCTTGATGGCCTCGGGGACTAACATCCGGACCTTCGTGACAGGTGATCTCTAATGACACTAGGCCAACCATAATTTTTAATACAAACATTCAAACCTCCACACACGATGGCGGACCTTAGCTCCACCTTCAACGAGCTCCTCAAAGGCCACGATGCACCTCCCACGAAACCCTTTACCACTGATACCGCCGACGAGTTCCTGAAGGAGGCTTACAGAATCGTGAGCCATCCTATCCACCTCCGACGCCTTCGCAGAACTGTTCTAACGTACATCCCCAGACCTCTCTTGTCGCCCAATTACACTCCGAGCTTCGCAATCTCCGTCAAGCCTACCTCTCGACTGCTGCTCCGCGCAAGACGCACCTTCACACCTCCGCTCGAAACGGCTCTTCTCAACCAGTCTACCTTACCGATCGTGACCGCGAAGAGATTGATGCCAATGCCAAAGCGACGCTGCGCGACCTCAATGCCCGCATTCGAGCTCTCGAGGACGCCGAACAACTGCGCCAGAGCACCGAGACCGCCCTGATCCAGAAGAAATATGCCCGCGGCCTGGGCGCATTGGGGTCCTGGGCTGCTGGCGGTGGCCCTCTGGAAAATTCAAAGAGCAAAGAACATGCTGCTACCGAGGCCGTTGCACGTCAGCTGGGCGCACATCGCGAGAGTGTTATCTGGTACCTGAGGCAGCGCCTGCAGGAGACAGCAAGGACGCAGCAGGCCATGATGGAGACCAGGTTAACACGGGAGATGGAAAAGAACAGGAGCGTCTTGGCCAAGGCGAGGAGCATTGCTGGAAACGACTTTGGCTCACGGAGGCGATCCGGAAGCGTGGCTCAGGGGAATAATGCGTCTCATCTGCCGGTTGATGAATACGAGAGGAAATCGTCGTTGCCTACAGAAGACCTGACGGACGAACAAATACAAATGTTTGAGAAGGGGAATCAGGACATGGTGAAGCACTTCGAAAGCACATTGGACAAAGTCAGGTATGGAAAATATTCAGGGCGACTTATCGAGGTTTACGTCAGAGGCTAACTGCGTTTTAGGGCCGCCGAACAATCACTACTCGAGATCTCAGAGCTGCAAAACATGCTGGTCAGCAATCTCACGACACAGTCGGTGCATATTGACCAGCTTGTTTCCGAATCTTTCGAAACCACAGAGGGCGTCGACAAGGGTAACAAGGAGCTTAAGAAGAGCACTAACAGGGCCAGTCCAGCTCGATACACCTTCTTTGCTGCTACTGGACTCTGCGCCTTCCTTGTTATATGGGATCTGATTATTTAAGAGCGTTTGTGGTTTTCCGCAATTCGGGTCGTCGGCGGCAAGCGCTTGATCAGTATTGTGGTCGAATAGGCACTTACTAATTTTACTTCATTGCTCCTTCTCCCACTGACTGCATCCTTCTGCGTCAGCTCGACTACTTGGTCGGTTGTTGTTTCCAGTTTGCCGTACTTGCCCTTAACCTGCAAAGGGCAGGAGTTTCTCGTGGTGTCATTACCAGAGCTTACATGTCCCCCTTCCTTCCTCGACGCAATGGTTGCCCACCATGTACTCAGTTATCATCCTGATCTACCTAATAAATCATGTCTTCTTCCCGTCCATCAGGTTTTGCCAACTCTCACTTGGTCAGATGTAACAAATATCATCTACACATCAACATCGACCGCATCACTATTGCCGACAACGCTTGTTATATCGGGTGTCATTGAGTTTTTCTCATTTGGTTTTGCTTTTAGCCTCCGTTTTGCATGCACAACACACGTAACACACACTGCCGCCGCCGTCCGGTAGCTGTCATAGATCAAGCTCTTGAGAGTGCACATGGACACCAGCATTCGGGGTGTGCCAAATCCAAAGTGAAAAGTAGCTGTAAGTGTCTTTCAATGTGATTTTTGGCGATCACATACCTGATCGATTACAAGCAGGTGACCAGGACTACGATAGTCTCGCCATTATCAAAGCCCTCGCTCCCGGCCACCCGCGCATGAGTTCCTGTTACGGGAGGGCCAGCTTCAACAACGCCCTCTCTAACTCTCCACGACAGTCCGTTCTGTCGACATCCCGTTCAAAATGTCGTTCAGTCAATCATCTTCGAACATCCTTCACCATGTATGCTCGACAGTCAATAGTGCCATCGCGTGGAATACACCATCGCCCAAGGCGGCCAGCGTTGCTTTCTTCGCCGCCACTCAGGCCCTGGCGTTCTATATATTCGCAACAGTGGATGAGTTCAGTTTTCCAATAACTACTCGGTACCTCTCCCTACGCGGACGTTTCTTCCTGCTGTACCCCGATTTCGTGTCCGGCTTCATGCATGACAACGCGGGCATCGAGGCCATAGAGGAAGTACTTTTCAACGGGCTACTTCGGATTGAGCTGGCCGTTGACGATAGAATTCGTGGAAATCGAGATCGATCTCAACGTCATAACAGCTTCCACGACCGACCGCTAAATTATGACTCCCTACTACGGGACCTAGTCCCATGCCCCTGCTCCGGCCACCCTCGTCTGGGAATACTTTCATGCTACCCACTCCTGATCATGTTGATCAAACCCACGCTCCAGCTCGGCTATCGACTTTGCAACACCATCATACATTGTAACATCTTTACTCCTGAACTGAATCCTCACTACCGGTTGCTCTACCATCCCCTACAAAATCTCGCCCACATCCTAGGCAGAGGTTATGTCGAAGATTCGCCACGACATGGTGCAACGTTGGAAGGGGTTCCGTATTTCGTGATGTGGCGGTACGCTGGCCGCAGGAGGCTTTTTTTTCGGCTCGGAGGCGTTGAGTCTCATCGACACCGTCTTCTTCGGATAAGTTATCCTACCCCGACAATGGCGGAACTAGCAGCGGATGGCGCACCTTGACAACTAATCTTCGGTGGGTTTGTCACTCAAAAATTCCCAACATCAAATAACAGACACAACACACTCCGGGTAAAATGATGCTATCTACCTTCTCTAGTAATAGGGATTTCCTACTTGTGTTCAGCTGGGACGGTTGACAAGTGATTCCGTCGCTTTCTGTGGCCGTCAGCCTCCTCTCCTCTTCCAACCTTACAGATGTCTATGGTGTCGTCTTTAGAATCTCGCTAACCAATGCAGCAGCACGGAATTAAATTACACATTCTGGATCATTCCAACTACAGAGCGTGTTGTGGGTATGTGCAGCCGGACAGACGAGTAGACAGGCTACGCCGACGTTGGAAACGCAGTCAGTTGATGAGGAATAAGGATTATTGTGTTACGGCAGTATGGGGGTGAAAAGGTCACGACGCCGAAGATGTGAGTGCATGAGCGGAGGAGTATGTCAAAATCAATGGATCTCCGGTTGGGGGATGTGGTGAAACTCTGCCCTTTCGTTGCGGCCAGCAGCACTGGGGTTCCTGTGGCTGGGATGTGTAAACTGGCTGAAGGGTCACTCTGGTCGGTTCCAATATGGGAACGTAGACCGAAAAGCGGCAGCAATTACCGGATATGTATGGCTTGGGATTGGGGTTGACTTCACTGATGGGCTGTATGGTAGTCATGAGGTGCAAGCGAAAACAGCGAATTTTGTGTATTGCTCTATAACGCCGCTTGACTTTACATATTTATGGTGTTCGAATGCACATAGGTCGCTGAATATAGACGAATAAACCACAGAGTCAAAACATGGTCGAGGTGTTTCATTCTGGCGTAGTATTGACCATGCCACCGCATACCGGTCGTTAGTTGTGGATGTTGTCGTTCCCTTTGTTTACTTGCCATCAGGGGACATCGCTAAGGTTGAACCGCCACGACTCCATATGAGAAGCTAAAACGGGACTTTCCATGAAGCCAAAGGGACGAGATCTGCATTTAGCACTATTAAGGAAATTTGGGATAGTATCGATCTAGAGGGGGGCACCGTCCCAATGGCATTGGAGAAACTGGCTTCCCGATTTTGCATAGTTTCTGAATATTATCCTACTTACTTATCGAGTGAGACACCGAACAAGTCGATAAACGTCCCAGCATGTCTTCCGGCGGAACTGGCGACGTGCTAGCTCATTAAACACTTCCTTGGCTTATTTAAGTGTCGGTCAATCGGGCCGGGGGCGTCGTTAAAGGCATATTGATACTACCGTGTCTGGGATCTTGAATGTTGCTCTTTCCAGTGACAGAACAGCGCTTCCAAGCAGGTGTAAGCTATGAAACCGACGCTTCGGTACCTCTTATTCTTGTTGAAAGCGTTTCGAAATTCTTCTTACTATAGGCCAAGCAAGGACCCAAGCAATTGGTCCACGTCACAAGGTCGGCCAGGACGATTACCTGTCTGTCTGCCGGTAGTAAAGGAGGATGACTTTATGATAGATAGGCTTGGTTATGTAGGATCTTCTGCTGTTCGGTCGGTACTCAGATCATAACGGCCATAACGAACGTACCTACCTAACGGCGAGACCGAACTATTACGAGGAGAGCTTATCAAGATTCTCGAGGTAGAGAGTTGGGCTGGGTGCTAGTCTTTTTCTCTTTGTTATTGAAGGCTGACCAACCAACCCCTCCGGACCTGTTGCATTGGTCACTAGTCGAATCGTCCAGAGACTCACTCTGGGGGCAAAGCCACTGACTGCTAAGAGCACCACGTAAGTTGCCGATATTCCCTCTCGTGGCAACGGCCAAGCGCCGACCCGCCAGTGACAAAGCCCGCGCGCATTGCGGGCACAATAACCATCGAATATACCCACAGAGGCACTTAACACACCATGCCGACATTGTGGCTTGATCAATGATCGTGCAAAATGGGACAGACCTCACTCAGGTACAGGAGACAGCTTCAGTTCCTAAGACCTAGAGTCCATGTGCGGCGCCCAGAGGGTTTCTAGGAGTCGTATCTATCTATGCACCAGCGGCGGCCACCACCACCAAGGGGGATGGATGTATTAACAATGTAATCAATCGGTAGAGGAGAATTGTAGGATTGGCATTGTGTTGTAATAGACGCTCGCTGCATGGAACAAGCACGCCCTGAAAGAAATTTATAAGCAACTGGTATATGTACGACCCGTTTGGTCTTTACCCCATCATTCTCATCAACGTTTATTTAGCGATTTCCACACCATTCGTAGCACCTGTGATGAGGACGAGGTTAGCAGTCTGAAATATCGCTGCGGGCATATACGGAGGGGACAAAGTCATAAACAACATACCGAGAGCTTTCTTGATGTCGCCGTATATCGCGAACTGCCCGGCAGTCAACCCGCCCACCATGAAGAGACGCGTGGGGAGACCGGCAAAGGAGCCGCGTACGCCAAGCTCGCGGGCAATCTTGGCGAGACGGGAGACGGTGCTCTCACCGGGCAGTCCCTTGGTCTTGTTGATCTTGGAAAGCATCGTATCGGCCGGCTGCGACACGATGGCGGCAGCAAAGCCGGCGATTAGGCCAGAACCCAGGTTAATACCAGTCAAGGCACTACCGGAGAGTTTAGACTTGTCAAATTGAGCGAGGATGTTCTCGGCAACCTTCTCGTATACGACGAACTTGGTAACCGTGTATGGGACCCTGTATGATTGCACGAAGGTTAGCCAACAGATCTTTAACAAATGTGGGCTGGGACCGGGAAGAACATACTGTTTAAACAAGATGGGTCCGAAGCCGGCGTAGAAGGCGCCGACTCCCTCGGTAGTCAGGAGCTTGGTGAAGCCATCGACTAGACCCTTGGCGTAGCCGGGAGTAGAGACGAGACGGATACGGGTAGCCTCTAAGGGGCAAAGGGCGACGGAAGCAAAGAACTCGGCCGAAGCAGCGGACACGGAGTACACGGCGGTACGGTTCTGACGGGCCTTCTCGATGCCAATGAGGTCTATGGACTGCTTCTTGAAGAACTCGTAACCACCGAACTTGAAGGCGCCCTGGACAAAGTAGCCTGTGAACGTAGGACCGAAGCCCGTAGCTAGCGCGCTGATTCCTTCATTCTTGATGACCTGGCGGAAGCCGCCGATCATGCCACGGTTGTACGTCGCAGGGTCGAGTTGGATCCTGGTTTTGATTCTATATTGTTGGGGCTATTAGCAAGTAGTCGAGCAGGAGGGGGCAGTAGGGAAGACGTACACATCGACGGGGGTGAAGGCGCCGTGCGTGACAGAGCAGCCGAGGGCTCCGGCCAGGGCGAAGCGGGCGTAGAGGTCCAGGCCCTCGGGCTTCTTCTGGATGACCTCCTTGACGGATGTGGCAGGGGCGGCCATTATGAGATGCGGGACGGGTTATGATTAAGAGACAGGAAAAAAACAAGAGGAACAAGGCAAGGCAAGGCAACGCTACCGGGGAAACGACATTGCGCCGAATGGGGAGTGTGGTGGGAAGGACTGGCGGAAGCAGTTACGTTGTTTGGCTTCCAGGTTGTTGTTTGGCAATTGAGACGAATTTCTAAAGTGGTTAGCTCTTGCACGATCTGATTAGCCAAGAAACGGTTCGCTGCCAGCCCGTGAAATTTCCTTGGATTGAATGATACCTTACTTTTCGGGGCAAGGGGGTGGTTGATTACTTGGGGGTTGTGGTGCGGTTGGCGGGGCCTTTCCTCAATCCCCTCTTCATAGGTAAGGGTTTCTTCCCAAGTACTTTATTTCGTACGTCAACAAGTGGAAGCACTACGGGACAACGTTAACTTTTAGCCTGGCACGCCATCGTGGAAGGCTGCACCGCACATTGTCATGATTATTGATTCAAGGACCTGCAGTCGACCAGACCAGAAATATGTGCAGTTCCCTCGGAGGGAGGAAACGAGTCGCTAAATGAGTCTACTATGTAAGCATACCCGTCTGCCCAGGTAGGATTCCAAGTCCATGCCACGATGGAAGAACTACAATGCGCAGTATGATGACAGCTAATGCGGGCTAGGGTTGGAGATAGTACTTTTGGGTGGAAAGCCACTCGGCATATCCCAGCTTGTAGATTCCAAGAAGCTTGTGGACTCTGAATATGCATTCGGCGTCTGGTTCGGCGTTGCGAAGGCCGATGTCAACGCTGAATTGCTATGAGCTCAACTGACGCGTTTCTACAAAACATTGTCGGGCTCGGTTAATGCCGAACATTCGTATCCTACGTAAATTCAGTCGTTTTCTCAAGGAATCCAGGTCGTATGCGTCTAAATTGATGCACACCCGTTCTACAGTCTAGTAGGATCAGCATCTCACGGATTCTCGGCCACTGACTGTACCTACCTAGGGTTTGCTTCTGTCTCGTCTCGTCGGCGAAAAGCTACTGTCACCCATGCCTAAAGACTAACCTCATTTGAATTTAGCAGCTGATGGCCTGATCCTTGTCTGTGCCTTCCATGTCGATGCTCCTATGAATTGAGTTTCAAACAATTATTCGGCAGGGCTTCACTCGAGGTCCACTTGGCATAACAGCGAGCATCTCACCCACCTTGTATAATGATTTTATGCCCCATCGGTATAGTGCCAGGCAAATGTGATTGGTGGTGGTGAGCATTCAACACATCAAAAGATTCTGGACACTGATGGGAAGAAGTCACGTCTTTTATATCGAGACACAGTTCATTACTTGCCCAGAATAGATCGAGTGATTGTCATTGACCAGACAAAATATTGTCGACTCACTTTTGCCAGAGTGTCAAGCTCGATCCTTTGGACAATCATGTTGTTCGAGAACCCTGGGCTGCTGCTTTCTGCAGCTGTACCCATCCTACTCCTCCCGTATCTTCTGGGTGCTGTCATTTCCACGCTGAGACTGAGGTGGTATACCTCTGGTTTTCCGGTCATCAACAAACTCAAAGGCGAATGGTCTGATAAGCCCGCCGTGAAACGCATCGCCTGAGACATGAAGGCATGGATGGATTCGGAAAGGATATTACAAGGCGGGAAATGCAGGGTCTCTCTCATGAACTGAAACCAGATCAGTCACTCATCGACTCAATGGTAGAATGGCCCCTTTCAGATCATTGGATCGTTCGGGACACGGATTGTGTTGCCTCCCGACATGGCAGAGCACGTCAAGTCCGATCCTCGTTTCAGCGCCGACGAGTTCTTACGAAATAAGAGAATAGGTAGCCACAAGAGCCCAAGGTACATGAATACATCATGAGACACCCATCGCTGCAATATAGTGTTATCGATGAATCAAGTCCTAGACTTCCATAGTCTACTCCGCAGTGAAACCTCATCCTCGCCGCCGCATCTTCAGCAGTGGCACACTGAGCCTCTAGCGGTTACTTCACCAGAGCACTTCGTCTGATGATCAACTCAGCAACCTGATTGAGCGAGGCGCTCTGTAGGACTTCGAAAATAGACAGCTTCGCCTGACCTGCCAAAGCAAGCCAGTTGCGCAATTCGACGGCAACGAGAGAATCGACGCCGAGAACAGAAACGCCCTGTTCTGGGTCCACGCTCGCGACATCGACGTTGAAAATCGCCGCCAGCCGCGCGGCCAGTGCTTCTGCTACCTGTGCCGTGCCCTTCACTTCTTGCATTGATTTCTCGCCTCGGTCGATGCTGCTGTGACCGAGTGCGCGGACGAGAATCGCGGTGGGGTCGAGTGAGGTGGCCTCGGAAGTCTGTGTCGATTGGGAGGATGATGCCGGTTGAACGAGGCGCAACGTGCCGAAACGCCGATCGCGACGAATGCCAGCCTCAGGCGCCAGACTGCTCCACGGTAGCAGGCCAACGATCCTCCGGGCTTCACCAGGTGACTGATGGAACAACCGACTGGATCGCTGGCTATGCTGGAGGCGCGTGTCGTGCTGGATGGCGTCTTCGATAAGGCGAAATACAGCGTCGATATGTATCGACTCGGTGCCAAGTGCTTCGACACGATGCCGAGCATCTTCGTCTGACGCCACCATTCCAACGCCTAAAACGGCCGGCAGAGCCAGACTGACGGCAGGGAGGCCGAGAGCCACGCGGTGGCTGGCCAAGGCGTCCTCGAACGCGTTGGCAGCGGCGTAGTTGGCCTGAGAGACGTGCCCCATCACACCGATGACTGACGACAGAAGCACGAAAAAGGACAGATCTTGAGGTAGGTGCTTGTGCAAATTCCTCGTGCCGGCGACCTTGGGCCCCACGGTTTTTCGCCATTGCGCGAAGGACATGCGATCGAACACGGTATCCTGTTTTTTGCAAGTTAGTGAAAGTATTTCAGCATTCGAGCACGCCTTGTTTCCTATTTGTACGTACCGCTAGAACGTTGGCAGCGTGAATAACGCCACGGACCGGAGGCGATGTGGCCGAGACTTGATGGAGAAGTCGGACAAGACTCTCCTCACTCGATACATCACAGTTGAGGACTTGAAGGCGACAACCTCGTAGCGCGGCATCTTCGATGAGTCCCTCCGCCTGAGGGTGTTTCTCTGCGTTGCGGGAAATGAGGACCACACTCCGGGCGCCTTTGGACACCATCCAAGATGCAATGGCTCCGCCAATACCGTCCACCCCGCCAACGATCAGGTAAGTGGCTCTCTTATCATCAAGGCGAGGTGGGCGGCGCATAGGAGACATAACCTGGACCGGACTGTCGTCCTGGGCCGCAATGACCACCTTGCCCGCCTTGCGTCGCTGCCGTTGCTGTTCCAAATGCCGCACAGCTTGACTCATCTGCGAGGGCGAGAACATTGTCACGGGGGTAAGAGGTGAGGAAGACCCCGACGAGGAAGACATGGCGTTGTGAAAGATAATGCCTAGGCCCGCATCCAATGACTCCCTCATAAGCAGACCATTGTGGTCGCTCAGCTGTATCATATCCACTCGCGCATACGTAGCGCATCTTGCAGCAAGCTGGGTGACGTCTAGGCTCTTGTTCCAGCCACCGATTTCGACAAAGCGACCAAAATTCGCGATGCTATTCAGAGCAGACTGCAGCAGAGGTGCGGAGAGCAATGACGTCGGGCCGGTGAGAACCACATCTACGCCCTGGCCGCCAGTCTGCCCCTTGATGGCATCACCTAATTCCCTCGCGTAACGGCTTTTAAGAATTTGACTTGAAGCAAGGTGGTATGTGTCCATGAGACGGTGTGTCTCGGCCTCCGTCAAGTCGGTGGTAGCAAACCACACGTCAGCGCCTACGTGATTTGCAATGGCCAGACCTGCCGCCGTGCCATCAGCTCCACCATCGGCTTGCACGATCAGGACCTTGTCACCCCTTCTCAATCTTGCCACGTGCACAAGGGCGTAATAAGCCCCAGAATACGCCAGCGGGGCACAGGCGGCCTCCTCGAAGGATAGGCCATTAGGAATTTTCGCGACGCTGGTCCAACTCGCTTGTGCTATGCTTGCGTATGGCCCCTTGATCACACCGCAGACCTTGTCGCCGAGCTGGAACCCACTGGCGTCCGTGTTGTGCCCAAGTCGGGTGACTATGCCCGCTACCTCGTGTACAACCGTGGCTTCCTCGTCGTTGGCCTCTGTCGCAGTGCGGTGATGATAATGGACGCGAGGATCCAGGCTGAAAGCCCGCGTCTCGATCTCAACGACACCGTCAGCGAGCTCATTGGCAGCACCACACCACTGTTCGACGAAGCCACCTTCACCTGAATCCAATCCCTCCTCCCACACCAGTGGCCGATGGGGATCCTGAAAGGGCTGGAAGGTCTTGGTCTTGGACTCCTCTTTACTGCCCATCGCCGGGAAGATCCGTGGCACATGGACGACCGAGTCCTGAATCGCATACTCCCAGTCGGCGTCGGCGTGGCCAAACTCTTTGTTTAGCAATGTCTGCTGCAACACCCCGACAACATGCTTTATGACCACGTCCGCTTCTTCCGCCCAGGTTGTGGGCAAGTCCAGCAAGACGGAGGATTTGTCCACATTTTCATGGCGGAGAGTTCGCAGCAGGCCCTGCACCTGAGAAGATGCGGGTGTGGCGGAGGCGTCTGGACCGGCGCCGTTGGACAACCACAAAACTCCCCGACTCACCAGAAGCACTCGACGGAGCTTATGGAACATGGACTCGTCCATATCATCCAGCACACAACCATTCTTGGCTACTACATCTGCAGCTAGTATGTGTACTTGGCTCTCGCCTGGTTGTACCTCTTCGAGGCTCTCCAGGGTGACCCGGATGCCCGTTGTCATATAAATGGCCTCGCCTAGCTGTGAGAGCCATTTCTGCTGCGACGGTGAAAGCGTGGACTCCGCATGAACGATTGTCACAAAACTGGGGTTGGATGGGCTACTAGGGTTCACGGCGGACGCTTCTTGTTCAGGCGCGACGCTTGTTAACATGACGGTCCATCTCTGGAATTGCGGCTGCTCGCAATCAGCAATGTCGAATTCGACGCCCGTGAATCCATTGGCGCGAAGAGTCTCATCCCACGCTTCTAGCCCCGTGACAAATTCCGGCTGCTCATCCTGCTGTTCCCAACCCGGGAGCATGCTACAGATGAGCTGCGCATCGAGACTGACGTGCGTCTTCACAACAAGCAGAAGCTTGCCGCCGGGCTTCAGCAGTTTCCGTATGTTTTCCAATGCCGTCTTCGGATTGTTGTTGACTGCGTGTAGGTTCATTGATGCAACCACCAGGTCTATACTCCGTTCGGCTGCTACGTCGTGCGACGTCTCCGTCGGGCCCTCTTTTCCGAGATCGAGTTCCCGGAACTCGAGCACCTTGGTCCACCTGGCCAACTTCTGCTTGGCTGCCTCGAGATGCACTGATGAGGAGTCCGAGAATATGTATCGGTCAATGAGCAGTCCACCATTACCTCCCTGTCCGAATGCTTCCAACAGGGCTCCGGCCGCTGCCCCGTTGCCCGCACCAACCTCGAGAACAGCCGCTCCTGGTTGCTGAAGAGCAAGGACCTTCGCTATCCTGGCAAGTTGCTTGTAGCTGCGAGTTTGGAGGCTGGGCAGTCCGCTATTGTACTGTCTCATGAGATCATCTTCGTTGTCCTCCCCTAAGAGGGCGGCAGACGTTACCTCTCCTCGCACAATCTGTGCCAGTTTCTGACCAATGCGAACAAGGAGACCCCCGTGCGTCCCACCCGTGGACCGGAGCTCGTCGAACAACTTTTGCTTAAGTCCCTTGCTTGCTCGCCCCCAGGCTTTGCTTCCAGGCATCAGTTGCCCGCTCTTACCACGAGCCAGCACGCTCTGCATCCATGCAAACGAGGCGTGCCCGTGTGCTGTCCAACTGCCCGATGGCTGCCCCTCCTCCAGTTCAGCCGCAGCATCGGCAATGAGGTGATAGGATGCGCGGACCACCTTTTTCTCGTAGTCCAGCTCTTCGCCTGCTAGTGTAGTGCGCATGTATTCTTTCATAGACGAGGGGATGCCACCGCGGCTCACTATCGGTACCCAGCGGCTTTCATAGAGCGGAATTCTTTCCAGGCCACTTTCAGCCTCATCACGGGGAATGGCCTGGCAGAACAGCTGATTGATCACGAGAGGGGTCTCACGGCGGCTATCACCTTGTTGTTGTTGCGAGTTCGCGACGGATACGTCCGAGGTGAAGCCTCTGTGTTGCGCACTCCGCAACTCACTGAAAACCGCCAGGCGCTCCCTCCCCCCTCTGTTTAGCGATCGAGGCACAAAAGCATCCTGGAGCGACCTAGGAAGCACCATGGACGTCTTGCCCGTGTCTGGGGGCAAGTTTGCGTAAGTGGCTTGGATGATGCAGTCCAGCGTCGTGGGGTGGATAACGTAGTAGGAGGCCAAGTATGGCGACGCTGACGGAGACTCCAGCTCGAGGATGTCCAAGTCGGCTGCCGCTCTTTTGAGGGGTTTGGACGCCACCACGTCTGCAATGCCTTGGAAGGCCGGTCCATATTGAACTCCCATGCTGGCGACATCTGCCCGAAGTGCCGAACCGGCCACTCGTCGTACCTTGGATTCCTGTGTCTTGAGGAAGGAGTCGACGTTCGGTGCGACGGCGTCCTCGATATCTTGCTGCTCCGTGACCACGGCCGAGACGAGACCACGACAGTTTTCCACCCACATGTCATTGGCCCCCAGAGAGCGCACCTCATATTCGTACCAGCCATCAGCATTGTCCCCCTCGCGTCGTGACGGTCCCAGACGGAAGTACATCTCGACGCCTCCGACCGACTTTTCCGAATCGGGAACCACTAAGGCGCTTAGAAACTCGACGTTTTTGACACGATAGCCGCGAATCTTGTCTTCAGACGGATCCGTGACGAGACGAACGGCCTCGATGGCCATGGATACGTAGGCCGCGCCAGGAAGTACAACCATGCCATCGACACGATGGTCGCCGATCCAAGGAAGGTCGACGAGACGTATAAAGTTTCGCCATGCCGGTGTCGTTGCGCCCGAAACAGGCATACCAAGGAGCTCGTGAGGTGGAAATCTCTTGTGGCGGATGTCCTTATTGACCCGCGATTCGATCCAGTAGCGACTCGAGTGATTCCACGGATAAGTCGGCAGGCCGGGCACAAATTTCATCATGTTCGTGGAGGTGGTCACGGCCTCCTCACCGTTTGCCTCTGAGTATTTGTTGATGGCCGATAAAGATACGGCATATCCGAGACGGACGAGTTCTCCGGCCACATCTTGCATGGTCTCCACGGCATTCACATTTCGCTGAAGACAGGACATGTAAGCCATCTTGCGGCCTCGCAAGATCTGTCTCATGGGACCCGCCAGAGCGCCATGCGGTCCTATTTCAACAATGGCGTCTACTTGGGCGGAGCTTTCGTCGGTCTCACCGAAGCACATGGCCTCAAATGCCTGGCTAAAGAGAACCGGGCTCGTCAGGTTCCGCACATAGTGCTCTGCTGACAGCGATTGGGCGAACGTGACGACGACGCCCCCCGTGACAGGGGACGTGTACCTAACGTCACCGGACCAAGTCGGGCTCGATGGTACGAAGTCCCGCAGCTTCTCCAGGTAGGCAGACTCCATGCGCCGCATATGGGGTGAGTGATATGCCAGCGCGACCCTGAGCTTGCGAGCGAATTTGCCGTCGGCCTCGAGACGCCTCACAACCTCGTCCAGATCATCCATGTCACCCGAAAGAGTGACGCTCTCGGGACTGTTGACACACGCCACCACGACGCGGCCGTCAGAAGTCGTTTCCCTTAGGTATCTTTCCGCCTCGTAGGGTCCCACACCGGCCGCAGCCATGCCACCAACGACGCCCGAGGTTTTCGGGTCCAGCAGAGTGCGCGCAAGCTCGCCACGCCAGTATGTCACGCCGAGCGCCTGCTCGAACGAGAGCGCCCCAGCGGCATATGCGGCCGCAATTTCGCCGCTGGAATGGCTCGTGACGGCCGATGGACGGATGCCCCATGAGCGGAGCAGCACCACCAGGCACACTTGCAGCGCCACGGTGATGGGCTGGCCCAGGTGAATCTCCGAGACGCGACTGGACTTGGCATCGCGCGTCAGTTCCTCGCGTAACGACCAGTCAGCGCCGTACATCTCCCGCAGGACCCGGTCGGCCTCGTCGATCGCCTCTGCGAATATGGGGTATGCGTACAGCAATTCTCGGCCCATGGCATGCCATTGCGCGCCTTGACCGTTGAACACAAAGCCGAGTCGCGGCGCCCGTTTATTTGCGGGCGCGTGTCCTACCTTGAGAGCCGCCGTCTTGTCCAGATTGTCGGCTAACTCGGCCAAGTTGCTAGCACGCACTGTAGTGATATAGGAGAGGCGCGATCGACGGTGACTGAGCGTGAAGGCCATGTCGGCAGGCTGCAGATCCATCTCGCCCTCTATGCTCTTCCGGATGCAAGCAGCCAGGTTTCCGGCCATGGCGCGGGTCGTGTCGGCGTCCTGGGCGCTGAGCACATACAGTCGAGACACATCACCGTCGTCCGCTGTCGTTGTCCTGCGACCGTTGCCATTTGCGAGCCGCGTTTCAGGCGCACCTTCGAGGATGACGTGTGCGTTTGTCCCTCCGTAGCCAAAGTTGTTGATGGACGCGCGCAAGGGTTTGTTGCGTGGCCAGGGCACCACATTGGTCGGCACTCGCAAGTGCCAGTCGTCAAGGGGAATCTTGTCGTTTCCCACGACGTAGTTCTGATTCGGCGGAATGGCTCGGTACTTCATGGCCATCGCAGTCTTGATAATGCCAGCCAATCCGCTGACGGCCTCGGTATGCCCGACATTGGTCTTGACCGAGCCGACCCAGACGGGGTCATCTTGTGTGCGGCTTGCACCGAACGTCCGGGCAAGTGATTCGGCCTCGGTAACATCCCCCGCCTGCGTCCCGGTCATGTGCGCCTCCACGTACCCCGTGTCAGAAAGATCGAGACCCGCTCGTTGGTAGCAATGTCGTATCAGCCGGATCTGCGCGTCCACGGAGGGAGAGGTGATGCTGGTTGTTCGACCGTCCTGGTTCAGTCCCGTCTCCCGTATCACGGCATGCACCCGGTCGCCGTCTCGCACGGCCGCATCGAGGGACTTTAGCACAAGCACGGCCACCCCTTCTCCACGACCGTAGCCCTGCGCCCGCGCATCCCACGCATAACAACGTCCATCTGCGCCCACCATGCTAAAAATAACAAAAGCCCAGGGTTAGTCGCCACACAGGAAGCGCCAAGTACACGAAAGAGATTGAAGCTGTTTAGACCAAGCTGAGTTACGTACCCAAGAGTGGACATGGCGATGTAGATGTCTGGATTCAAGATCGTATTCGAAGCTCCGACGATGGAAACGTGGGACTCTCCCGACCGGATGGTCTGGCATGCCTGGTGCAAGGCGGCGAGGGCGGCCGAGCAACCGGTGTCGATGGACATGCTGGCTCCCTGGAAATCGTAGAAGTGGGAGACCCTGTTGGAGAACATGGCCGTGTAATTTCCGGTCAGCGTGGACGGCGGCATCGTCTCGGGATCGCGCGTCTGAACGTCGTGGTAATCCTTGGTGTAGCAACCGACGAATACCGACGTGTTGGGGCCCGGCCCCGCGAGCTTTTCCATGGGTAGACCGGCTGTTTTTTTCCAAGAAAATAATAAAAGATTAGATAGGGGTTACTTGGGTTTTGCTCATAAGGGGCAAGCAAAAGGCTACTTTACCGTCCTCCGTTGCTTCGTACGTCACCTCCAATAGCAGCCGAAGCTGAGGATCCGCTGCCTGCCCATCCCATCGCTGTCAGCTGGAGAAATAGAGAACGGATGAAATTTTGGCAAAAAGGAGGAGGGAGGGAAGGGAAAGGATCAAAAGAGCTTACACTGGCTACTTCGGACGTGAATCGAAAGAATGCGGCATCAAACAGAGCCACGTCTTCGTGTAAGAAATAACCCCCGGTGGCATGATTCTGCAAAGAAAAAGCGAGTTTGTTAGCAATCCCTTGGTCCGTTCCGAGATCTTTAACCGACTCTCATATAAACCTACTCTACCACTCTTTGCAGGATTCGGGTCGTAGTATGATTTCACGTCGAACCGCGACTCGGGTATGGGGGACCAGGCGTCTCGACCGCTGGCACAGAGGTCCCAGAGCCCCTCCGGACTCGTGACGCCGCCGGGGAATCTGCAGGCCATGCCCACGACGGCGATGGGCGACGTAGACTGGGGGTGGGACATGGTCCTCTCCTCATGACCATGATGCCTGCTTTTGTCAAACGACGATGTACCGTTGGAGCCGTTGGTCATGTTTATCGTTATGATGATGATGATGATGATGATGATGTCTGAGATAGTACCATGTAACACGGGTGGACTGGAAAATGAACGACATGAAAAGATGACTTTGAAAAACCATTGGAAACACGAGAGACTTAATGGATATCGAGGTAAATCGATTTAAAGAGGTAGTATTGTTAGCTAGGTACATCCGGGATACCTACCCTGACATGCCTTATTCGGCGATTGTAAGCCGGCGTGCTGTTCGCCGATCGGGCTGCAGCCGTCTTTCTTCGGCCTGTAAGCTGGATAAAACATGGCTGCAGGGGGGAGGGGGGTAAAGGTGGACATTTCGGGTGTTGCTTAAAGGCGTGTTTGGACCTTGCCTATGGGAAGTAATAATTCCCAAAGGTATCTTGGATCCCTGGCTCTCTTGCGTTCCCTATTCTCAGTTGGGCATAAGTTGTCCTAAATTTCCAGCAACATTTTCGCAACCAATCTTGAGAGGAGGGCCTCACTCACACTTGCAGTGGGCAGTTCACTACGACGGAGCCAAGGATGCCGGATTCGACAGTCCGAGTTCCCCTCGGGGTTCTGGATCACTTCCTCCCTCCCCATTATATGCCCATGAAATGGTACATCCCGTTGAAGGACGCCGTTACGCCCCAGGGAGCATTCAAGGCTTTGGAAGATGGCCTTCGCCTTACCTTCCGACAACTGCCCTGGCTGAGCGGGAAAATCTACAAAGCAGATCCAGGAACACCAGGCGGACGCCCCGGCCAGCTTGAGATCCGGTATGACCCAGCGGGCCTTGAGGATAACAGCAAGCCTGTGCCTCAGTTCCGTTTCAAGCTACTAGACGAAACAGTGAGCTACGAAGAGATCTGTGACAGCGGCCACCCCATGGACACGATTCCGGACGAGGAGGTCTTTTGGGGAGATTTCTTCAACTTTCCCGAGGTGGATAAGGGTGCCGAGTGCTTCAAGGCTCAGGCCAACTTTGTGCCGGGAGCGTTGATCCTGTGCGGCGCCACTCACCACAACGCCTGCGACGGCGCCGCCTTGTTTGACGTGTGGAGGATATGGGCGGCCAACTGTGCCGCCTTGCAGGCAAACACGGCGCCTGTGGTCCTCGATCCCTTGAGCTCGGATCGCGGTCTCATCGAGCGTATATGGGCGGACGAGGGCAGCCGATTGGAGCATGTCGATGATGCAAAAGGAGAAACGGGCCACGTGGAAGCAAAGTCATACACCTTGTTGGACATGGAACCACCAAATGCACCGTCCAAGGAGGATCGCCGGTTACCTCCACCACCACCATCCTCTGGTGAGGCCATGACGTCGGCCGTCTTCTACATGTCACCCGACAAGTTCGCCGCACTCCACAAGCGCTGTCTGGACGAGGCGGGCGCCGGATCGCGTATCTCGGGAAACGACAGCATGGCGGCGCTGATCTGGCGCAGTCTGCTCAAAGCCAGACACGCGGCAGCCATGGCTGCCGGTCGAGCGAGCGAGTCGGACAATGTCGAGGCCTGGTTGCAGCTGACGATCGACGGCCGGCCCAACATTTCCGCCAAGGGCGCCATGCCATTCGAGTACCTGGGCAACCTGGTGTTCTGGAACCGGGTTGCCATGCCAATATCGACGCTAACTTCGCCCAATACTGGTATCGCCACGGTGGCGACGGCCATCCGCAGAGAGGCCGACGCAGCGACTCGGCAGGCCATGCTGGGTGCATATGGGCTGGGGCGGCGCCTTGAAGATGTCTCGAAACTTCAGCTCAGCATCACCCATGCCCACGGCTACGACATGATCCTGTCGTCTCTCATGATGATGCGCATCGAGGACACGCGGTGGGGCGGGCGCTTGTTCGCCAATGGTGGAAAGGCCGATGCGTTGAGGCCTCTCTTTGACGATGTCAACAAGGCTGGACGTCTTTGTTTCGCCATGCCGCGAGAGCCGGGGCGCGGCGTCGAGTTTGTGGTCAATTTGTTCCAGGATGAATGGGATTACTTGCTGGAAGATGACGAGTTTGGGGAATATGCTTTGTATTTGACTTGTTGAGAAGAGGAAACAATGTGGAGCCAAGGCGAGTTCACGATAGTCATTCTAGTATTGTATCAACTCCTGGTGGCAGTATTTGATGTTGTTAAGTTGTGTCCCTGCCGCAGCAGTCTTCCATGACACCGCTGCGACAACTGTAGAGATACCAAAGTCTCGTTCATCATTTTCAACGAATAAACTCTGCACTGGATATACTGAGATAACTCAATCGCCAGAAACAGCGCAAATAATGGCCAACATAATACGACTGGAATCTACGACGAGTTTCTGCCTGGACTTCTACGTTCGGTCGCACGGCAAAGAGTAGACGAACAAGCCATGAACAAACAGCAATGAAGCAGTATCCACTAGGGACAACAGCTACAAGGTCTCCCTCACCACCAGATAGAGAATCAAGCCTTCATGTGCGGACTACACCTAGATATCCCGTCCTGTGCCAGTTGACAGGGCGGGGGGACGCGATACCACTGTGGTGCACACATTCGCCGAACGCACCGCCGAATCCATCCGCCGAACGCACCGCCGAATCCATACGCCAAACGCACTGCCGAATCCATACGCCAAACGCACCGCCGAATCCATCCTCCGAATTTTATGCAGGTAGCTGATTCAGTGCTACGAGGAAAATGCCGTCTGACTGTGCTAGAATTGCCCGGGCAAGACCTTGATGCGTGATAATGGGTTCCACGCATGGTATCGCCGAATTGTCGGTCCGAAGCTCTCTGGGGATTCATTCGTCTGGGCGGGACCAAGGAAACAAGCGACCCCTGATATCAAGGAGATGTAAGAGGGTTGGTGTTTAGCTGACTTATTAACCTTTGGTAGGTACTTACCGTTGGATAATAATAGCCATTCTTAATCCCAGAACCCGGACTTTGCTCAGGAACGTTTTCCACACATTGGCCCATTATCATACCTAGCTTGCTACTCTTTCGTTTCACGCCGTCATCAGTTCTCTCTCCCCCAGCCCTCCCTATAGTTGGCACCGACTCCTAACGCAAAAACCATCATGTCCGAAGTCAAAGGGTACCGCAGGCCAGAGCATGGCGTCTTCCGCTTCTTACCGGACGCCTGGGTCCCGTACGCCGAGCTCATGCGTCTCGACCGGCAGGCAGGCTTCTGGGCCTTCTACTGGCACTACCTGATAGGGCTCGGGTTCGCCATCAACATCCCCCCGTTCTCCAGCGACATGGACTTGACCACCCTTGCCTTCCTCGCGGGATACCTCTGGGTCTGGACCACGCTCTTCCGCGGCATCACCTGTACGTGGAACGACAACCTGGATCAGGATTTTGACCGCCAGGTGGCTCGCTGCCGCGTGAGACCCATCCCGCGGGGTGCCGTCTCAACCGCGCAGGCACACATCTTCACTGCGGCGCAGATTGCGGTTGGGGCCGCCATCTTGTACCCGCTGGGCGGTTCCGTGTCGACCCACGCCGTCTTAGGCGCCGTGCTTCTGTTCATCTACCCTCTGCTGAAGCGCTGCACGAACTACCCCCAGGTCGAGCTGGGCTTTGGGCTCTCGTACGCCATCTTCTTGGTGGCGGCCATGGTCGGCAAGGACCCGTTGGCACCTCTGTTCGACCCGTCGTCGTCGTCGTCGTCGTCGTCGGATCTGTCTGCTCGGCTGATCACCGTCGCCGAATCGCCACTGGCCCGGTCGGCTGGGTATCTCTACTTCTCCGGCATTCTGTGGACGGTCATCTTCGACACCATCTATGCTCACCAGGACTATCTCGACGATTTGAAGGCCGGCGTCAAGGGTCTCGCCGTGCGACTCGGCCGCAAGGGAACGAAACCCGCTTGCTACGTCGCGGGCGCGGTGCAAATCTTCTGTCTGGTGAAAGCGGGCCAGTTGGCGGGGTTCGGCGAGGCGTACTACGCCATCTCGTGTGGCGTTACTGCTCTCGTGCTGGCGTGGATGATCGCGGTGGTCGACTTGGAAAATGGCGACAGTTGCGCTTGGGCGTTCGGTAGTGGAAGCGGCTATGTCGGTACTGCGATGACGGTTGGGCTTATGGCTAACTTTGTGCTGGAGAACCATAGAGTCTATTCGGCCTAGGGATTGGGGGGGGGTGATGCCCCACCGTCACTACTGCCATAGTCTCGTGAATACTTTACCCGTGTACATAGTCTTCCGGCCATTGCTGGGCCTTGTGTACGTAGAGGTACCTTAGGTGGGAGGGCAGCATCGAGTTCGATGTTCTGATCTTGAGTGGAAATCCAGTACTATAATTCGCCTCAATTGGTAACCTGTCAATAACGTGATACAGTATTTTGTTGCCAGCTTTGGCAAACTCACAGCTGCGTTATGTCAATATCCCGTCCTTGTGTCTTTAGGAGTAGCAAGGACATCCGATGAAGCAACTGAGCGGCGGAGTAATTATTGAAATGCAGGGGGAACGGTATCCAGGGCCGCGCTCTTATCTCCAATTGCCGCTTTTGGCAAGTCACTCCAGCACTTCTCTCACAGCAAACGCCAGACTGGAACACTCCTTTTCGCACCTACTCTGGCCACAAAAGGGGCTTGTTCCAGATAAGCAAGAACTGTTGCAGAATCATTGCATCTTTTTGTCGTAATCAATTTCGAGACTGATTTTCGAGTGTTTTCTGTGTGCAAGGCGCACAGGCCAGTTTCTGGCCAAAAGAGGCAATTGGAAATAAGAGCGCGGACCTAGATAACGACCCCCCCAAATGCAGAGCTATCTATCGCCGAGATCATGTTTGCATGTTTCTTTTTCTTGGAGCAAAGAAGCAGACTCGTGAGGCGTGGCGCATTATTCGAGGGTCTTTAGTTTACCGTTCTCAACAAGTTGAAGAATTCATTAATGAACATCCATTCTTTGTTTCCAGAGTTACTAATCATTGAACCTAGTAGAAAATAAAGGGCATGTACTAGGCGCGCCTAGTATGCGAGCATTTTTACACCCATTGCTTGTTACCCAGATGCGAGATGAACGCACCACCATGTCCCTCCTCAATGCTAGCCTTCTCCCAGACGGACCGAACAGCCTTGACCGATTCCTCCGGGGTGATTGGACCCTTGAAGTGGGGGGCATACGATGCGAGCTTGCCCACGAATCCCATCAGGCCATTCACCTGCTCTGGCGTGGCTGGAAAGAATGTGTTAGTCCACTGCTAGTACTCGGGCGTTCCCGCCAGAGCTTTGGGAATAGAGATAAGTACGTACCATTTGCATAGCGACCGACTTCTACCAAGCCCGGACTGATGCTTAAGAAGAGGATACCCTCTTTCTTGTATTCCGCGTTGAACTTGGCCACGATAATGTTCAGGGCGGCCTTGGATGCGGCATAGATCGGGCCAACGTCAATCTCGCATTGGTTGGTCAGGTCGACGTCGCCCACGCCAGATGAGATGGCGATGACCTTCTTGGCCTTGCCCTTCTTGATCAGAGGAACAAAGAGGTTGAAGAGGTGGAGCTGGCCGGTGACATTTGTCTGGAATGTCTCGGCAGCACCAGCATCGACCTCTTGGATCTTATCGGCCCTGTTTTATGCATCTACCATCAGTCCACGCCATCACAGAACAGCCTGGAGCCCAGGAGAGGGAGCACAAGAGGTAAGACATACAATGCGCTGACAGGTCCGTAAGCATCAAACTCGGGCACGATACCGGCGTTGGCAACCAGGTAGTCGACACCACGGTCGCCAACGATCTTGGCGGTCTCGGCGGCCGCCTCCTTCAGGCTGGCGTAGTTGGTGAGGTCTCCATGGAGGATGTGAACATTGGGGCGGTCGCCCAGCTCCGCGGCAACCTTCTTCTCGGTCGCAGCCTTGTTACGGACAAGACCGATGACCAGGTTATCCTTGTCTTCCGACAGTTGCCGAAGGAACTCGAACTGAAATCAAGGGTTCAAATTACGCACGGGTAAGCAAACGCGCGGGGTTAGGTGTGTAGCAGAACGTACGCCAATTCCCTTGGACACCCCTGTGACAGCGTAGACGGACATGGTTCAAGTGAGCAGAGGTAAGGATTTCGGAGCTAAACTGGTTTGTTAGGTAGTTTGATGTGGAAAGGAGAGATGCAGACAGTGGAGGTTCTGGAATCAGACGCCATGGTAGGGTATTTAGAGGTATTGTATCGCATATGTCAATTGATAGAACGCAATAGATGCTTGGAAAGCTTCGATTCAAGCTTTAATTAGTAAGCTCGGCGTTTGCATTCCCCGAACACAGAGCCTGTTTGCGTGCCAATCCGTGACACGGCTTCTGCCAGTGAGAGGCGCCCGGTTGTTGGCCTATCGTAAGGTCTTGTTGGTGGTTGAATCTTTGTTTTTTTTCGAAAGACTTGCGGTTTCACATGCGACTTTGTGACAGGTACCTGGCACTAGTCAAGATTCAATTTCTTGGCGCAGATCTCTCATCCACTTAGGTTTTTGGCGTCGTTACCGGCGCAACGGTCGCTACTATCACTTCGACCGCCCCGCATGTAGCCGCCGTCTGGGCGCCCCCTGTCTGAAAGACACAGTCCACAATGTGGGGTTAGGCAAAACCGCAAAACGCCGATTCGCCGAACGCATTGTCCCGAACGAACGATGTTTGCGCATGTCTTCCACTGATCACTTCCCAATCTGAACGGTACGGCACCAAAAGCGGGCTCAAGGGGAATAGTTACCCCACATTATACATACGGTACGTTACGCCAACTTCCCGTTACTACCTCTATTGCACCAACAACACCATTGACACCTTTTATTCTAGACAAGATCCTCGGTGTTCCACTTGATGCTCTGCTCCAACCCTGTCCACCCGTCCTTGCCCATCTTTCGCAGCAGATCCTCCGCCCGCTGACGAGGAACAATCTCGCTCAGATCCTCCCCGGCTTGGAAGGGCGAGGCAAAGCTGCGGGTCGGGTACAGCCGGCGAAACACGTCCAGGATCCCATCTCCGTTTATGGTCTCGGCGAACGCAAAGATACGTTCTGACTGAACCTCTGGGAGGATCGCGGCCGCCACATGCAGGAGGGCGTCGTCCTGGACGTCGACATAGTACTCTGTCACCTTGATGCATTAGTGGCCCGTCTTTCTCTCTCACACAACAAGCGATGATAGGTAGACATACGAGGTGGGACACTGGCCTGATAGCCGTTGGTGTCTCCGTTGAAGAGACTCACAACAATGCCCGAAGTGGATGGGTGGCCTTGGTTGGCGGGGTCGAGACTAGCGCCGAAGTTGAGATTCGGCACGACTGTATTTAGGGTAAAACCCGGTTGCTTCTCCTCCATGAACTTCCAGGCCTCCTTTTCTGACAAGGTCTTGCTGGCTGCATACACGGGCAGCGCGTGCTCGGGTCCATAGGGCGGTGGGTCGCGATAAGCCTGCTCCACCGCCTCGTCGTTCCACGTGTCGGTGGTGACCTTGAAGGGGTTGTTGGGCTTTGGAATCAAGGCCGCGGTCGAAGAGGACGTGAGCACGAAGCGCTTGACGCTTGGCTCCCGCGCCGCGGATTCCAGAGCGTTACGCGTCCCCGCCACGGTTCCCGGTATCACGTGGTCGGGGTTGGGGTCCATGGTGAAGATGGATGCGGTGTGGACAACGGCTGAGACGCCCTTGACCACTTGCGCGAAGGCGTTTGGCTCTGCCATGTCTGGTACAGCCATCAATTCGAAGTTACCCGGGCCGTACTTTTTGTCCAACAAGTTGCTGATCCAAGCATTCTTCTCTGGGCTTCGCGTGGTACCGCGGACCTTGTAGCCGTGTTTGAGGAACTGGTCGGCGATGTGAGATCCAATAAAGCCCGCGGCGCCCGTGACGAGCACAGTTGAGCCTTTAGGAATAGCAAACTGACCGGTTGGCGACGACGACATGGCGACAATGCTTGTCTGGCTGCGGGATCAAGACTGACTCAAACAGTAGATGTAGATATTTGTAACTGCGGAGGGACTTGTGGGGAGGGGGAAACAAAGTAGTAATGCTAAGATATGTAAAGTGAAATTGTGTACTTTGATGTGTCAGACATTGACTAGGCACGAATGGTCTTTTATATACTTCAAAGCGGAGCGCAAATACTTTCGCCATCACACATCCGCGTGTGGTGTACGAAAATGTAATCAGTGTAGTAGATCATTCGCTCAAGCAGTGTATAGAAGAATGCCCAGTCTCAGCTGAAAGGCACGAGAGAGGTTGTCACCAAAATGGCAGTCCTGTTATGACCTTATCTCCACACCCGTCAAATTACCCCGGTAAAATCACAATGAGATTTCCACTTTGACCAAGCTAGGACGATTTGTACATTGAACAAGTAACTAGTGAGAATCTCTGGTATACTCGGGGTACGACCGCTCATACCTGGATAGGAAAGCAAGCGTTGGATTAGCAGGGCCACAGTATTACTTGGTAAGCCATCAACTTACCCTAGAATATTCTCCGCATACCAGGCAATCCCACGGTGTGCCCAAAAGAGCATCGGCGTCGGCATCCAGTTGAGGAAAGGCGGGCACAGCAGCGAAGACGCGTTTTCGGTGAGCAGAATGATCTGGAGAACCGACGGCTGCAGGCCGGCCTTGAGGCAATCATTGACGTAGCCCGACAAGTTGCGCAGGAAGTTGACGTCCAGAATGTGCTCTCTCTTACTGGTACAGGGATCCAGCCAGATGGAGAAGACAAGGTCCTCGGTGCCTGTCTTGTGAGCCCAGAATCGATGCCTGTATCAAAAAGTCAAACGCCGGTCTCTCCGGTCAGTCACTTGGTGTGGCTTTTGTTTCCCCAGCCAAGAGACAGGCTAATTCAAAAACTCACCGTGTGCCACGGGGGATAGGGAAGACTCCGTCGTCCTTGGTGATGGCGTATTCCACACCGTTCTTAACGACGCCCAAGACACCCTGCTCGACTTTGAAGAACTCGTCTTGCAAACAATGTATATGTCTGCCATCCCAGGTAGGTATTAGACTAAACCATTTGATGTCCATTGGCTAAGATGGGGGCTCGCCTGTTCTTTTACCTACAGTGGGGGTCCAGACAGTCCGGCTCGGACGAAGTAGTTTTCAATGTGATGTGTCTCTCGGATGTACCAGAGCCCGTCTGGTTTGGAGAGCGGCTCGTACAGGGCTGCATCTCCGAGGTGAGGCCACGATGGCTTGTCGTTGTTCTTGGTCCGTTGCAGCGGTCGTGGCGATAGCCACCGTTGGAATGCGGTCGCCATATTCGGAGATAAAGTCAAAAAGAAGCTGGGTAGGGTAGGAGAACACGATTGTGCAATGACTTGGAGGAGTCGCCGACCGATACACCGACGGGCAAGAGGTAAAGAATTGCCACGTCATCAAGTAAGTATTTATAAATCTTTAGGTCTAACTCGTCTTGCTAGTGAGGTTGCGCTTTGTCGCTTGTCGGCGATTGGCACCCATCCCATGGACAACTTCGGCCATCTGCTTGCATACCGGCTGAATAGCAGGGGTCTGGCTTACATCGTATGTAGCAGAAACCACATGCAGACAGAAGGGATGAAAACTCTACTGTACATACGCCGAACGTACGCATCCTGGATCTTTGGCTGCATGCATCTTCCCCATCTTCTGTCAAATTGGAGAAATTAGGTAGGTACGTTCAGGTCTGCCGTGCTCGTCAATTCCGTCTTCATATCGCACCAGCGATCAGAGGGGAGGAATTTAAACACTCGGTGCTATTTCCCCAGGGGTCGTGGCAATCATTGCAAATCCAACTACCGCCAATTTGTCGCCATGGCGAATACAGGTAGTACCTCACGGCCAGTCTTCACCATCCTAGTTGTGGGCTGCGGTCTCAGTGGCCTGGCGTCCGCCCTGGCTCTTGCTCAAGCCGGACACCGCGTAACCGTGTTTGAGCGCAGCCCGAAGCTGCAAGAGGTTACTACTTTATTTTCTCCCACAGATAAACTAGAAGGCAGTTCATCCCCTTGCTGACTCTGAGACTATTTTGGACAGATCGGTGCCGGGATACAGCTGTCCCCGAACGCCACTCGTTTGCTTCAGCATTGGGGCGTCTTTGACGAAGTGCTTCGGTATGCTGATCAACCCGAGGACGGGACTTTCCGCTCCTACCGGGGAGAACTGCTCTCGCATTCCCCGCCAGTGTCTCATCCGAACCTGGTGAGCAAATCCCCGTATCTGGTCGTCCATCGCGCCGACCTCCTGAGGGCCTTGCTATCGGGGACGAGCAAGCATGCTACCATAGAGATCAAACTTGGCAGCGAGGTTGCAGAAGTTGACTTCAGCAAACCATCCCTCCGTCTCTCCACTGGAGAGGTCTACGAAGCGGACCTCATACTCGGCGCCGATGGGGAGAGGTCTCGTTGCCGGGCTGGCCTGTTGGGCCGTGAGGACCCTCCTTATTGCCCGGGCGACGTGGTCTACCGCGTCTCCGTCCCCACCAAGGCCATAGCCCTGGGTCACTCGGCCTGGGACCTGACGAGACGCTCCAGTGTCAACTTTTGGATGGGCCCGCGCGGGCACGTGGTCACGTATCCCATCCAGCAGGACATGCTCAATGTCGTTCTGATATATGCCGAAGGGCCAAGTACCACCAAGGCCATGTATGGGCCGCAACGCGCTACGATAGACGAATTCAGGAGCAGGGTCTCGGGCTGGGATCCGGTGCTTCACGACCTGATAGACATGGAAGGGTCCGTCTGTACAAAGTGGAACCTGTTTCAAATCCGTGAGCAGAGCCAATGGCACCATGAGAACGGTCGATTTGTGCTCATTGGCGATGCTGCTCATGCAATCTTGCCATGCCTGTGAGTTTCGGAATGGATTCTCATGCAATTTCTCTCCTTGCCTAACCCTCCGTGACTGGTTGGCTAATAGTCTAACCCAATCTTCTTCAGAGCTCAAGGTGCGGCACAGGCATTCGAGGACGCAGGCGTCCTTGGTGCCATATTCGACCAGTTGGTGGCACGGGAGCAGATTCCAGATGCCGTCAAGGTATTCGAGGATGTGCGTAGACCACGAGCCTCAGACGTCAGACAGCGTTCACTAGACCAGAAGGCCATGTTTGCTCTTGCTGATGGTGCAGAGCAAGAGAAACGGGATGCAATGCTCCGCGCAGGCGAAGACTATCCATTGTTTGAATGGCTTTGGGGTTATGATGCCATTGAAGGGGGGCGAGAAGCGTGGAAGAGATTCTTAAACGAGAAGAGTATTGAGAATGGTGCCTACGTTCCCTAGTTGTAACTATCTTACTGCTAAGAACAAGAAACAAGAGAGTATGCACACACCGCAGATCAAGTAGAGCACTTTTCGAACATGATAGATCTTCTGTGATGTATTCTTTGAGGATGTTTACGTCGCCATGTTCCTGCTTGGCCTATTCGGCTGCTTTGCTTGTTTGCGGCCCTTTTTCCTTTTCTTGCGGCTATTACAAGGGCGTACGTGATCTGAACCATACAGCTTGCCGTTGCTCGTTTTCCAAAGCCTAAAAGATCACTCCCTCCTACGAGTCGTGGATTCGGGGTAAATCCCCCTGGTCCACCTGGATTTCCTCAAAGGGGGGGGGGGGGGTCCGAAGGCTCATCCATTGGTCACATCTTTTGACTGCCATTTCCGGTAGTTGCTAACAGCTTCCTCCATGTCATGTTCGGCCTTCGCCTGCATACCTAAGATGGGTAGTAATACCGAATTACCTAGGTAGTGATATGCTGTAAGTTTGTGGGCCGCAGTCACCTACCTTGGGCCCAGTACTAGCCCCCCTCCCCCCTCTCACCCCTCCACATTCGTCCGCTTGTACTACTTCTTTTCTCTCTCTCTCTCGATGGCCTGAATAGAATCGTGTGATTCGTGATCACGTTCGATATTCCATCTTCACCTCTTCTGGCCCGCCACAATGTACACCATCGACAGCACCTATTACCCCCCGTATGTGGGCCTTTTTCTCCTCATTTTCAGTTTCTGTGTATATGCGGTCATTCAAGTCTTGAAACCTGTCGACTTGAAACGCTCGAGCGGGAAAAGGAGATGGTCTATGCCACCGGGGCCACCAGGAGCTCCGGTCCTGGGAAACTTGCCACAGATGATGAAAGCGCGCCGCGGAGGAGCCCTGTCGTTTAACGAATGGGTTAGTATTGTCCTGCCCCCATGAATCCAACATGTGAAGCCGTCACAGCAAGCTGAAAAACAACAATCCGGTTTAGCTTGCCTCCCTGATACCATATGGCGAAATGGTGACAGTTCACATGGGCTCCAAGACATGGATCGTGCTCAACTCGGACCGCGTCGTCTCGGAACTCATTGCCAAGCGCGGTAGAATCACCAACGAAAGACCACATATGCCCATCGCGAGCGATCTCGTCAGCAATGGAAAGCGCACGGTGATCCGCCAGGAAGAAGAATGGCGGGAGGGGCGCCGAGTGATGCATCATTTGCTCAGCGGCTCGAATCTCAAGGTCTATGCCGGCATGCAGGAGCTCGAGAGCGTCGACATGCTGCGCCGGTACCTTCGGGAGCCCAAGCTATGGTATTCTCACCACTTCCGCTATGCGACCTCGGTGCTCTACAGGATCGTGATGGGCTACCCCCTGCACAAGAGCAAGGCGGAGCTCGACGCCTACCAGAGGGTGACGATGGAATTCGTGTCGTCCATCAACCAGAGCTACGTGGACTTTTTCCCTTGTTTCAGCAAGCTCCCCCATGTGCTGCAGCCGTGGCGAAGCTACTGGATGCAGATGGGCGCGTTTCACCGCCGTGTCTTCCAACAATGGTGGCAGCCCATCAGCGCCGCCGTGCGCGACGGCTCGGCGCCTCCGTCCTTCGTTCGCGACGTCCTGCTCCATCCAGACATGAGGTACGCTGGAGGCGATGAGGAGGCCATGTATCTGGCGACCTCTGTCATGGCAGCCGGAGGCGACAACACGCGCATGACCATGAATGTGTTTATCATGGCCATGGTCGCGAACCCTGAAGCGCAGGCACGGGCACGTGCAGAAGTCGATCGAGTATGCACAACAAAGGGCGACGACTCGCTCAGGCTTCCTCGCATGTCGGACATGTCCGAAATGCCCTACGTGGCGGCCATGATCAAAGAGGTTCTGCGTTGGCGGCCCACCGTCCCTCTCGTTCCCCCACATCAACTCACCGAGAACCTGGAGTTTGACGGGAATTTCATCCCAGCCGGCACATGCCTCCTGATCAACTCCATTGCGCTCTCCAAGGAGTTTGAGGATGCAAACAAGTTCAAGCCGGAGAGATGGATTCAAGGACCGCCAGGGTCGGGCAAGACAATACCGAATTTCTGGGGATTCGGGGGCGGGCGTCGAGTCTGCGTCGGCTCCAAGGTGGCAGAGCAAGCTCTGTTCATCATCTTTGCCCGCTTACTCTACTGCTTCGAGTTGATTCCGGTGAGTACCTCTACTTAGACGATTCCATTTCCTTTATGCTCTGGTCTCTCAAGCACCATAAAATGAGACGGTTTACTGATAAAGCGAGACGGGATCTAGGATGGGCCTATCGACGACGAAAAACTCAATCACCAGAGTCTGGACGAGCCGTTTCCCGTCAGGGCCACTGTACGCAGTGCTGACCATGCGGCACTGATTGAGGGTGAGGCCGCAAAGTACGAGGCTTCCTTCTCTACATTCGCTACAAAGTAGGTCATACGTGTCATACGTGTCACACACGGGAATACAGACCAAGAATGAGAAGTATGGGGGCATGGAGGAGATGCAAAACTTTGAACCTCAAGCTTTGATCAGCCATATTTAGGTTGGCTATGATTTTGTCCCAGAAATAGGTAGCTGTTGGTTCCAAAAAAGAGCAGAAGTGCCTGATACGAAGGTCCAACCAAGACAAGAGTATAGGTATGATACGTAGCTAGACAATTCCATCCTTGTTGTGTTGTTAGACATTGGGAAAGCCAAAGCCTGCCCGGAGAATCGGCGAAAAGTTTCATTCCTGCCTTTCATATTGGTCATCGTCGTGTACCACGTTGCTGAATCGAGTGTTCCCCCCGGCGCGTTGGACTGGACCTTGTCTGAAGTTGAAACAGGGCTTACACGGCCCGTCCCGCCGGCGGACGTTGAGTGGGTCCCAGTCACTCAGCCCTGTGGACCGGGAGCCTGAAGGATTCCCGACCCTCTCCACATTGCAAAACGCCGATTCGCCGAACGCCACGATATGTAAGCAAAGCTTGACGAACGGGGGCGAGTGGGACGGCGCAGTTCACGTTGGTCTTCGGCGTGCTGCGTAAAGTCGGCCAGTCAACTCGGAAGGATCGGGGAATTTTTTTTCGCCTATCTACATCTACGGGTTACTTGTAATCTGTAGGTACACAGTGAGAACGGGACAGACCAAACAACCCGAAACAATTGCACGAGCAAGGGGAGCCGGCTGATCACCGCAATGGGCTTTTGTGGTCGCCATCGAGGCCACCTAGCATGTTGCTGGTTCCTAGGGCCCGGGCCCAGGGAGATCCGTCACAGCGACTGGCAGGACACGTGGAAGTGTTCTGGATGAGTGTTGTCGTCGACTGATCAGAAAAAAAAGTGGTGTTCTATGATTAAGACACAAGATGGTGTTGTACCCGCCGCTTATTATGCGCCCTGACCACTTCTCCAAAAAGGTCATCCCCGCGTCAGTAAAGTAGGTAGGTACCTTACCTAGGTAGATACGAGAGTTGCTCCTTTAACAAAATAGGCAATCGAGTCAGTAAGTGCTATCCCAGTATCGTGCACACTGCAAATTTGAACGCATCACTGATAAGATTGTATCCCAGTTCCATCATGTCATCCCAAGCACCAACTTTTACAGACTTGGTCCTCTCCCAGCGATGTGATGTTCCACGGTCAGGTGAAACAACACGGACGATCAGCGGAGCGGACCTCACCATCGCCGACGTGGTGGCAGTTTCGAGGCACCTTGCACCGGTCGAGCTCTCCTCCGCGTCCATCGAGGCCATCGAAGCATGCAGCAAGATCATTCCGCAGAAGATCGCCCAGGGCGAAATCATCTACGGCGTGAACACGGGATTTGGCGGCAGTGCTGATGCAAGGTCCAACGATGTCGAGGCGGTCCAGCAGAGTCTGATCAGCCACCTGACGTGTGGAATTGTCGCGTTCGGCAAGCAAGAGCAGGCTCCCAACAGCAATCGGCATGCGGCTACGCCAAACGCACAATCAGTTAACGGCGATACCCTTTCCCAACTTCCCGGGACAAATGGGCATCAGAAACACACGGGGCCTACCACTTGTCTTCCGCTGAACGACCCGTTCGCCGTTACCTGCATGCCCGAGTCCTGGGCGCGGTCATCCATGCTTATCCGTCTGAACTCGCTGGCCGGCGGTGTGTCGGGCATTCGGGTCGAGATCGCGGAAAGCCTGAGGAGCCTCCTGAACAAAGACATCGTGCCGCTCATCCCCGTGCGTGGGAGCATCTCGGCGTCTGGAGACCTCAGCTCGCTCGCGTGGATCTGTGCCCTGATGCAGGGCAAGACGTCCGCCATGGCCTTCACTGGGCCGAGAAACGTCGACAGGGCTCGAAGGGTGACGCGGGCAGATGTCGCCCTCGCGGAAGCCAGTATCGCGCCCATCACCCTGCACGCCAAGGAGGGTCTTGCCATCGTGAACGGCACGGCCGTGTCTGCCGGTGTCGCGGCTCTCGCTGCTCACGAATCCATCCAGCTCGCAGCGCTGTCACAGGTGTTGACGGCCATGAGCGTAGAGGCTCTGCGAGGCAGCGATGAGAGTTTCGAGCCGTTCATCGCGCGTGTACGGCCGCACCCGGGGCAAGTCGACAGTGCACGCAACATCAAGGCATTCTTGGCCGGATCACAACTGCTCAACCGCCACGATAGTCGCTCCAAGGCGACGCTGCGACAGGATCGCTACTCGCTCCGAACGGCCAGCCAGTGGCTCGGCCCCGTGCTGGAGGATTTCTGCCTCGCGCATAGTCAGCTGACGATCGAACTCAACTCGGTAACGGACAACCCGCTGATTGACCCGGAGACGCAGCGGGTGTTCCACGGCGGCAACTTCCAAGCGCGCGCCGTCACGTCGGCCGTCGAGAAGCTGCGCCAGGGCTTGCAGAGCATCGGCCGCATGCTCTTCACCCAGTGCACCGAGATGATCAACCCGGCTACGAGCTGGGGTCTGCCGCCGAATCTGTGCTCGGACGACCCCAACGACTCGTTCCTGTTCAAGGGGCTCGACGTCGTAATCGCCGCCTTGACCTCGGAGCTGGGCTTCCTGGCCAATCCCGTCGGGTCGCACGTCCAGACGGCCGAGATGGGCAACCAGGCTCTCAACTCTCTGGCGCTCGTGTCCGCCCGATACACGCTCGAGGCCGTCGACGTGCTGTCCCAGCTGGCGTCGGCGCACCTCCTGGCTCTCTGTCAGGCGCTCGATCTGCGGACGATCGAGATCGAAGGCCGCAAGGCCATCGCGCCTGATGCGACACCGTACATCGGACAGGCTTCGCAACGCATGTATCGCTTTGTTCGGACGGAGCTGGGCATCCCATTCCTGAGCGAGGCCCAGCTAGCGTCCACCGAGGCCGCCGAGGGCAACGGCTTCGTCACACCAAGCATGGGACTATATGTTACGCGGGTTTACGAGTCGATCCGGTCTGGGCGCTTATACACCATTGTTCTAGACGCGTTTGAGGGCATGGAAAGAAAAGTAGACTGTGCTTAGAGCTTAGACGGGGCAGTAATGGATGTGATGCTTTACAGGGACGATTCACAAAGATCGGAACACTTGGCAACGCAAAGAGTTTACAACAGACTAGACAGCAGATATAAATCTATGAGAACCAATTTCTATTGCTGGTTGATGAATCGCATTTTGGTCAATGGGGTACTTGATCTATGTTGTCTACGATATTAGTCATTTCTGTGAAATGGCAGCAGCACATGGCGTGAAGGTTTCTTCTGGGAGTCTAGGACGAATTTGGATCCTTAAGATTTGCTTAAAATAGGTTACTACCCTATGGCTGCAGGTATGAACCCAGCCTTTTAGTACCATTCAGCTGAGATCCGGTTATGTAATTGCGGCGCAGACCGAGAGAGCGGACACGGATGACCACACCAGGATTCCGATCCCTTAGGATCGGATAGCCCCCGAGCTAAAACTTTTATCATGAAGCCGATATATATAAAAGGTCTCACGGGGGCACATGTACAATGGATGAAGACTCGAGTTCAAGTGTCTGTTTCATCCAAGACTTCCCCATACTTTCCTCATTTTGACCCCCAAAGACATCCTTCACCATGAGGTCTCTGGTGATTTCTTCCTTGTGTTTTCTCTCCGGCCTTTCGAGCCTCGTATCTGGTGCCAGCGTCCCCAGGTATCTCGAGAGTCAACCGACCACGCGTCGAAATCTCACCAGCCAGGCGGTGCGGCGGGAGCTGGGCAGCCAGGTCTCCCCGGGCACCTTGATCTATGGACCGGGTGATGCTGAATTCGCCAACCTTACTTCCCGCTGGACCGACTTTTCCAAGCCAGATGTCCGGGTTGTCATCGAACCCGCCGCCGAATCCGATGTCTCCTCAATCGTACGTTCCATACCTACTTACTACTAGTACCACCTTACAAATGTTCTACCCTACTGACAAATGGTGCTAGGTCAAATACTGTAACTACAATGGCATCGACTTTCTAGCCATCGGTGGTGGCCACGGCCTGACCTACAGTCTCAAAAAGTTCAGTGGCCTCCAGATCAGTATGCGGCAATTGAACAACATTACTATCCAAGGGAGCGGCAAGTCGGCCTGGTTCGGAGGTGGCACCGTCGTCGGTCCCGTCATCCAGTACCTCTACGATCGAGGCTATGTCACGACCACCGGCGGCTGCGAGTGCGTCGGCATGCTGGGCGCCGGTCTGGGGGGTGGCCACGGTCGGTACGAAGGTTTTTACGGCTTGATCAGTGATAATATCCTGCAGCTCCGCGTCGTTTTGGCCAACGGTTCGGCTATTGTGGTTAGTAAATCGAGCTACAGCGACCTCTTCTGGGCTATGCGAGGGGCCGGGCACAACTTTGGCATCGTCACGAGCTACAAGATGAATATCTTCCCCGTCGGACCGAAAACCTGGCACTGGCACAATTACATCTGGCGCGGCGAGCAGCTGGAGACCGTCTTCGGGGCCCTCAACGCCTTCCACAACAACGGCTCCACCCCGGTCAATATGGCCTTTGAAGCCGGAAACTTCCTCATGGACACCAGCATTACCAGCGAGGAGCCCGTGCTCTTCTGGACCTTTGCTTACCGCGGACCCGCTGACGAGGCCGAGAAGCTCCTCGCCCCCTTCAACGCCATCGACGCCGTTTCGAGTACTATGGGCGACGTGCCCTACTCGCAGATCGCCACGGCGCAGGGGACCGGCTGGGACTCGGCCATCTGCCAGCACGACCTTGTGCACGTTACGTCGTCGGTATTTCTGCAGGTCTTCAACGTGACGACCGAGCGCCAGATCTTTGAAGGCTTCAAGCGGCGCGTCCAGTCCAGCCCGGCGCTCGCGGCCGGATCCAGCATCATGCACGAGGGATACTCGACCGAGGCCGTGGACAAGATCGACCCGGCGAGCTCGGCCTATCCGTTCCGCGGCGACCGCCACCTGACCTTGTTCAACGCCGTGGTGCCGAGCCCCGACTACGAGGCCGCGGCTCGCGCCTGGGCCGCCGAGGTGCGCGATCAGTGGATCGCGGGGCAGCCCGGTCGAAAGCTCGATGCCTACGTCAACTACGCCAACGGGATGGAGACGGTGCCGGACTGGTATGGCCACGAGAGCTGGCGCATCGAGAGGCTGAAGAGCCTCAAGGCCAAGTACGACCCTCACAACCGCTTCCGCTACTACAATCCCATCATCGCCGCATAATCACGGGGAGAGGGTAGCAGAATCGGGGGGGGGGGTTGCTTACCTTAGTATATGATCTTCTCTCTCTTTTCATCTTCATACAAAGCCTTTTTTGCGAGAAAGAGGTTCTCAAGGTAAGGTACACACGTCATAGCTCTATCCTACGTCTATTGTATGTTTCGTGTCACTTGAATCAAGTTGTATATACCAGATCTAGCCAGTGGTACCTGTATAAATTTACTTATGTTTGTGTGAAACATGAGTTTTCCGCTTGAGCATAGGTAGCATAAGACCTGCATCGGAACATTGACGATCCAATCGGGTATCACAAACCTAAAAGACAAGAGTGGTGGGTGTATGCTACTCACTTTGACTTAGAATCAATCAGCCTTATCGGCGTTATGGATCCGTCCTTGTCATCCACATCGGCGTTCTCAGTCGGCGTTTCCATTCCTTTAGTCGAAGGCAAAAGCTCAATTGCGACGACTTCCGAGGTCAGGAAGAAGCCCGAGATACTGGGAATCTTCACCGGACAGGGTGCCCAGTGGCTGGCCATGGGCAAGGTTCTGTGTCAGATCGCCCATGTCCGTGCTATCGTCTCCAAACTCGATCATTCGCTCCAGAGCCTACCAGCCCAGCTGAGTATCGGCCGGAGTGGAAGCTTCTAGATCAGCTACTACTGTTCGAAGGCGAAGAATTGAAAGTAAACCAAGCCGCCTACTCCCAGCCCCTCTGTTGCGCCGTCCAGATCATCCTAACCAAACTGCTACAAGCATCAGGGGCGACATCCAAAGTCATTCTAGGCCATAGCTCGGGCGAGATTGCGTGCGCCTTCGCTGCGGGCTTGCTCTCCCCCGTATTGTTCTCCCACGCCGTAGAGCAGGCACTAGTGAAACACTCCCCCTTCGATGTTTGCATCGAAGTCGGGCCACACCCGACCTTGAAGGGCCCGAGTCTTCAGACGATAGAGAACTGTGCGGCGACTACCCTAGCGTACACCGGATGCGTGGACAGGAACAAGACCGACACAAAGGCCTTTTCGGCATGTCTGGGCTACCTCTGGTCGCAGTTCGGCTCGCCTGCCATTGACATCGACCGTCTCTTGGGCGAGCTGTCACCAGATGAAGGCATTACAGGGGATGTATCCAAGGAACTGCTATGCTATTCGTGGGGTCGCTCGCGGTCGTACAGGAAGGAGTCTCGTCTGCTCCGTCAATGGCTAGGCGGCGACCGACCTCATCTTCTGCTTGGCAAGCAACTGTCCCAAAGCAGCCCGAGTTCCCTTCAGTGGCAGAATTTCATCGGCAGCGGGACAACGAATGGCTGAGCGGTCATTCTCCGCAGGGTCAGACGGTGTTTCCTGGCGCGGGTTACGTCGTCATGGCCATGGAGGCTGCCATCAGTGTGGCTAGTAGCAGCGATAAGGAGATCCAGTTGTTGGAGGTGCTGGATCTCGAGATCAACAAAGCCGTGACGTTTCATGACGATGATAGGATGGTAGAACTCAGCCTCTCACTGAGTTGCGATTCTTCGCAGACCACAGATACCTACGCCACCTACAAATTCGTCATCAATTCTTGCCTGGCCAGAGAAGACAAGATTGTCGAGCTCGGCTTCCGGTACCGTGACCGTCACCTATGGACCAGGATCGTCGGACACTCTTCCGGCTCATCAAGAAGACTCCCCTCACCCGAACAATGTCAGCATCGACCGATTCTACAACATGCTCTCGGAACTTGGATACGGCTACACAAAGGGGTTCCGTGGCGTTAGCATCCTGAAGCGTGGCGACAGCAAGGCCCGAGGGACTTTTGACTTCCATCGTCTGGAGGACAACGACCGCAAACTCGTAATGCATCCTGCTACGCTCGATGTTGCCTTTCGGAGCTTCATCGGAGCATACACGGCACGAGGCGATAGACGCTTGCGATCCCTTCTCGTAAGGTACCCACCGGCATCACTCGTATAGCGCTCAACCCGTGGGTGGCTGATCGAATCAGCGCCTCGTCCAATCAGCAGGTTGACTTTATTTCCACCAGCGCAACGAGTGTCGGCAACGCGGTCGAGGGGGACATCGAGGTGTTTGACCCCAAACCCGGGGCTACCATGATTTACGTCGAGGGCCTCAGCTTCAAGCCCCTTTCGGCGCCGTCGGCCGCCGATGACTACGAGATGTTCTCAAAATGGGAATGGGCACCGACCAACGCCGACCCTCTGCTCGACGACAGCAAGTACCACGCCACCGAACAAGTTAAGACCGACGTCGAGATCATCGAGCGTATCACGTACTGGTACATCAAGTCGTTCATCACGAGCTTGGAACCGGAGGATTGCGAGAGGGCCCCCTTGCTTTTTGTAGAGCACATTCAGTGGTGTGAGCATCAACTAGCCGAGGCCAAGGCGGGCCGCAACGTCTGGTACCAGCCGAGTTGGGAGAAGGACACCAAACCATTTATCGAGCATCTCATCCAAGAGTACCTAGGTAAGTAACTCATCTCCCCAATCTCTTAACGGCTGTATACACACCCAGTGACTGTGTGAGACTGACACAACCACAAAAGAAGCCGGTCTCATCCCTTTGTCCGCCTCACCTAAAGAGTGGGAGAGGGTGCTCTGGAAACTCTACGAGGGAACCCGAACCCCTTCGACCTCATGGACCACGATGGCTTGCTCACCGAGTTCTACGGAGGCACAGTAAGTTACGGACACTCGTACAGCTACTACCAGATGCTGCTCGAGCAGATCAATCACCGCCATCAGAACATAGGTACCTAGACGTTCTCGAAGTTGGTCGGTTTGACGCTTTTTATTCCCCTCAAGCTCCGAACATTATTACTCACATTGTCTCAAAGACGCTGGTACCGGAGGTGCCAGCCGTGTGTTCCTGAACGACGACCATCTCTCGTTCAACAGCTACACCTTCACCGACATCTCGAGCGCTTTCTTCGAGCAGGCCGGCAAGGAATTCGAACGACACGGCGAGAAGATGATCTTCCAGCCCCTCAACATTCGCCGCGACCCAAGCGAGCAAGACTTCAAGCCGAACTCGTACGATCTAATCATCGCGTCCAACGTCCTCCAGGCCACCCCGCGGCTCGAGGAGACCCTGTCCAATGTTCGATCTCTGCTGAAGCCCAACGGGCGGTTGGTCGTCATCGAGGTGGCTCATCACGAGCATACCCGTATTGGTTTCATTTTCGGCATGTTCCCCGATTGGTGGGCCAGTCACGACGAAGGCCGTGTGAGCCATTCATCTCCTAAGACAAGTGGGACGTTGTCCTCAAGAAAGCTGGCTTTTCGGGCATCGACAGCCGCACTCTGGATCCGGACAGCCGGAATCTTCCCCAACGGCGTGTTTATGACTCACGCTGTCGTCAATTTGGTGCGACGGCTTGACTCGCCACTCTCGGCCCCTGCAAAGGAGGAATATCCCCCTCTGGTCTTCGTCGGAGGTTCGACTCCCAAGACGTCTGCGATTCTAGATCGGATCCCGGATTTCCTCGCGCCCCTGGGACGCGAGTTCAGCACATGGCCCAGCATTCGGGACATCATCGACTTTGACTACCAACCGGGCTCCTCGTTCGTCGTTCTGTCCGAACTGGACGAACACACGTTTGCCGGACTCGATGATTAAGAGCAGCTGGACGCATTGCAAATAATCTTCAACGCTGCACTCCACGTCTTGTGGTCGACGGAGAATGCCTGGTGCACGAACCCGCAGCAAGTCATAACGATTGGTCTTCTCCGTACCCTCCGCATGGAATATCCGGACATCCACATTCAGGTGCTGGATGTTGACAAGGCGGAGCACGTGGAGCCCAGGTTCCTGATCGAGACCGTGTTACGCCTGGAAGATGCCAAAGACTGGCAGGAGAGGGGCCTGCTCTGGACACAAGAGCCCGAGCTGTATCTGTCAGGTGGCAAGGTCATCGTCCCTCGTCTCAAGCAGCACGAAGAGCGTTTCGTGCCCTTGAACGCTACAGAGGGAGAATCCTCCATCAAGGTTCAGGCGCAATACTCTTTGGCCCAAAGCCTTGAGGATCGGTCAATCAGGATTTCATCATCTCATCCAGGGCAAAGATGTGGTGACCGGTGAAGTTGTGGTGACGCTGTCTCAGAGCAACGTGTCTTGGCTGCGAGTTCCCTCAAGCCGGGTGGTCAAAATCGAAAGAGAGAAGAATGCATCGCCGGTAATACCAAGCATTGTTTCGGAGCTACTCGCCAGCAGCATGTTATTAGATGTCGCTCCTGGTTCATCCATCCTCGTCTTTGAACCTCTTACGCTCTGCATCCACGCCCTCTCCAAGCGAGCAGAAACAGCTGGGAATCGCCATCAGCTTTGCATCCACGCGGGCAAAACCGTCGAGTGGCATCCGATGGATTCTGTTGCACGAGAAGGAGACCTTGCGCAGCCTGCGACAGAAGCTTCCACAAGACATCAACTTGCTCTATGATCTGTCAAGCGATCAAAGCCCAGCAAGCCTAAGCCAGCGACTTGCCCGACGCATCCCCGCCGGCTGCGTGATTCGCCACAGGGACTATCTCTTCCAAGATATCACGACACAGAATAAGTCTGCGGTAGGTGCTGAAAAGGCATACCAGGCGCTGGTCGAAGCGGTTGCTAGGGCCAAAGAGATGCCACCGAGTGATTATGGGGTGTCCATTATCAAGGGCAGCGATATTGTGTTGCTTGGAAACGCCGCCCTAGACATCGACACCTTGATCAATTGGGAATCGGAGCAGATCATCCCCAGCCGCATTCGATCTATGGAAACGGATCCCATCTTCGTATCGGACAAGACGTACCTGCTGGTTGGTCTCGCCGGTGATCTGGGCCGCTCCATTGCCTGTTTCATGGTGGAGCGCGGCGCCCGCCATGTTTGTTTTGTCGAGTCGCTCGCCCAAGATCGACCAACGCTGGATCGATGACATTTACGGCGCTGGGGGGGAACGTGATGGTGCTTCCAATGTAAGAAACTTCTTCTTTCCTCGGATTTGATGAAACGAATATTTCATTTGGATGATTGCTGACCACCAACCTTTCAAGGGACGCCCTCGGCTTTCAAATCCGGCGGCGAAGAGGTAACAGAACGTGAGGCACCTCTGTCTCTGACCCAAGAGTACGCCTGGAAACAGCTTCAACTCCCCTTGGCACCCGAGACTTTCATAGTACCATCGGTATGTACATGCAAGGTCCTCTCAACCTTGATCGCCTCAGTTGGGCAGTGAAACAAGTATTGCAACGCCACGACGCATTCCGCACGGCGTTCGTCAACGACCCGGCCGATACGGGTGGTCCTATCCAATTCATCATGGAGTCCCTTCGAGTGGCGTTTGAGACGATCCAGGTTGCCGACAAGGCTGCCGCAGATCAGGGCTTCACGGATCTCGAGGGTTATCATTACGACTTGGACAAAGGAGACACGCTCAAGCTCGTCCATTACCAATGGTCACCTCACCCATGGATCACCGTCTGATCATTGCCTACCATCGCCTTGTCGGAGATGGCTGGACCACCGAACACCTCTTCGTTGAAATGGGTCAATTGTACAGTGGCGTCAATCTCGGGCCTGCTCCGAGCTATGCCGATTTCGCTATACGCCAGCGCAAACAGCTGGAGTCTGGCGCGCTCACCAAAGATCTCAGCTACTGGGCCGACATCTTCAAGCAACCTCCAGCGAGACTCCCGCCACTCAATGTGCCGGAAGCCAAGGCAGACTCGACTCCAACCGCTTGGCCAGAGCACGAAGTATCAGCTCATCTCAATCGCATGGCCGGCGTGCGTATCAAGGACCGCAGCCGCAAGCACAAAGCGACGCCAAGGCACTACCATACTACTTGGCCTCATTCCAGATCTTACTGGCGCGTCTAACCGGTAGCGCCGAAATCGTGATCGGCGTCGCCGACAGCAACAGGTCCACGCTCACAGACCAGGCGACCATGGGCTACTTCACCAACCTGCTACCAGCCCGCCTGCCGTACGACCCGGACAAGATCTTCCACGAGGCCAAAGAGCAGATGCGGGGCGCGCTTCTCCACGGTGCCGTGCCGTACGGTGCCCTCCTCGACCACCTGGGGCTTGCCCCCGCCGTCTTCCCAAGACGCGCACTCGCACGCGCCGTTGTTCCAGGCCGTGTTCGACTACAAGCAAGGCCAGGCGGAAAGCGGAAACATCGGGGATGCCAAGATCGTCGACTCGCGCACCCCGCGCGCCGGATCACCCTACGACATCACGCTTGAGATGAGCGACGACCCCCATCAAGGCGCCCTTGATCACGGTGAAGCTGCAGAAGGAGAAATACGGGCTCCGGGACGCCGAGGTGATCATGGACGCGTACCTCTCGATCCTCAGCATCTTCTCGAGGAATCCCACGCTCCGCGTGGAGGATGGAAGACTGAATCAAGGTGTTAAGGCAGGGTGCTACGAAGCTTTGGGAGTATATAGGGATGTACCTCTTGTTGTTTTTTTAAAGAAAAGAAACCAAAAGGTTTTTGATATTTCTTCGATTCCGCGCTTCTTCGACCTTGCAAAGGTTAGCGTGAAACGTGTACAGTACAGTTCTTCGTTATCTTACCGACAAGAGCTGTGCGTAGATCGGTATGAAGACATGACCCTCCACATCGACTAAGGGTATCTTGCAGCACTCGACGAAGAACACTGTGTAGTCTACTCGTCCGGGCAGAGAAGCCGAGTAAGCCGGCGCGGCATCGAAGAAACGTCCAACCAATCTGATGACTTGCTGCAAAACGCGTATCGTTGTGGATCTCGACCTTGAGCAAGAGAAGAGAGGGTGGTGTTGGGAACAGGGAAAAAAGGAGGCGACCACTAGTCTCTCACAATAGGCGTTTATTTAATTGTTAGCCGATAACTGAAAAATCTCGAAGGAATCGTAAGTTAACTCGCTTTTTTTAGGCCAACCAATGCGAATATATGGAAACCAAGATGACGATGAAGATGAGATGGAAAAGACAATTTTCGAAATGTTTTTCTTTTTTGGATCCGATTTTTCTTTTATAGGAAGTTTATCCTAAAGGTATAAATTTGTTTACTAAATCAGTTTTTTCCACTTTCCTTTCCTCCAAAACCAACTCTTGTACTAAACCTTTGCAAACAAACAAACATATCACGAGGATTGTCTCAATGAGACAATCCTTATGGTACCTTTAGTTTTCTCGTACGACTAAGGTTGACCGAGATGTAACCAAAAAAGTAAGGACGTTTCTAGCTGTAACTCGGTCAATTTTAGTAGTATCACAAAAGTAAAATAACAATTAGAACCGTCTCATCAATATCATCTTCTGTATGTACAGGAATAATAATAATAATTACGTTTCGAAGTTTTTGGTAAAGAAAAGGTAAGAGAAGAGAAGGAAAGTAGTTGTAGGAAACCTCCACTTTCTTTAGTTAGGCTTAGACTGCCTTCGGCGCTGGCCGGAAAAAAGGCGGTTCTGAGAGAATGAAACTAGCGACCACCGGTCGAATGCTTCATCCTGCCAGGCCCCTGCCATCTGCAGCTTACAAGCACGACTATGGAAGGAGTAGACTAGTCTAGGGGTGCCTAGCCGTTGTTCACTCTTGGCTTAACGCGACAGTTCATTAAGAGGCGGTGCATGCTTATACTAGTGTGCGGACAAGTCACTCGGGCCGTATAGTAGTCTAGTAGATCTGGGATTAAGATCCTTTCGTTCGTTGACGGACAGAGCGCTCCCCCCTCCCCCCCCTAAATAAAGCTTTCTACTTCAACGCGTTAGAATAGACAGCAGCGAGCAATCACTTTAGATTAGCGCGCGAGTACTCGTTAGGTCTACAAAAACGACCGTCTGACTAGTGAGCGAGCCACTAGTCAAGGACATTAATTTGTACCGCGGGAGCGACTTTCGCTAGCTAGTAAAAGCCCTTGGCACCAAAGTCTCCCACGCTAAGCCGGTTACTACGCTTACCTAGATGACAGCATAGTTTAGGTGCATATTACCCCGCACCGCAGGATATTCTTGTATAAACACTATACGCTATCATAATACAAGAATCCGGTAGGAATTAACGTCCAAATACGAATTAATATCCTTAACTAGTGGTTTTCCCACTAGTTAGGCAGTCGTTTTTGTAGACCCAACGAGTAGGCTGTTTGTGGCCTTTTTAAGTACTGTTTCCGCGCTCTGGTCAACTTTTCATTCCGTATCTCCCATGAAACTTCCTTTATTATATACCTATATGGTAAGATTGTCAGACTGTAACCTTTTACCAACGGACATGATTACGCTATGTCGCCTGATCTCATGCAATCGTGGGTTACATTTTAGTCCAAGAGGTTAGGTATGTGACTGGACTCGGCGCTAGAGAAATGGCTTTGCAGCCATGTCCCGTCCCGTCCTTTGCCGCTTTTAGTCTCCGCTTGTCACCTTCCCCATTCATACAATCTACCCCTGGTATGTTTGTTAGTTTAGCACAAAGAAAGCCCATCTCCACTCTCAAGGCCAATGGAAAAGCATTCGGGCTTCGAACGGACGGTGGAGGGGATTGCCTTCTTATATGTTTCAGTTTTGAGAGCCTTGAAGGGGACAGAGAAAGGCATAAGAGGCGTCTGGAATAGACGGAGAGAGACAGAAAAGAGGCTTGTGGCGTTTTTCACCCTGCCTCGGTATCGGTTGCTTTAAACGAAAAGTACAAGAAAGCCAATAAAAGTTTCAGTTCTCTCCTATTCTGAGGCTTTCCAACCCTGTCTGAAGAACCAAGCTAACACACAAGCCAGTCTTATATTGTATGTTTGTTTCGGCTTCACCAATCCTGACCCCCTCCTCGTCTTGAGAAATTCAAACCCACAGCAGAAGTCTTTCTCGTCTTTCGTAACGATTTATCCCATCTTCATCGTCGCCTTGTATCTGTCAACTACTATACATGCAGTGGCCAACATCAACTCTGCCGTACGCGGAAGCCAGGACGAGAGAGAGAGACATGGACGGTGCGTCTATCACAGATGCGTCGCAGCAGCACGACGGCCCATCTATAACGGGTGCGTCTCAGCTGCACGACGGCCCGTCTATAACGGGTGTGTCTCAGCAGCACGACGGCCCGTCTACAACCGGTGCGTCTCAGCCGCTCGACGGCCACTGGACGTCCATCCAAGTTCCCCGACAGGTCTCTGGTCGGAGTCTGCGGAAATCATGTGATCGCTGCCACCAGCAGAAGCTCCGATGCGTCGGGAACAAAACGTCACGACAAGCCTGCGCGCGATGCCAACACCTCGGTGCCGAATGCGTCTATAACGTACGGTCCAGCAAGCAGGCCAACAATAACAATGGCAGCAGAAACCAGAACAGTGCTCCGACCGAGCCTGTAACGCCGGTCCTGAACCACCACCACCCCGGCAACTTTGGAGCTTTCCACCCCGATGACCTGCAGCTGGGCAGCTTCTTCCCGTCTGGTTGGGATGCCATAAACACCCCATGTCTGACTGATCCCGCCCTGGCGACATATACGCACAGTGGCTATGCTTCGACACTCTCGACGACGAGCACAGGCCCCGTCTTCAACACGTCCGAGTCAGGGATCGACGACAATAATTTCATCCCGGCGCCAGAGGTGTGCAGGTCCGGCGGCGACCTGTCCGCTCAACTCGCGAGCGTATGCCAGACACTAGAAACCCTCCTTAAAACGGTGACAAGCGAGCGCACTGGCCATGCCGAACAATGTAAACAAGCACATGCCAACCCCCCCCCTCTTCCCAGTGTGATAATTATGAAACGCTGACTGCGACATGCGTAGATCCTATCAGAGAGGTGTTCAGTGCCTTTGAAGGCTTTGTGAGGGCCATGGTGCTCACCCGGGGAAAAGCTCGGACCCCATCCCGAGACGCCCACCCGTCCTTCGCCAAGTACCTGGACAGCAAGCAGGCGTCCATGGCAGCGCAATGCTACATGCTCTGCATCAGATTGGTGGTCTCTCTCTCGGAGAAAATGCTGCAGAACCTCCTAGCATCGCCCATGCCTGCGCAACCCACATCCTTCAGTTTGAGAACGCCCAACTCGACTCCATTCAACGCCAGCGCGCTGGACATCCTGGACGTGAACTTCTCCCTAGGTAACCAGAACATGATGGAGGGCGGCGTCGGCCTGGAAGATCTGTATGTCGGCCCCGCGGACTCGTACGAGCAGGCCGTCGACTCCACCGTCAGCATACTCCGCGTCGGCGCCAGACTCATCGGCAGAATGGAGCAGTTGCTGGAGATCCCTCCCGACATGGCCGGGGGCACGACGTCGTCGGGAGAACAGCCGAGCACCGAGCATCAACGAAGGAAGCTGTCGCTGCCGGCACGCCTCGTCGCGACGACGTGGGAACACGAGACGAGTATCGATAACAAATGCCCCGTAACGTGTTTCAAGCGCTATCGCGCCGCTATCTTGGGTCTTGCCCAAGGCCACGTGTGAGAGAGGCTTCCTATATACCATAGAATAGAAGTGGGACATTGCATCATTGAAATTCTACAGGCCTCGAGCTATCCACTACATTCGGTGAGAATCGAAACCGATGCATCAATAATAACAGCCGCTAATGTATACCTAAGCAGCAGGTTCTTCCGTGTTGGCATTGTGGAGCGCCCAGTGCTCAAATCCTGCACCACCGCCATCCCCGTAGGGCTGATTGTGGCCTATGTACCATCCCTAAGGGCGATCCATAGCGGGAGATCGACCGCCAGCCGAAGCTTCAAGAGGTTGACACGCCATACGTTGCTTCGAGACTCCAGTAACGGATACAGAGCCAGCCGTACAGAGCCAGCCGTACCTAGTTACTAGAACCCGTTCATTCGCACTTTCCAGAGCTAAGATCACTTTCCCGGAAGAAGCGCCGGTTTGTAAATGGGGCTTGGCGAGATGGGGCTCGTGAGGTGCGTTCCCAAATGAGTTTACGGGATGGTGCCTCCATGGAGATTTGATGATAACCTAAGGCGCTACCCACGTCGGCAAGAGACACTACAGACAGCAATGCGGAGAAGGTTGCAATAAACTCTGGAATACTTCGACAAATGATGAACCGAGGTTTAGCATGGCCGATTCAGAGGGCCTAACTGCCAATCTTTCGAAGTTCGTAAATGAGAGATGAGTAAACAAAACGAGCCTCCTTAGCAACCAAACAGTAGTGTCTCTGATTGGCCAACCTCTCCGAGAAAACCAAGAAACCGATCCAAATCCGGCAGAGCTAGGACTCGACTCCCGAGCAGATCTCAAGTCTAGTCTGACACCGTAACGAAAGAACCCGCCCTCTTTATCTTCTCCCTCCCTGCCCTCGTTCTGCCCATTCACTGCTGCGCGCCTTCTCCACCGCCACACGAGCTGAGCATTTATGATCCAGTAGGAATCACTGTATTTCGGCCGGGGAGAACTCCCGCTCCGGTGCCTTCCGAGAAAATTCACGCGCCTATCGTTCTATATAGTAGGTAGCCTCTCCGGTAAGGGATGCCACGGTTTGTCTGCTATGTGCGAGGTTGGGGGCTGAGGATATTCCGATAAATATACTTCCGATTGGTAGTTTATTTACAAGAGAGTGGACGGGATCCCGAGTTTTCTACTATCTGTAGTCGTATGTGATTATTGCTATTTGAAGTAGTGCCTATAAACCTAGAGTCTTCCTGGGTAGCATATCATAAATACAAAAGCTGGCATTAAGGTTCATAGTTGAGCACATCAGTCAATAACCTAACATGGCAACATATTCAAGCAGCGCCTACAAACAGTTTGAGTAAAATAGAACCAGAAGTCAAGCTCGGCCTATTGTGTGACTTGCATGACAGAAAGTCACAACGAGGTTGATCATGCAGCACATCAGTCAACAATCAATACAACAACATGATACCCTAAATGGTCCAACAAACGATTTGAACAAGATCAAACAAAAGCAACTCTGTTACGCCAGTAGCCATGATATCTTCCAACAGAAACCATTTACAGTATCAAGCAAACAACCCCAACAACCACGATGGAAAATCAGTTATCAAACCCACCCCATCCCTCATCCTCCTTCTCCTCGGGCTCCTTCTTCTCATTCCCCGGTAGCCTCTCGTCGCTCAACGAGTCCTTGGACCGCACCCTTATCGCAGGGCTGACGGTGCGCTTCTCCAGCTCCTCGATCTTCTCGATGATCCTCTGGACGATTTTGAGCGCCTCCTCATCGTTCTCAAAGTCCAGCATGCCGACCTTCTCGGCCTCGTCCACCCAGATATCTAAGACGTGGATCTTGAGGCCCGCGGGTATCTTTTTGGCGAGGAGGTGGAGGGGGTCCTTGTTTCCTTCTTTTTGGGCTGTTTTTGCTGACGGATGGATTCGTGTTGGGGCTTGGCGTCTTCGTCATTTTCGTTGTCGTCGTTCTCGGCTTCCGATTCCTCGGACTCGCTGTCGTCCTCCTTGACGTCCTCGTCCAGCGCAAATGCCCACTCGGAGAGCATGTCGAGGATCTGATCGACTCTTTTGGCGTCCCATGCGGTCTTCTCCTTTGCCGCAGCCGCCTTCTTTCCACCCTTCTTGGTCTGCTTGGTAGCAGCACTGACGTCCTCCCTCCCATCTTGCGCGCCTTTCATCCACCTGAACGAAGCACCCACCACCCGTCTGACCAGCAACAAGAACTTTTCCATGCGCAGCACGTCGATCGACGTCCACTCGCGCGACATGGTCGCCCAGAATCCCCTGAGCCAGGGAACGACGGATTCACGGGGGAGGATGTAGATGAGGTCGGCTAGCTCCTGGCACAAGGTCTGCTGGGGGATGGCGCGGTCGCACATCCACATGGCGTAGAACAAGCCCTTCCACAGCTTGAGGATATCGATGGGACCGAGGGTGGTGGCGATGTGCTTGGCGGAGAGGAAGGTTTGCAGGGAGGTAAGGGCTGATTTGCGGATTTTGCTGTCTGGGAAGGGATAGAAGTTAGCGATTGGTGTCTATGGAGGAGTGATGTGGTTGGCATTGGGGTTAAGGTGTGGTGTGGTATATGGGAAGGGGGTGCTACGAAGCCAATCCCAGTGACATAGTACATGTACAGGCAGGTGGGATGTAAACGTACCGCTCGAGGCGAGGTTCTTGATGAACGGCATATTTGGGGACGCCATCTTGGTTGATTTTGTTGTGGTAATTTCCACGAAACTTGATCGGTTTAACTGTGTGGTGTTGTGTTGTTGTCAAACTGAACGCAATTTGGGTATACGCTGTGTAAAAGAAAGACGAAGTGCTGGGATCGGTTTTCTAGAGAGCGACGAGATGCTGCTGCAGGGCGGGCTGGAGATGATGGCAGATGGAGTTCAGAGCCGATTGAAACGAAATCTTGTCCGCCCGGCAGAAAAAACTGGTGGGCCTAGCTTTGAGAGGTGACGACTGACGATAAGAGGCTGATAAGAACCTCCGGCAGGCATTTGGCCTGTCTAGATGTTGCCAAGATGCGGGAGGGATGCACTCGCTTTGTGATTGGTGAATGACTAAAATTGTGGGATAATTGTACAAAGACAGGAATGATCAGCAGGAACAGCTGTCGAAGACCGAAGTCCATTCTAGGCACGCTCCCGTCCCGCTCCCCAGAAATGCGGTGGTCACAGGTGACAGCCGAAGTCGATGGCAGCATGAAGCATGGCAAGTCGTCTACGGCATCGTCGGCAGAACGGCAGGACGGAGTCGACAGGCTTATCACGATGATTTCGACGATCCGTCCATGTCGATTCCCGTCCGGCTCCATTCACTTCTCCTCCAGTCCTCCTCGTCTTTCCCCGCCTTGCCTGCCCATCTGCCTTCCGCTATCCGGATTCGGGATCATCTCCTTCCCGCTTGCCGGTTCCCCTGATCCCCAGACTCTCTCCCCCGTATCTTGGCATGCCGCTCTGTCCGGACTTCTTCTGGAATCCTGCTTCTTTCGTCCAAGCACCGGACCTAACGACGTCCTCACCGCATCACCCGTCATGTGGTCCAGAGACTTTGTTTTCATTGAAGGGTTTATTTTTGAAAATTGGCGGTCTTGCTAGTCACTTTGATACTCTCAAACTCTCGGTGTTTCTCAGTCCTGCAAATGGTCATGTGAACTAGGTGCCATCTTCGTCTAGATAACGTACTCGAGCGGGCCGTCAAGCCTATCAGACCTATTCGCATGAAGTCCGACAGTTTATCGAGAAGCAAGAGTGATCAAGAACTGGGCATCACACACAGGCACCAGCATGTTTTGTGTGGAGAGTCAGCACCAAAGGCAGAAACTGGCGCCTGGCCTGAAACCAAGTGAAAATTTTCGGTCTTTCTTTGCTTCTGTTGGGACTTTGGGAATGAGTTATGCCGAGGACCAAAGCAGTGTCGTATCCCGATCATAGAGAAGCTGGGCGCCTGGGCTGTCAGGGCTGTGAACCGTTGACCAATGCACAAAAACAAGATCCAGTGAAAGCCAGGGGTAGATCGACGCCCTAACCCCGCGGAAACCATTGGCGATTTTGGCTGGCGGCGGTCTTTTACCCCAGATTACGGTCTGTCCGTCCGGGGCGGGGAGAGAAAAACTTGAAAAGAGGCTTGTGACAAAAAGGAAAGCGCGGAGACATCGGGTGCAACTGTATCAACTCCATATCGAACCGTATCTGACTTGTATCGTCTTATCTGGAGCGCTTGCGCAAGTGGAAATGCGCCATGAACATGCCACCTCATCTGATTCATTTCAAAAAGATAAATCAAGCTCTCTCACCTAAGGAATATCGGAGCTTTGATATGTTCGACTTATCTGACCACTTTGGCGTCTCTTTTTTGTTTTGATTATCGGACTTGATTCGGAGACAAATCGCATGGTTTATCTTGACGGCATGGTACTTTATCTGATACGAGATTGTTGTGTTGTGTTGGGATCGGAGCTTTTAGGGAGAACGTCCAAAACCCGGAATTTTGACGAAAACAGCTTGATTAGTGTAGCGGTTATCACTTCGGATTCTAACACCAGAATCTCCTACAGCTTCCGACAACCCTGGTTCCATTCCAGGATCGAGCTTTTATCGGACGTTTTTGACATTTCGACCGCCGTGAATCCCTTCTTTTTTGTTCTTCAGAGTCCACAGGATTGTCCAAAGATTGTCCAGTCCCAAAATAGCCGAGACGGGAGAAAGCCAACTTCGATCGAGCTCCAGCAGCAGCTCCACAGGTACCTCGCACGTGCTAAGCACAGCCTGTAAAGTTCCAGGTGGTGGAGGAAGTCTGAGGTCATCCGTCTCCAGGCTCTCCTGTTTGGTGGATGTTTGGGCCCCACCGTGCTTTGGACGGGACGGACGCCGCCCATGTTCCCGCCATGCTCCTGCAAGTGCTGCAAGCTCTTTGTGCAGTGGAAGCCATTTTGCATTCCTCGAGGCTCTGTGTGCGTTGCTTGGCGTTCTGGGCAGTGGAAACTGTGACTGTCTTTGACGTCTCGAAATATTCAATCATCTGCCCCTGGCATCACGATGCATTTGGAGTCATGGTTAGTGACAAAGATTTACTCACCGTCTCCCTGTTATGGATCTGGGACCCCTCTGGAAGACCATGCCCGACAGTTTCTTCAAGTCACAAGAACAGGTCGGCAAATCTCACCAGGGCCTCAAGGGGAAGCTCAGCTAGGTACCACTATCCCAAGTCCGAGCAAAGTCCAGTGTCCATTGGGCTCCAAGTGGGCCTGTTGGTAAAATACAGTGGGCACCCTCCACATTCAGTCACGCATTGCGGTCCCGTTGAACTGGGGCGCACTTACACGAGTCTAACGAGCAAATTCACGATGCTTCCAAGAGTTCCAGGCCTGATAAAAAATCCACGTTTATTTTGATGAACAAGGTGTCACGCTGGATGGGAAGTCATGGCCGCGTTTCCATGAGTAATTTCCGTCTTGGGAAGCTGTCAAGTGACGGCCCTTGTTGTGATCCAGTGCGATTCATCGTGCCTCGGTCGCAAATCGGCCGGACCCGGTATGGGCTTCACATGCCGCCCCTGAGTGGTCTCTATACTGTGTATCTGACCTCATAGCAAAACCGGTTCTCCAAGTACATAATGGCTTACGCCTACGGACGGTTTGCCTTGCCTGTTCTCATAGATTCCTACTTTTGAAACAAATCGGCCTTATCCTACTTGTTAGTGCACAGTACTACGGCATCCTACCATACATACCGCCTAGACACACCATCCGTCCCAACAATTGCGCCTACCCGTTTGTTCGCTTATCAGGCCATCCTACACAACAACCTACCCAGAAAGACCAATCGCACAGTCCGTGTTAGTCACGACTTGCAAAACTGAACCAAGAGAGTGCTACGATCCCCAGCTTGTAGCCAGGACAGAAACCAGTCATCTTCCCGCCCTTCCGTACAGGCTGAACAGCTAAAAGGAGGACCGCTTACCGACCGTTGGAACCTCCTTGTTCAACCCGACCTTCTGGCCAGATCGGATTGAGTCTGCTGATTGTCACCCCCCGAAACTTTGGCCTGTCCAATCCTCCGTCCGTTGTCGGTGTAACCAGCTGCTGTTTGCGAGCTATACTGCATCAAATCAACCGAAGAGAGTCCGTTCCAGGCCTCGCTGCAGAGAAAAATCATCGACATACAGAAAGCACATATACAAACAGACAAGATGGCGCCTGCCTCAAGTTTATTGCGCGCTGCCGCTCCCGTTCCTCACACTCACACTCACACTTCCTTCTCCCACCACACACCAACGTCATCATCAACTCGCACAACCATCACCAACACCAACCCCATCACTACCTCTTCTACTCCCCTCCTCAGACTCCAGGCCATCTCCAAACACATGGCGCTGCCACAAACAACAAGCTTCCCCGCCCAGGTGGTGCCTCAAGCCCCCGAAGATCCCCTCTTCGGGTTGGCGAGAGCCTTCAAGGCGGACACAAGTCCGTCAAAGATTGATTTGGTACGTTACTTCTCAAGACCATTCACATGCGCCGCGTGGTACAAATATCACAGCAATTGCTAACTCTCGGTTTCCAGGGCATTGGCGCGTACAGAGATGAGAATGCGAAGCCGTGGGTATTACCAGTTGTCAAGAAGGTGAGTTTCACTCAATTGTTTCCTTTTTCATTTCCATTCGGCGATGCGACGCAATGGAGTATCCGTCAACTCCATCGTGAGGACCTTGGGGGCCTCGGTGTGTCAATCTGGGGAAGCCTGTAGGCATTTGGGCGGGATGGGGGTGGCCCCTGAAGCTAGGCACCTTTGTGCGACATACAGGACCCCTCATTTGGACCCCTCCTCCACCTTCCAGGGGCACTTACAGCTCTCTCCCCGCACCATCACCAAAATCACCGTTGAGAAGAAGCCATCATGGTGCAAGCAAACAGAAGACTAACCAATTGCTTTCACAAAACAGGCGGATGAAATCATACGAAATGACCCCGAAGCCAACCACGAATACCTCCCCATCGCCGGTCTCACTTCCCTAACCAGCAAAGCTGCCGAGCTTGTTCTCGGCGCCGGTGCTCCCGCCATCGCCGAGGGCCGCGTTGCCTCCGTCCAGACCATCTCCGGCACCGGCGCCTGCCATCTCGGCGGTCTCTTCCTCTCGCGCTTCTACAACCCGTATGGCGATGCCTCCAAGAAGCCGACCGTCTACCTCAGCAACCCAACATGGGCCAACCACAACCAGATCTTCTCCAACGTCGGTCTGCCCATTGCCCAGTACCCCTACTTCGACAAGAAGACCAAGGGTCTCGACTTTGTCGGCATGAAGAAGGCCCTCTCTGACGCCCCCGAGCGCTCCGTCATCCTCCTCCACGCCTGTGCCCACAACCCCACCGGCGTCGACCCTACGCCCGCCCAGTGGCGCGAGATCGCCCAGATCATGGCCGCCAAGGGCCACTTCCCCTTCTTCGATACTGCCTACCAGGGCTTTGCTTCCGGCGACCTCGACCGTGACGCCTCGGCCATCCGCCTCTTTGTCGAGCTCGGCTTCGAGCTCGTAGTCGCCCAGTCCTTCGCCAAGAACTTTGGTCTCTATGGCGAACGCGCCGGCTGCTTCCACTATGTCTCTGCTCCTTCCTCCGACGCTGCGGCTGTAACCACCCGCGTGGCCTCCCAGCTCGCCCTCCTGCAGCGCTCCGAGATTTCCAACCCGCCGATTTACGGCGCCAAGGTGGCCTCGATCGTGCTCAACGACCCGGCCTTGTTCGCCGAGTGGAAGGAGAACCTGCGCACCATGTCGGGCCGCATCATCGACATGAGGAAAGCTCTTCGTAGCAAACTCGAGGAGCTCGGCACTCCAGGCACGTGGAACCACATTACCGACCAGATCGGCATGTTTTCTTTCACAGGTCTGAGCGAGAGCCAGGTAGCTAAGCTCAGGGAAGAGTTCCACGTCTATATGACCAAGAACGGCCGTATCAGCATGGCCGGTCTAAATACGAAGAACATCGATTACTTCGCGAGAGCGGTAGACAAGGTTGTGAGAGAGGTGCAGCAGCAGTAGACACGCTCCTACTTCTCCTCTCCACCAGACCCAGACCCTGACCTACTTATTATTCAACTTGCTTGGGTCTTTTTTGTTTTTTGGGCGTTTTTCTTTACCACTTTTATTCTCTACTACTCTACTATACTTATCCTTACGGCCATCACATATAAGCGCGTTGTCAAGATTGTTGGGTTGTCAGTGTCTGCTTGGGAATGAGCAGGACAGACCACAGCGGTGTTTTTCCTTTTTTCTTTCCTTTATCACTACTAGTATGGGTTGTTATTATTGGGATATTGAATGGCAACGAGGTCTAAGCTACCTCCTCATGGGTATTACTGTTTGTTTGGTTGGGAAATCACAGTACCCATCGATCGATACTTGGGAAGATTGATGGGGCTAGCGGAGGCACACTACTAGATATTTACGTGCTTGAATCGGTTAATCAAAAGAAGTTGTTTTGTTTCCGGTCCTTATGGGACTTGTTGATCCGTCAAACTACTTTTTCCCTTTCTTTTGTCCCTTTTCCTTGTGTGCACTATGTGATGTGATGATGTTGAACCAAATTGTCACTTTGTGTTATCATGTCGCCAATCATACCCCAACCACGACCAGAGTTCATAAGCACAGCTTCTAATCCTACTAAGCACATACGACCATAGATGGTAGAAAACTCGGGATCCCGTCCGCTCTCCCATAGATAAGCTGCCAATCGCCTGACTAGTAGTTGGGTCGGTGACGACCAGCGAATCCCAGGTGTTGTATGTTTTTTTTCTCTTTTTGTTTCATTTTTTTGCGACGACATATCTTTCTTCCCCTTGACCATCATCGGAAGTCGGAAGACAAATACATCTTTCTTTGCTTTCCACATTTCGTGTGCTTCTTTCAGATAGCATGCGCACCACCATGTTTGTCACTTTTTGTCCTGGCGAAATTAACAGCGGGCTTTAATCTCAACCAAAAAAAACACACACACTTTACGGGAAGCCGGCAGCCTCTCAGAGGACACTCTAGATATATTCATCAATCATTATTCTCATATTCACTAACAATATTACACCTGGGAATGATAAGCAATGCAGTCAGTCCCAATCGTAACCCGCACGCCGCGCCAATCATCCTTTTGTCGTTGACCATTCATCATCATGCTCATCATCAAGAGAAACTGTCTCTCGGAAGACATCATTTATAAACCATAGGCAGCTCAGCCCACCCAACTTTCTCCTCATCCCTACTGTCCTTACAGAACTCAAACAAGCATCCTCTCAGTCAAGTCAATAAGCCTCAATCGCACCCACCGTGGCACGCCTACCTAAGTATAAACACTTTCGGTCCACGAGTTCACCTGGAGTCCGCGCTCCGCCATGTCCGCATCCTTAAGGAAGTCGAGCGGCATCCAGACCAGATGTCCCTTTACCTGCTCCAGCTTCTTCCGGGCGTCGGCGGGCGGCATGAACCGGTCAAAAATGTGGCCTGGCTTAACGCCCTTGGCGGGGAGGAAGGCGTTGTAGTCGTCAAAGGTTTTGACTTTTGGGATAAATGTTAGTGAGTCATTGTGAGAAACGGGGAGGGATGGCAAGGCAGAACTTACCATGATCATCAGGATCAGCATGGAACAAGTGCCTAAACACCTCCGTGTTCTTGGTCGCTCTGCTCGTCCACATCTCCCACAGCTCATCGCTCAGGGGATCCTCCACCTGCTTCCAGCTCTCGTCCCACTCCCACACATCGTTAGGCGAGTCATCGCCAGGGGGCTGCGCGTTGGGGTCGTCACTAGCGTCCAGATCCTGCGGCGGTAACAAACCCAAGTGCTCCCTCCAAAGGTACCTACGCAAAGACGTGGCGTGCCACCCGGCCTCGTAGGGTTGCCCGTTCATGGTGGTCTGGACCGTCTTCTTGTCCTCCATGACGATGCTCAGCTCGCTGTCGTGATAGCCCAGCTGGCTGCGATCGTTGAGGTTGCTGGAGCCGCAGACGACGATGCGGTCGTCCGCAATGAGCAGCTTGGCGTGCACGTAGAGCTCCTCCTGGATCCAGTTGTTGATCTCGTCTTCCGGGTCGCCGTCCCACTTGACTTCGGCTACAGATCCGGTGCGGGCCATGGCGTGGTGGGCGACGGTGAAGGAAGACTGGGCGCGCGTGTACGCTTTACCCCTTGGAGGGCTGTTTGTGTTGGATTCTTCTGATGATGCGTTCGGGTTGCTGCCGTTGAAGTGGCCCCCGTTGATGTTACCGTCCAGCTCGCCGTCGGCGTTGGCGTATGCGCTCACGTTTCCGTCACCGCCGGTTCCTTCTTTTTCGACCTTGTTCCTAGCTTCCTCGAACTTCTTCTTCATGTCGCGGCTGTGCTTCTGGTCTTCGGATTCCTGCGCAGTACCGTTCTGGTCTCTTCGGCTACCCATGTGGGAATCACGGCCACCTTCAGGGTCGTTGGTGCCGTGGATTCCCTCCCCCATGACTTCCTCCGCTTGGGCTCGCTGGAGCTCCTGGTATGGCAGTCCGGCTTCTTTTTCGATCTTCTTCTCGGCAGCAGTCCTGTTGAGTCGATCATAACTTCGCAAGTTGAAAAAGAAGATGTGTTGGTTGGGGTCAACTTCTTCCTTGCGGATCTGCTCAAAAATGCTGTGCTCTCCACGGCAGATGGACTTGTACTGGTAGTCCATGATGGCACGGGTACCCAAGGCGGCATTATCGCGAAGGTCACCGGCAAATCCAGGAACAGCAGGAATGATGATAATGATGCGGAACTTTCTGCCCTCCTTGGCAGCACGAACTACGGCGTCTACGATGGCGCGGCCTATCGTGTTGTGGATGGGTGACTGTTGGTCTCCAGTGGCCGTGATAAAAAACTGGTTCTCGATATAGACGTAATGCTGTGCGTTGCGAATGATCTCGCTATAAGCATTCTGGATCGAGTGTTCGGTGAGGATTCCGCTCGACCAGTCGGCACTGGAGCGGACGATTTGGGCGTGGACTGTGCCTCGGTCTACGATAGGTTTGCTGGTGAGGGGAGTGAGTGGATGAACGACGTACTCGCCCACGGGGAATTTGGGCCTCTGAACTCCGACTAGATCTTCATCTTGCCCTTGCCGGCCCTGTAGCTCAATCCAGTCATAGCGTTTGTCACGCTTGTACTTGTCTCTCTTGACGAAATTCCAGCGAAGGACAAAGTGTTCAGCAATATCGTAGACACAGGGACCCACAACTCCCATGGCGACATCATGCCACGGCATACGGCCATGCTCTGCCTTGGTTAGCTCGTTCTGCTTCCAATCCTGGACGTTTTTGAAGTCCATGACGCGGTTGTTGTTGAAATCCTGGCCGGGCCAGATCTCGTTGGCGACACCTTCAGGGTGCATATCTGCCAAACTGTGCTGGTGGTAGTCCCAACGGCCGAAGCAAAGATCAAGACCGCCGATGAAGGCTATCTCGTAGTCAATGACGATGCACTTTTCGTGATGGGCCCAGTAAAAGGTCATGTCGGCAGCGTTCTCCAGGACATTGTGGTCGGGATGGCGCATAATGTTGATGTTTCCGTGTCCTGGTGAGCCTTCTGGGCAGAGGGCCTGTAGGGCATGCTTGGTATGGGCCGAATTGCATGTAAGTGCGGCTTCGACTTCGCGGTACACGATGACATAGATCTTGACGCCGGCTTCGGCACGACGTTTGAGGATTTGGTCGAGTCTCCATTCTTGGTTATAGGCGGGAGGTCGACGCAGGAAGAGTTCGGGAGAGAGCCACCAATCGGCAATGTAGATGGTCTCTTTTGCCTTTTCGAGGGCTACAGAGACAGCCTGTGATGTTGTTAGATCAAGTGACTCTGTGAGCATCGATAATCCAAACTTACCCAAAAGTAGTCTCTGCCATCGACATACCACTTGATATTGTTGCCATCGCGCTCGGGAAAGAAGGACTCGAATCGATGGGAGAGGCAGATGTTGGTTCGCTTGTCGTCACAAGCCTTTTCGTGGGCCTCGTCGTGGCGGTGCTGGGGATTGATCAAGTTCTTGAACTTTCCGATCTTGTTCTTCTCGTGGTGCAGATGTTCGTGTAAACTGCTGTTGGCCAGCTTCTCGCGGATCTCACGGATGGGATGTTTGAGCTTCTCGCTGGTGCTCTTCTTGTGTTCGTGTTTACGGTTCTGAGCAGGACCACCTGCAGCCAGCTCGGTAGCCATTGTTGCGGTATTGCCTGATGCTCCAAGAGAGGTACACTATGGCGAGACAATGTTTACTTTTGGGAAAGAAAATCAAAAAGAAGGGGTATCAAACGAGTTCTTGGCCAGCAAGACGGGAGCGCTAAAGCACGCAAGGTGTCGGATGATAGGCAGGACCCGGCGTTTATAAGAATGAGAGCCGTAACATCATGCTCGTTTTAGGAAGCGGAACGGTAAGCGCAGCAAGGATGCTGCTGAGTGGAAGGGAAGCCCGTCGGACCAGAGGGAGGATGACGAGAGTTGAGAAAGCAAGGTGAATCGGAGAATAAACAGGTTCGAGAATACGGAGAAGACGTATGCCTAGGGTGTGCATGTGATGCTAAGAAAGAGGAGAGGGCTGGTATACCCTGGTAACATGCGACTTCCCCCAACCCTCGGCATCTCTTATCCGACTTTGTCTCCCTTTTCCTGTTTCCCCGTGTTTGTGGTTGGCCGAGTGAAGGGGTTAATACTCCAAGAGGCGCAAAGGCCCAGCCGTTGAGTGGAAGACCGGGTACAGGCCGGGTTAAAAGATGTGGGAAGACAACATCAAAGAAAAAGGCTAGACAGCCAGTTGGGAAGGCGAAGGCTTCATCGCTTAACACCCACTTCGGAATGACGTCATGCTCATAGTTCTTATGTTACATTTACCGCAATGCATTGATGCGACAGCGTGGTCTGTGTGCAGCTGAACTGTAGTAGTAAATGCAAGTTAAGGGCCTGTCTGTGTGTTTGCGTGTGTATATCTGTACTGCATGCTGTTCCGTCAAATCCTCAAAAGTATTTTGAGCATGTCGATCAAAGATATCGTGGTGTTGCTGAAGAGACACATTAAGGGTCCAAGACAAGACAGCTGCGCCTCAGTCAAATGCTTCTTCAACCGTAGAAAGTCTTTAGAGTTCAAAGAACGAGTTCGAGACTTTCAGGAACCCGAGTCCACTGGAAAGCTCCAAGCGTAGAATAGTGGAACTGAACATCTAATATGACCAATGAAAAGACAGAAACGAATAGCTAAAAGTCCGCGGTATCCTGGTCACGTTGAGAGCCATCCCGTGCCTACCGTCGGGTGGCCTCAACCACAAGGGTCCTTCTCCCTAATCGTCAAGTTCAACAAGGGGAAGCTTTCATCAACATAGAAACATCCAAGGATTCACAACGTGTCTGGCATTCGAAACCTGTCAATCGGGAATATTGAACATGTCCATTACATCTGTGATTATGTTACCCCGCATACACAGTAAACATACAACACCGTGTCCATTGGAACACTTGCTCCCTTAGAAACATCAGATTTTGCGGGGGAGGGGAACCTTGCCGCGTCTCAGGGCGTGTCCTCTTTGCCCCCAGCGAGCCTACTTGTACCTAGCACAGCCGCCTCCAGGTACCTGTCCCCCTAGCTCTGGGCGGGGCAACGGTCGAATGATTGGGGATCGTGACAGTTTCAAGTTCCACTGTTCCACCCGCCAGTGACTGACCCCCTTTCCCACCATGTCCCGTCGAGTCCGTTGCTGTTTCTAATCTTCTCTTTCTCCAAACTCCATCTTCACCATCGTCATCATCATCCATCACCACCCACAATAACCATCATGTCTACCGGCCAGATCCCCCCCGGAGGTACCTACCTCGACACCCTCAAGCGCTCCTTCACCGACGTCCCCGCCCAGGCCGACAAGGAGAATGCCATCCCCACCACCGAGTTCCTCGAGGCTGCCGAGTCGCTAGTCTCCATCTTCGATGTCCTCGGCTCTGCCGCCTTCTCCCCCGTCAAGAGCGACATGCTCGGCAATGTCGAGGTGCGTCAACTGCCTAATGTCCAGCACTGAAAAAGGTCCCTAAATATGCCGAGTACAGGAAGCTAACAGTGTGCCTCTCTGTGTTATAGAAAATCCGCCAGCGTTTCCTTGCCCACCCCACCGAGTCCGAGACTCTCCAAGACCTTGTTAACAACGAGCAAAAGGAGAAGCAGAACAAGGCCGGCCAGGCCCTCCTCTGGCTTGTCAGGTAAGGGAAACACTGGGCTGGATGGCTCCACGAAGAAGGAACGGTATGCTAACAAGCAATTCTCCAGAGGTCTCGAGTTCACATGCAAGGGTCTCGCCAACAACGTCGTTGCTGCTGACCAGGAGCTTTCTACCTCCTTCCGCGCCGCCTACGACGTCACCCTCAAGCCTCACCACAGCTTCCTCATCAAGCCCATCTTCAGCGCCGCCATGAGCGCCTGCCCCTACCGCAAGGACTTCTACAGCAAGCTCGGCGACGACCAGGACAAGGTCAATGCTCAGCTCAAGGAGTACCTCGCCGCTCTCGAGAACATTGTCAACATTCTCAAGGCCTTCCTCGACAGCAAGGGCATCAAGAAATAAACGAATCACGAAACAGGAGACACGCGCACGACGCGCCGGCAAGGTGACGCCAAATATCATTTAATAACGAGCCAGCATTTATACCTATACCGGGAGGCGGAACCCGTTTACTGTCGGCGACCCAGAGACGGGACGATCACGGGCTAGAGGGGGCTGCAGCACCATAACACCGCAGGCCTTTCTGTCTGTCAGTTATCTTTATCATTAGTAGTAGTTAGTCCGCATCGCGTTGCGTGGTGTCTGGTATTGTTAATGCCTATTCTTGAATACCCATTCCCCAGTTCCTCTTATTATCCCGCCATGACTTGATTTAAACTCGACTCAGATACCAGTTTGTCAGTCAAAGCTGACTACCTCTGAGGTTCTTGCTTGACATTTGGAGCGGCTTGTCGCCGGCTTTCCATATCCATTCACGATCTAGTGGAGAAACGGGGTGGTGTTATCAAACGGCCGTATCCTCATTCCGTAAACTGCCCCCTCCTGAACTTGAGGCTGAATGGGAGTCGACGAGGACTGGACAGTGATCATCCTTGGCTTGAGCTGTGTCTATGTTGGTAGTCATGCCATTCTCTGATTCTCAATCCTCGCCTCCGCGATCGGTGGCTTGGAAGGGTGAACTGAACATTCTTACCATTTTCTTCATTTTGCGTTGCGCTGATTTCATTGTCCTACGTCGAAAAGAAGCCCTACAATGCCCGAGATATTCACACACTGATCACTCTTTTAGCCACCATCATACACAGCGATGGATATCCAAACCAGATCAATATTCTCTACGATCCCCCTTTTCTGCTTCACCCCTGGGTATATACAGCCAGACCAGACATTATCCATTACAAAGCGTGAACCATGTCCAAACAAGGACATTCCAAAGCCGCCATCTCGCACGAATCCCCCTTCCATCGTTTTCACCACCTTCACCACCTCACTTAGAAGGGCTTAGGAACCAAAGCCTGGGGATCCTCAGCCTTCAGATACCCATCAGCAATAAGCGTCGCGACGTTCACATAAGTCTGGTACTGCACGCCCTGGCCAGGCTGGCCGAACCAAGGGGCGATGGGTCCAGCAAGGACCTTGAAGGGCTTGATGACGCTGTAGACGTGGTAGTTGTATGGAAACCTAAATTATTATTTTTTGTCATTAGCACCTTGTCTCCCCTTCATCATTACCTACCCAAGTGAAAAGACAAGAAGAAACTTACTTGGCATCCCCATTCAAATTACTAGGCGGCAAACTCCTCTGCAAATACGGCGCCGCGGCGGGGGCCAAAAAGGCCCCATATTCGCTTCCGAACCTGTCCAAAAAGGTCCCCGTCTGCAGCGTCAAGTTGGCCGCGATGATTTCTCCTGCATCATCCACGCTGAAACCATTCTGGGGAGGGTAATCCCACCACCCGCCACCGGTCCGGTTGAACCACTTCTCGAGAAACTGGCCCGGGCACAAGCCGCCAAAGCGGTCGTAGATGTCCAGGATCGGGTCCAATGGCAAAAAGAACTGGGGGAGGATGACGGGCCCCAGGCGCGAGTCGCCGCAGATGTAGGTCGTTGCGAGAGTCCAGTTTCGGGCGGTGCCGGCGCAGTAGGAGGGGGACAAGGGGTGGTGAGGGCAGGAGGAGGAGGAGGTGGCGTTGACGTAGGAGCGGTCTTCGAGTTTCTCGGAGGAGGAGGAGGGACTGCTGCTGGCGGTGGGAAGGGCGACGGCGGTGCCACTGAGGACGGTAAGGGCGGTGGAGAGAAGGGTGAACTTCATTTTGACTGTTTTGTCGTTTGGAATTATAGTTGGGTATTATTAGGTATTAATGTGAGAATAGGTAAATATGAAGTTCGTCCCGGTTCCTCTCGAGGGTTGGCCTGGCCTGGAAGGGAGGGGGTGAAGATGGTGAGTCGAGTGGGCTAGAGAGGAAACAACAAAAGGAGGACCGAAAGAAAAGGGAGGACGTCTGGTGAGATATATACCCAATACCCACGACACCGAGAGAGTAGGTACCCAGGCAAGGTTACTAGCCGTCTGTGATCCGTGATTTTTGAATCTGTGTGTGATCAACAGGAAACTCCGTACAGTACTGTCTCACTCCGTCTGGTCTGTACATGTATCCCCGGTTCGGGTTCGGGGATCTCTTCGTGTACCTAAGATCCGTGGAGCCGGCTACACTAGGGAGTATCCATACCTAGCTAGATCCATGCCGGATCTGATCTGAGATTCTCTATGGTAGTTTCTAACACCCCTTCCCGGACATGTCCCGTGGTGGAATATTGGCGGAGCTGCCGACTTGGAGGATTCCACACCGCGTTGTTTTTTTTCTTCTTTTTTTCTCTTGTGTACCTGAAGAACCCATGACCAGTCCACTTAGATCCATTTCCCCGGTCACATCACACACTGCCTGCTGCTCCCTGTAGTGTACCTACCTGGCTAAAGAATGGCTGGCTGGTGTAAGATCCATCTCAAGCTGTGCTGTACTCGGCCCGGTCCCGCATTGGATGGAACGATTCAGGAAGAGTGGACATTCGACTCGAGTCGACAAAGTATTTTGTAGGTCGTACAAAGAACGAGAGCCGCCAATGGTTTTGAGACATGCTTACCTTACTTTTACCTGACACTACCCTTTTTTGTGCTCCATGCTTCGTGTCTCATGCTTGGTGCTGTTGTGAGACCCTTCCTTGTGCTTGGCTTCTCCTTCTTACCCGAGTTGTCAAACCCAGATACCTAGAGGTATTCCCCCGCTGGCACCAAAACGCACATTTCTCAGAACCAAAGGAGTTCTCTTCTCTCCCTCAGTCCAAGAATTTGCTGACCACGAGGATCAGACGATCACTAGAAAGCAAGAGACTTTTTTGATCTTTTCTCTGCATGAGCTCCGTCCGAGCTGAGCTGAACTGAGGGTCCCCTTTAGTCCTCCAAGACCCTGTACCCCCTGTAGTCCCGCTCTTGGCTATGTCGATCCGTGGATCTTTTTCAGTGACAGTTCAGGTGAGCTAAGGGCACTTGGTGTAAGCCGAGACCCCCTATTGGCTAGTGTTGGCGTGCTGGGGAACAATCTGAATGGACTTGATGGATTCGGAGGCCTATGGATTTCGAGGCATGCACTGAGGTGGTAAGCTGAATCGAATGGCATGGCCGATATGTATCTCATTCTCAGCCCCCGGATGTTTTCTTTTCGGAGCGGAGTTTAACCCCTTTGGGATTTGCTTCAATATTCATTCCAAATATTTGAGCGGGGGAAAATGGAAGAGAAGCCAGACAAGAGGAAGGAGGAGGAGAAGGAGGAGGA